CCCTCCAGTTGCCATGCAGACCATTAGCGGCCGCTCCCTTGCGGGGCGCACCACAAGGGTGGCCAAGATTGCCAACCAGGTGTGGATGACAGGGATTTATATACCCTTTTCTTAGAACTAGCAATGTGCACGGGCCGTGGCTCGCGCAGTAGAAACGGGCACGGCGTCGGCGGGACCATCAGTTCCACGTTTACACAACAGTAAAACGCGTCGCACTTTGAACAGAGCATTCTACTATGTGAAGCAGTTTAACGATCATTGAAAACAATGGTGCTCTGGATTTCGGACCCTGCAGGGCCGCAGGGTGTGCGTGGTTCGCGCTGCTGCTGCTGTGGAGGAGAAGCCAATTGGCGCTGCCTGGCAGTTCACCCAGCCTGCTGGTGAGTATCAATATAAATCTACAGCTGTCGGTCACCCTTTGCAAACATCATCTCGCTTAGGAGTCAACATTCCTTCAACACATCATCACAGCAAATTTTGACCTTTTGTTTTACAGGCAAGGGTCTGGGTTGGTACACTGGCGCCGAGGATGGCCACCTCTACGTTGACGAGCTGCGCGTGGAGGACATCCGCCAGCAGGTGCGTGAGGACATCCTCACATCCCCAACCCCCATCTCCAAAGCTCACCTCTTCCTCGACCCAATTCCTCCCAACCCCAGCCTTTCCTTACCTCCTTTTCCTCACCCTCACCCTTTAGGTCCCCGAGAGCCCCTTCTACCTTTACTCCAAGAACCGCATCCTTCACAACTTCGCGGCTTACAAGGCCGCGCTAGCGGGTCTGGACTCGCTGCCCTGCTACGCGGTGAAGGCCAACAACAACCTGATCATCATGAAGGAGCTCGCGGCGGCGGGTGCGGGCGCGGTGCTGGTGAGCGGCAACGAGCTGAAGCTGGCGCTGAAGGCGGGCTTCGACCCCAGCCGGTGAGAAGGGGGGAGAGGGAGGTGGAAAGGCGATGTGGGTTGGTAAGGGAAGGGATAGGAGGGGGTGGGGAGGTAGAGGAGAGGCGATGTGGGTCGGCGAGGGAAGGGTTTGAGGGAGAGGGGGAGGGTAGATGCGATGTGGGTCGATGAGGAGGGGGTGGGGGAGGGAGTGCGGATGTGGGTCGATGAGGAGGGGGTGGGGGAGGGAAGGTTAAGAGAATGAATACAACTAACCGTTTGAGGGGAGGAGTGACGATGTGGGTCGGTGAGAGGAGGGAGAGGAGGGGCGGAAGGAGAGGCGATGTGGGTCGGTGCGGAAAGGGAACGTTAAAGAGGAAAAGCTAAGCATTGACACGGCTCCATCAGGGTTGCATGGTGGAAGGGAGGGGAGGCAGGAGAGGCGATGTGGGTCGGGCTGCATCCTAACCCCCTTCGCACCATCCGCCGCTGCTGTGGGCTACACAAGTTCGCCTTACCCATTCAACCTGCCATCCTCCCACCCACCCACCCACCCCACGGTTACCTAGTTTCTTCCTCCTTACCCCCCCCCCTTCCTTCAGTGCTCAGCTTCCTCAACCCACCCCCTCGCCCTCCCCTCACCCTCCCCCCCCTTGCAGCACCATCTTCAACGGCAACGGCAAGCTGCCCTGGGAGCTGGAGCTGGCGGTGGAGCAGGGCGTGCTGGTCAACATTGACTCGGAGTTCGACCTGCAGGTGGGGTGGGGGGGTGGAAGGGTGGGAGAGGTATGCATGGGGGTTAGGGTTCGGCAGGGAGGGAGGGAGGGAGGTTGCCGGAATTGAGCCAGCTATAAAGACCTGAGTAAACTCAGTCCACCGGGTTTTCATCCATGCATGGATCGACGGATCCCTACAATCTACCGGTACCTCCCTCATCCCTCTCCCACCTTGCCCCCTCCCTTTCCTTCCCACTCCCTCCCACTCTCTCCCCTCCCTTCAGAACATCGCTGCCGCCGCCCGCAAGGTTGGCAAGAGCGCCAAGGTGCTGCTGCGGATCAACCCAGATGTGGACCCGCAGGTGAGGACGGGGGGAAGGGGCAGGGGGGGAGCGGGGCGGGTATAGAGAGAGGGAGGGGGGCGGGGAGCCTGTCAGGCACCGGAGGAAACGTAGGAGGAAAGCCATGCTTTGGACCAGCTTAAGTGCCGCATCTTATCTCATTCTGTGTCTCCCCCACCCCACCACCCCTCCCCACAGGTGCACCCCTACGTGTCCACCGGTCTGGCGGGATCCAAGTTCGGAATCCGCAACAGCCACATCAAGGTGGGTGGGTGGGTGTGGGGCGAGGGAGGGGCTGCGGTAATGAGTACCGGTAATGCTGGAGGGGCTAATGGCTGTGGGTGGCCGGCGCGTTACACGGGAACAACATGCCAGGCCTGGACCCTAGGCATCGGACTGGTGGGTAATGATGTAGTTGCACGGTTGCAAGCTGTTACAAGGTGTCATGAAGGCGGGCTCCGGTTACTGAGAGGCCTCCCTCTCCATGCCCTCCTATCTCTGGTTTAAGAGAGCCCCGCTTCCCCATGCCCCCTTACCTGTGATTTTGGTATACCTCTGAACCCCCTGCAGTGGTTCCTGGACGCCATCCGTGCTGAGCCGCTGCTGCAGCTGGTGGGTGTGCACTCGCACCTGGGCTCCACCATCACAAAGGTAAGGGGGGTGGGTTGGGAAGGGGAGGGGAGAACGAGGAGCGGCATGGGAGACGCCAAGCTGTTGTGGGAAAAGCAGGAGAGGAGGCAGGGGAGCTCGGGATATGTACGTCAACATCAGTTACAGCCCGTTGCAATTAGCATTTGACCCCATAAACGGTACCCCACCTTTCCTTCCCCCCCTCCCCACCCTCCAGGTCAACATCTTCCGCGACGCCGCCGTCATCATGTGCGAGTTCGTCAAGATGATCCGCGCCGAGGGCTTCAACCTGCAGTACCTCAACATCGGGGGCGGGCTGGGCATCGACTACAGCCACCAGGGCCAGGTGAGGGGGGGGGATAATTATAAATTACGTGAACAACACAGTCCCAATCCCGAATCCCCACTCATGCAGTGAGGGGAGGGAAGGGCGTGGAAAGGGAGCATGTGCCCCAAGTCTCAAGGCTTGGGCTGGGTGGGGTTCACAACAATTGCCTGAAGCCAACAGGGGCGGTTGGGTAAAGAAGGGGGAATGCGTTCGGGAGGAGCGCGTTCAATGCCTGCTTGACGATGTGGGCACCCTGTACTTGACCCCAGCGGCCTCTAGCCCCCATCCTGAATCCTCACCCCCTGAACCCCCTCCATTCCCCGCCCCGATCCCCCCCCAGGTCCTGCCCACCCCCACAGACCTGATTGACACGGTTCGTGACATCGTGCAGCAGCTGGGCCTTACACTGGTGATCGAGCCGGGCAGGAGCATGGTGGCCACCTCGTGCGCGCTAGTGAACAAGGTTACGGGTGAGGAGGGGGGAGGAGGGGGAGCGGGGTGGAATGAGGGAGGGGGGGAGGGGAAGAGTGTGGAAGGGATGGGGGCTGGAGGGAGGGTAGACATGGGATGGTAGGGATTGAGGGAGTTGATGACGCCATGGAGGAGCCCAGGAGGGCGGAAAAAGAGAGGGGGAAGAGAAGGCGGATCATGCTGTATGGAAAACTGGTGTGGTTTCTTGCTCGCACTAACCTTCCCTTCCTCCCTGCCCTGCCCCTCCCTTCCCTCTCTCCCCCCCCCAGGTGTGAAGACCAACGGCAACAAGCACTTCATCGTGGTGGACGGCTCCATGGCCACCCTCATCCGCCCCTCGCTGTACGGCGCATACCAACACATCGAGCTGACGGTGCCGAGCAGCTCGGAGCAGCAGGTGGGGGGAGAGGCGGGGGCGAGAGGGAGGGAGGGAAAGCTGGGAGAGGGGAAGGGGTGCAGTGTTGGGTGAAGGGGCAGCCGATAAGGGGCAGCCAATAAGGGTCCGCCATTAGGGGGCCGCCATTAGGGGGCTGCCAATAAGGGGCTGTCAATAGGGGGCCGTCAGTAAGGCTACCTCTCCTCTAAACCCCGCTCTCCTGCCGCCTGCCTCTTACTCCCTCTCCTCTCCTCTCCTTCCCTCCAGACGTTTGACATCGTGGGCCCCATCTGCGAGAGCGCCGACTTTCTGGGCAAGGACCGGGTGCTGCCCACTCCCAGTGAGTCGCGGCTGGGAGGTGGAGGGTGGAGGAGGACAAGGGGAGGAGACAGGGGAGGAAAAATATAGATAAATGCATCAACGGATTCACAGGGGAGGAGGGCAAAGCAGGATGAACGGGATAAAACTGGTCATGGCCCATGGGACAGGGGCCCTCTAACATATGGTGCATGATAGGGAGAGGAAGGTAGTTTGGGTTAGGGGGGTTGGGGGCAAGGTACGGCTGATGGGCAGGAGTGGCTGTAACGAGTGGCTGCCTACTTGCATTGCTTGTCGAACCCGCGTCCTCTCCCAACCTTTCGGCCTTTCCCCTGTGCCTGCCCACCTCCACCTTTACACAGACCCCGGCGACGGCCTGGTTGTCCACGACGCGGGCGCCTACTGCATGTCCATGGCATCCAACTACAACCTCAAGATGCGGCCCGCGGAGTACCTGGTGGAGGGCGGCAGCGTGCGCAAGATCAGGCACGAGGAGACGCTGGAGGGACTCGTGGAGGCGTCGTTCGGGGGGCTGTGAGGGGGATGTGGTGGCGTGAGGAGGGGGAAAGGGCTTTGTGAGGAGGAAAGGGCTCTGTGAGGAGGAGCAGTGGTGGTTGTGACGCAGTATGGGCGATCCTGCGCGCGATTGGGAGTGTATTTGTCATGTTCCGTGTTCATATATGTAACATATGTCGGGCCCTTACGTGTTTCTCGTACGGCAACGTAGTCGCGCCTGGCAGGCACCAGTTGTCAAAAGACGTAAAAGATTTGCATCCCAGTCGCATCATCTCGGGACCCTTCCATTGCGATAAAAGGCCAGGGCTCATCGGCACTTCAGGATGCTTGCCGTACGACAAAATGACCATACGGCAAGTCGCTGTGTCGAACGGCGTCCGCAACTCCCAGACTGGATACGAAATGCTTGCTGAAGTGAATCGTTTGACCTGTGGCTTTGCGTGTTACCATCGCGGCTTGACTTAACCTTGCATGTCACTGTGTCATTCGGAAGCATTTCCCGCACCTGCGCTGGTCACCCAACTTGTACTTGCGTTTAAACAAACGCGTTAATACAATTAGTTCTTGCGGTACGCGAACCTATAAAGCGTTCAGTTCATTTTGAGCATTACCCATCTTTGTAAGCAAGCGCGTCGTTGTCCGGTCAACCCAAATCATCATGTCAGACGCTGCAACTGCCGCCGAGCAAAATGGCGACTCAACGAAAGCCAGCTTGACGACGGGAAGCCTGGAGGAACAGTTGATGTTGGCGGCGGCATCGGGCGATGCCGACGAAGTTGCGCGACTCATCGAGCTAGAAGCCGATGTTGATTACCAGGACGAGGAGGGTGTGAGCCCGCTCATGAAGGCTGCGGAGGGCGGCCACACGGACGTCATTTCCGCATTGCTGCAATCCGGGGCGCCATGGAATGCGCAGGACAAGAACGGCTACTGCGCAGGTAGGCTTCAGCCCTCAGACCCTAAGCCGAGAAACGCAACAGAGAGCTGTTTGACTGGATGAATACTAGCCGTTGACCAGGGCGGGCTGCAACAACTGACATGTATCCATCCCCACCATCTCTCTTCACGCCAGCTGCATCTCTCCTCCTCCACCTCCCTCACTTCCTTCTATCAATCCCATCCAGGCGAGTACGCCATGGGCAGCGGGCAGCAGGAGGCGATGGATCTGCTGCTGGACTTTGCCGTACAGGCGGAGCTGGTGCTTGGGGCGCTGCACAGGTGGGAGAGTAAAGAGGAGAAAACGAACCCTATGAGCAGGGGCTGTACAGCGGTACCATGGGATCCTTACCCTGTTATGCCGTACGTACTGCCGTACACACGGCCTCCTTCAGGAGCCTCACCCGCACCCTGCCGTGCTACCATGCTTGCACCCCATGGTGAAGCCTATATGTCGTACAGCTCGTCAGTTCTTCCTCTTTACCCGCCCCTCCTGTGTCTTCATGCTGCCTCGCTGCCCCCCCCCTTTGCTCCAGGCGCATGCAAGTGGGTGCTCCCTCCTCCTCCTCCTCCGCTGCCCCCAACTCCGACTACCTGTCTCAGAAGCTGGTGTACCGGGACGAGCAGCTGCTGGATGCGGATGGTGAGGGGGTAGCGAGGGGAGCGGCAGGGGGCGGGTGGTTGGTGGTTGGGGTGTGGGGGTTCTGCGGACTTTATACTCTTTAGAACCGCGAGGAAAGATGGGGACCGTGGTCGTGGTAGGGAAGACAGTGAGGTGGTGTTGGGTGTGAAGGTGTTGTGAGGGTGTGAGGAGCTGGCCGCCTGACCCGTGTTCACCCACCCTCTTTCCTCGACCCACCCGCATGGCGCCCCCACCTCCACCCCAACAGGTGAGGCGGTTATGATGGGCTGGGAGCGGCCACTGATGCTGCGACACGCGGAGCTCATCTGCCCGGGCGCGAGAGAGGAGCAGGGGGGGCAGCAGCAGGGGGAGCAGCAGCAACAGGAGCGGGCGGAGCAAGCCGAGGAGGGGCCCTCACCATCAACCTCCGCAGCACCAGTTGAGGGGCAGCAACAGCAGCAGCAGTCCGGGGGGCAGCAGCGGAGAGGTCACGTGCTCAACGTGGGGTTCGGACTGGGGATCGTGGACACGGCAATACAGGTGGGTGGGGTGTCGTGAGAAGATAGGATGTAGACCCAACGCTGGGCAACTACAGGTTAGGGCAAAGCAGTGGGGGTAGGGGGAGGCTGGTAGGGGGCGCCAAGGGAGGAGGCAGGGCGTTGATCTCCTGGGGGAGGAGGGGAGCGGGCATGGGGGAGGAGGGGAGCTGGTATCCCTCACCAGCAGAGGGGCTGCAAGCTAGGGGGCGGTCTAGCAGTGCCTCCACTAGTGCCCCTGGCCCTCAGACCCCGGCAGTCCTCCGCCGCTGCCTCTTCTGTCCCACTCGCTCCGCCTGCCACATACCCTCATCGCCTGACGAGCTATCCGACCCATGGGTCACTCACGTGCCCCTCCCTCCCGCGCAGTCCCACCACCCCGCCCGCCACACCATCATCGAGGCCCACCCCGACGTGTACGAACACATGGTACGGCAGGGCTGGCTGCAGCGGCCCGGAGTACGGGTACTGCGGGGCCGCTGGCAGGACGTACTGCCGGAGCTGCTGCAGGGGGGGCCGTACGACGGAATCTTCTTTGACACGTACGGTAAGTTGTTGTTAAGGGGGTACGAGACACAAACGTCAAGGTATGAGAGCTGTATGTTGGCCTCTTGTTGGCGTGTTGCGACCCTCCTAGTGAGTCTTAATCTGCGAGTACTCCTCCTCAGTCCTCCCACCCATCATCACCTTCACAACCCCAACCCTACCCACCCCCCGTCCCCCTATGGTTTGGTATGGTGCTATGGTCTTTTGACCCCCACCCCCTCCCCCACCCCCGCACCGCACCCCCAGGTGAGTACTACGAGGAGATGCGGGAGTTCCACGCCCACCTGCCGCAGCTGCTGGCGCCCGGGGGCGTGTACTCCTTCTTCAACGGGCTGGCCTCCGACAACATCTTCTTCCACATGGTGTACTGCAGGTGGGGGCCGTGGAAGAAGAATGGGGATGAGGGATGGTGATGATGCGGGGGGGCGGGGTGATGAGGCGGGGGGCAGGTTTGGAGGGGGCCAACGAGGGCTTTGGAACACACCTTTTGGATATAGATAGATACCTAGCTGGGAGCTTCCTGCAGGTGCCTCTTCCGCATCATCCTGCTGCCTGGCTCTTCCGCATCATCCTGCCCGCCGTCCAGCTCAAGTCCCTGCCTCTCCACCCTGGCTTCCCCGCCTGCAGGCTTATTTCGTTGGAGCTGGCGGCTCGCGGCTTCACAGTGGAGTATGAGCCCCTGGCGGTGGGCAGTCTGGGAGACGAGGTGTGGCAGGGGGTGAGGAGCAAGTACTGGCATTTCGAGACGTACTTCCTGCCGCGGGTAACGCATGCGGAGGAGGAGGAGGAGGAGGAGGAGGGGAAAATGGAGCAAGGGGCAGCAGGAGAGGAGCAGCAGTAGCAGGGACAGCTGGAGTTGAGGGAGTTGATGTGGGCGCCCGGTTGGCATGGCTGTGACAATGACGGTGCGGGGAAGGTCGGAAGTAAGGTTGAGGAGCGAGAAAGGGATGCGTCAGGCGGTGGTGTGGAAGTGTGCTGGTGGGCTGAACGGTGTTGGGTTTCGATGTAAATGGGTTGGTTGGACTTATTGCCAGCTAGCCCTCTTGTTGCATGGAAACAGACGGTGTGACTTTGTTATATCTATCTAAGCCCGTGAAGCCGGGTGGATCTGTGTATAACGAGAAACAGCCGTTGCTGTTCACCGTCACTGTTCCACGGCGTGGTCAAACACCATACTGCACAACCTCGACCTCATCAATTGACATGTCAAAGCCTCTTAGGGCGCACTCGGCCAAGAACACGTCCACGAGGGTAGTATCGGTCAAGTATATTTGCGATTGAAGCATATATGTACGTCTTGCGTTTGCTTGCACCTTCAGCAGGATCAAGAGAATAGCGTACGCCTACGTCAATGGCCAAACGTGCAGCAGGGTAAAAGTATCAGCTTAAGCTTATTTGGTTCGCCTTCACCAGTGCCTTTCTCTAGGCGCAAGAATTAGAACTCCGTATTCAATCTGTACCGACCCGAGGGGACAGCCGTTACGGAGTTGATGATTCGTACCATACGCCAACTGTGAACTGTCCATAACGCGCTTGTTTCTACTTGTTTTTGCGGATCTTCAGCCTAACAAGTAGGGTACGTTGAGGTTGATCCCAGCCAGTTAGCAGCTGTATCATAGGTCTGGCAAAGATGGGTGTGCTTACGAGCGTTCTTGATACGATCTTCCTCATATACTTTGCGCTCCACATTCCCACAACGATCCTTGTGGATAGCCAGAGCGGTAAGCACATCGACGCGACCGCACTGGTGCCATGCATTTGCCGCCGGAAACGCGCGAGTGTGGATAGCGTTCATGCTTAACTACTATGTACTTATTTAGTTACGCGATGCAACCTTCAATTCCAAGAAAGGGGTCGCTTAGAGTATCCCTCTCGTTTCCCTCGTAGTGATTCCTGCGGAATATTTCCCACCTTGGGCCAAGGAGCTACTTCAGTGGCACATAGATACCAACGGCGACCACCTGGTAGGGCTGATCGGGTTTTTGGCTTTGCTCTTCTCCTTGTTTGACCGCTTAGCAGCAATGAAAGTACGCTGATTGGCAGCAGCGCGGGGCAGAGGCTGCACGCCCGCCAAGCCTTTAGCGCAGTCCTGTTGACTCACGTCGATCGGCCATTCCTTCAATCACCATGCATAGTGGTCTTCGCACACCAGGAGCCTAGTCTCGTACGCCCCTGTGCCTGCACGTGGTCGTTTACTCTTCCTCCACTCCCTCCATCTCGCAAGCCACACCCACCGCACCATCCCCTTCACACCCAACAGGTCTCCAAGAACCCCGTGTGGTTCAAGTCCCTGGTCGCCTGTGAGCTTGCTCTCCAACTCCCCCTCTTCTTCGTGATCACCTATGGCTTCCTTCGCCGCCGCAATTGGATCCGCATGCCGTGCATCCTGTACGGCACCCACGTGGCAACCACCATGGCTCCCATCCTAGCTGACATTCTGTTCGGTCTGGACTCCACGAGCCCCAAGAAGCTCAACCTCGCGCTCATCTACCTGCCGTACCTTGTGATTCCGCTGCTGCTTGTCGTACGCATGCTGGCGGCAACCACGCCCTTCCCAAGTGCCGCCACCATTAAGCGCCGCAACAAGCGCAAGGGGCAGTAGGGGGCAGTGTGGCTGCTGCTGCTGCGCAAGGGGCAGTAGGGGGCAGTGTGACGGCTGCTGTTTTGGCTGTGGCTGAATGGCCCCTGGTGCCGCGTGCGTGTGGCTGAATGGTGTTGACGGTGCTGACGATAGGTCAGTGTAGAAGAGGTGATTGCTTGGGCAGAAAGGCCCGCTTTGCTGCTGGTGGTGCCTTTGCTGCCAGCTCGGATGTGAGGGCGGTAGTGATGAGGGTGGTAATGAAAATGGGGAAGACATGCTATAACTGCTTCGGGTTTGTTCGGACGTACCGTACGGCACCGGTATTATGGTGTGATGAACGAAAAGGCAGGTCTTGTGGGGCTGGGTTGGTGTCTTGTGGCTGAAGGTGGTAGCGGTATTGGTGGAAGAGGAGCCGAGAGACAAGAAAGTAGAAGGGCGAGAGAGGCGAATGACGACCTTGCAGAAGTGCTAGAGGACATAGGTGTACCTATGCAGTTCTTGTTGTACGGTAGTTACAGTGCCACTGTGTTATTGGGTGTGTTATCGCTGGTGGCACCACCTCGCGTGGATACAGTATGTTTCGGACCCAGTCAGAAAGCCCCAACACGCCAGGTGGCGTGGATGCATGTATATTTAGATGTTGAATTTTGATGCAGTACCTTGTAGGCATGCAGGGTGGATGAGGACGTCAGCAGCAGCAGCAGTCTCGTACATCACACCAAATCACGGGCGGCATCGCTTCAGGCTCCGTCCAACGCGAGGGCGAATGCATTCCAGGCGTTTCCGTCCCTCCACATACAAGCACAGGTAACGGTATCTACAGGGTCTACAGGTGCCGTATGCCGGTAGTGCTACAGCCAGTAAAGTGCCAGCCTCCAGAGCCCCACTGTATGCCGAGATAAGATTAGGAATTCATCTATAATTCAGGCTGTACTGTGCAGTACACACTTGTTAAGCTTCACGAGCGAGGTGGCGGCTTGACCCGTGGGTCACCCCCCAACCGCGCCTCCGCCGCCATGGCTGCCATCGCTGCCGCCGTGCTTCCTTGCGACGCCCCCGCCGCCGCTGCTGCTGCTGCCTCTCCATTACCACCGCCTCCTAGCACCCTCCCTCGCCCCACAAACGTCCCTTGTCCTCCCCCTCCCGATCCCGACCCCCCCTCTGCATCCTCATCCAATCCACCGCTGCTCCCACCAGCCCCTCCTTGCTTCTTTAGCAGTTTCCCAAGCGTCATGACTCTGGACCACACGGCCCCTCCTCCTGATGCCGTACTGCCGCCATTGCTACTGCCGCTCGCTGTAGCTGTAGCTGAGGAGGAGCTATTGCCGCCGCCTGCATTGCGTGGGAGGTCTGCCGTACTGTACGGCAGTACGGGTCCCGGCATCATGATGAAGCTGGGTTGGCGGATGAAGTGACCCATGGGTCGGCTTTCTTCGATCCAAGCGGTGGTGGGTCGCGACAGGCCGAGAGGCTGCAGGTAGCCCCACACCCACAGCTGACCGGCCTGTAAGGATAACACGGTGAGGGGGCGTTAAAAGAGGTGTTAAAGCCCATGGAGAGTTAAGACGAGGTGGTTCAGCCGTGGAGAACGGGTTGCCAAATCCACCATGAGGGGTAAAACTCAAACAGAGCGGCAAGACAGGGCAGTCTGCCTCCTCGCCTCGTCATACAGCTCGTTAGTTTCCTTTCCTTACCCCCCACTGCTCTGCCTCGGTGCCCCCTAAACCCTAACCAACCCTAACCACCACCCTACCAGCAGTCCCGCGAGGTGCCCTGCGAATGAGGCTTGCGGCACCAGCAGCTGCATGGCCGCCAGTAGCACCCAGGGGTAGGCGGCAGCAGGCACCGAGAACAACCCGAACACACTGCGCTGCTGCTGCTGGGGGTGGTGGTGGTGCGGAGGGTGGTGGGAGGGGGTAGTGGTGGGGTGAAAGGGCAGGCGGAGGGAGGGGAAGGTGGGGAAAAGGGTGATGAGAGCGAAGGGGTTTCTGGACTGGTGGCATACCGGTACATGCAGCTCAGCAGGTGTTAGCGAGTGTGCCCTGCACCGCCGAAGCAGTCTGCTTTTCCATACTGCCACGCCTCAGCAAGCGATTGAATCCAAACGCCACTCGAGAGGTGACACCACCACCAACAACAAAGCCATGCAACACGCACGACTGTGCAACCCGACACCACCTCGCACCTGCGCTGCCGCGTGGCTGCTGCTGCCATGCGGGTGTGGGGGCGCCGACTCCAGGACCAGCAGTCCGAAGATGACACCCGAGAAGCCCACGGCGCAGGAGGCCAGGGCGCCTCGGACCAGCAGGCTGCAGCATGGGGGTTAGGACAGCCGGTTAGGAAAGCAGGCTGCGACAGGAGGTGTGTTCAGGCAAGCCATGCGGCAACAAGTACAGAAGGTGTGCCATGATATCCCGTCTTCCCTTTTTAGGGGACCATTGGACCATTGTAACAGTCATTCCGAGGGTAGCCATGGGGTAGGGCCTATGGTGCGAGGCAGTGCTTGTGCTTGGGCAGGAAACGGCGGTAGGCGCGGCTGCGGTGCATGTCGGCAGGGGCTGCTGGCCGCACCTGGCTGCCAGCTCTAGGGCGAGGTAGAGGAGCCCCTCCGCCACCACCAGCAGCAGCGAGATGTGCAGGAACTGAGGGGGTTGAGGTGCGGGGATTGGGATTGAGGTGCAGGTGCGGGTAAATAGGAAGACACTAACCGGGATGCGTTTGTGGGACGGGGTAGGCCGTCTTCAGGCTGTAAGTGATATGCGGAAGTAAGCTTTGTGGGCAGTTTGGTTGGCCATGGAAGAAGCGTGCGCGGCGGGCTGCGATACCTGACTCTATTGGGCAGTGCACTGACGTATCCACACGTTGCCCAACACAACGTTACATGCTTTCCAAGCTTTCCCTTCTGTGTTGCCTTGCATTCGCGGCTGCTGTCCTGATCCCTCGAGTGTACGGCAGTGCTATCATGTACGGCAGTGCTATCATGTACGGCAGTGCTGTTATGTACGGCAGTGCTATCATGTACGGCAGTGCTGTCATGTACGGCAGTGACAGCTGGGCACCTACCTGTACGGATCCCACATTGCGCTCCAGGCTGCTCCCGATGTGTACGAACGTCATCATGTTGAACAGCAGGTGCCATGGACCCAAGTGGAAGAAGGGGGCGGTAATCAGGCGGTACACTGCGCGGGTTGGTAGGGCGAGTGGGAAGCGAGACATGTGACGCGGCTCAACCACCATTGCGCCAAGGGGCCAAAACGTTAAGCGAGGGTCGCAGCGGTTAGACAGGTATGGGTGAGCTGGTGAAGTGGTGATAGAGGACTTGCGTGGTTGACTAGTCTTAATGCAGGAAGGAAGGAGGGGGGACGAAGAAGGGGCAGAGCTGGATTGGAGGTGTCCCAGCACCACAGGTTCATGCACGACAGCGCTAACAAACTATAGTAGCGTGCTGTTCGTCGTACCCTGATGGTGTCGTACAACGAGGTCCGTACTCAGGCAGATCCGGTTGGTGTCGTATCCAGTGGCGAGCTGGAGGACGAAGATGCCGGTTAGGAGGCTGAAGAGAGCCCTGTAGGCAGCAGCAGTAGCACAAGAACGTCGACGACGACATGTTGGGGCGACGAGTGGCGATGGTGAGAAGAAGAGGAGGAGCTAAAGAGAGTGATGGTTGATTCCAAACCGCTGTAGGGAATGTGTGCGGGTGAGTACGGTGGCAGGTCTGGTCTAACTGCAGGAGCTTGCTTGCTTACTTGGTACATAGCGGCAAGGAGCGATACCAATCTTGCACAGTGGCCACGATGGGAGATAATGTCTGTGTGGAGAAGAAGGGTGGACATCTCAGTTGAGTCGAGCTTGTAAGTCGAACAGGGCGGAGCCTTGCATGGCAATGACTTGCCCGTGGAGAGCCAGCGACCGCCATACTGAGATAGTCTTTGAACAAGCTCAAACTCCAAACGTCCTTTTCTTGTTGTATTTAATATTTGTCAAAATGTTCATCTATATTTCATTTGCTTACTACGCTTTCAATTGTTTTTTGCTGTCGCATCACGCTTGCTGTATGGCATTGAAGGTCGCATCCTTCCTAGCAAACCCACGCCTACAGCCTACAGTGTCAAGCATGGTGTCTGTGTTCCACCGCTCCGAATCCACCGGATCCAGAGAAGCCAAATCGTCACAAGCCTATCTCGCTAGGCTCATCACAAGTTCGGGCTTTAAGGCATACTTTTCCTAAGCGTTTAATACTTACGCATCCTGCTTAAATAGTACTGCGATAAGCCACCCACTTGCTGGTGCCGGCATGCTGCCAAAGCTCTCACAGCATTTCCACTGCCGTACTACCACCCCATGGCTCATTGCAGCATATGGAAGGGCTGAAAGGGCAGATGTAACTGAGGGCTCTGGGGAGCTGAGGTGCAGGGGCATACTAGGGACTCAGGCCCGTAAGGACAAGGGTGACAGTTTGTAAACCCTCCGGCGCCCATTCAAACGTACCGGTAGCTGACCAGAAATGCTTTTGGGCACAAACCGACCCAGTGACTGTTGGAACAGGAGCCAGGGGTAGCGGCACTGGTGTGGGGACACTACACGTCTGAGCTACAACACGGCAGGGTTAAGCAGGGTGTGCCGAAGGTTTCTAATTGATTGCCGGATGTCTTTGGCTGGAGGTATACTGCGTTGTGGAAGGGACTGTGACAGGGGTGGTGGTCACCGGTCAGGTAGAGGACAGAGGATGATGCACGGTACCGGCATAACCTCCTGCATGTGAACTGCTTGTCACCGCAGGTGCCCCGGACTTCATCTTCTGCTCTACATGAAGACGAATGACTTCCGCAAGCTGGGATGTGCAGGGTGTTTTCGGAGGTAATTCTCTCGCCATCACCCGCCGTATCGTGGGTGCCTACTGAAGGAAGGAGTTCAGGCCCTTGCAGATGGACACCACACACTCATCGCACAAGCGCAAACTAGGCTAGAGCGCTAGGCTACCAGCACGGTGTTGATTGGCATGGTAGTTAGTGTGCAGTTGCTTCTCAACCGTTCAGCTCTAGGCCTAAGCAATCCCCATTACTTGGTAGTGATTGCTCTGTAACCTATCATACTATAAAAATTTTGTACTGTCTGCTTAGGCAGGGCTTATCGCTGATACTAAAGCTTCTTATCTGCGAATCGGCGGCTTTCTGTGCCAGGCTTTGCAGTGGACATGGGAAGCGATCAGTATACTGTTAAGGCTGCACCAATAAATGGCAACGTAGCCTTTGTCACGCGAACAGGCGATGACGCCCCCAACGCTTCCAAGCGGGGTCAATTTGTTCCAGGATACTCTCCGCAGAAAGAGGTCCTGACGTTGGATCAGCCGTGCACGCTTAAAGGCTTATCTGGTGGGCTGGCAGCCGGCCTTATGGGCTACGTGTTCGGCTTCCTCCCCGGCATTCTCCGACATCCCAACCTGCAATCGCTGTCGCTCTGGCATTCCGAGGGACTGGCAAGCGCCCAGGGGTTCGCTGTCATGTAAGCACGGGGATTCACTCATGGGAAGTGCGCACTAATTTGGGTGCATGCTTCGCATGGGCGCTGCGCTGCTTATCATGGAAAATTCTTGCCACGCCCTGGCTCTCCTTACCTGTCACCGTGAAAATTCCTCTTTCACAACCTGCATAAACATTTTTGGCCCAACAGGAGTGGCATTTACGCCACTGCACAATGCGTGTGCGAGCGTCTTCGCCAAAAGGACGATGGCATCAACCGCATCGTAGCCGGAGCTGCTTCAGGTGTGGCAATGGCATGGGGCTCAGGTCTGGTCGGCGCGCTGCAGTCGGGCGTGTTGCTAGCAGTCGTCTCATGGGTGTTTGACTACGGGCTCGGAGGCGGTGGCTCCGGAGCGGCCAAGGCAGCTTGCGTGGGCGGAGGAAGAGGAGGCTGTGCTTCTGGAGCTTGCAGCGTCAACCTAGGCCGAGTGGTAAGCTGCAGCTATGGGACCCCAGCCGCCGAGGAACAGCAAGAGCAGCACCAACAGCGGCAAGGGCGGCGAAGCAAGGGGGTTCACTTGCAGTTTGGAGGTGCAATGCGGGGACTCCCAGACCCCATGCAGGTGCTTCGGACGCCGGTGGTGGTGTGGATGGGCCCCATTGTGAATCGCGCCTACTTCTCGCCGCAATCCCTGTCGCTGCAAGCCTAACACATGCTTGGATCCCCAAGCAAGCAGTGCGGCACTGTGCGGCTCTCTTTCGTGAGGATGCGAGCAGGGGCAGCTTTTTTGAACCCCGGCATGACGCACGCCCCTTGGCGCGTTCTGCGGCGCGGACGGCGCGCCTAGCAAGAGTCCCTTTAAGCGCTGCATGTTCGCCCTCCTTCCACGACATGTTTCTTCCTGTTGGGCCTCTGCCCGGTTGTTTAGTTGGTGGTAGTGTTGTCAGCAGGAGCAGCAGGAGCTTCATAACATGCGCTAGCTTGTTGTAGTGTACATTAACAGTATGCAGCTATTCTTTAATCTACTGCACCGCAGTATGGCAGGAGGTATGAGCTAGGTGATTCCGGGCATTGTCGCTGGCCCACGGCATTCAGGTTTATGGGCACGGGAGGACTTCTGAGGATATAGGATTGCGCCAACGCGAGGTTGCGGGCGACGGCTTATTTTCCAAAAGCGCTTAACGTGTGTACAATTGTTTTGCAGGCTACGTGGGCAGTCGTACAGGGCACACCTGCAGTTTAACGTGCAAAGGTGTACTCCTTGCTGTGTTGTGTTTCTGCTTGGCGCTTGCTCTTATTAATTCTTGGCGCTTTGGGCTGCTCCATATGCTGTCCCGATGGTCACAGGACAGCAAGGTTGTTTAGGCGGCCGCGGCCTGGGAAGAATAATGAAAGCTTAGCTATTTGTTGTCCGGCATTGCTGGTGTGAAGGTTCGAAGAGTTGGCGGGTGTTGCTTGGTGAGGGCTCTATCTCCAGCTTGGTGGCAGGTGAGGGTGTTTTGGGTGCATGCAGTGAGCTGGCTGGCGAGAGGTGTTTGCACAGGGGCATTCCCTGCTGCACACATGCTCGCGGGGGGTGACCTATGGGTCATCCCGACGGTTCTGGTCAGCCTTTACATTGGCTGGCAGCATGAGCGCAGCATCCCTGGCCATGATAACCTTGCGCTAGATGCTAGTCATGTCGTGTTGGCGGAATAATGGCAACGTGATGGGGCTAGCAGACCGGGCAGTACATATTACCTGGTTCACTGATATGCATGTTGCGAGACTAACGTACTGGACGTCTGCGATGCAAGTTTTCGGCGATCTTGGGCCCCTTTTTGGTCCCTTGGTTCAAGGTTGCAGTACCATGCGTCTCTCTTTCCTTAAGCACCAGCTGCCATTACCGGTACCGCATGTTCACACCTCGTGTCACCTCTTCAGTCCCCAACGGTCTATCCAGAGCCAGCGCTTACACTCAGCTCCAACCAACGCAAACGCAGCTAATGATTTGGTCTTCGCAAGCGGCACAAACCCAAAACCCAACCCAACCATAAAGCAAGCCCAAACGCAAGAAGCACGAAGGCACGCGCCCCAACCCTGGCGCTAGGAGTGATCACCGCCTTCCCAAAGTACGGCTAATAACGTCGCGGTGCCGTATCATGTAGCTAAGTTAGCGTGATGTATCTTATGGAAAAGCCGGCTGCCCGTAGTTCACTGTACGACACACACACGAGAAGCCCACCTCAGAAGCCTCGCCCCTGCCACCTCAAAAGCCTCGCCCCTGCCACCTCAGAAGCCTCGCCCCTGCCACCTCAGAAGCCTTGCCCCTGCCACCTCAGAAGCCTCAGAAGCCTCAGTACCCTCGCCCCTGCCACCTCCGTAACGTCGCCCCTGCCACCTCAGAAGCCTCGCCCCTGCCACCTCAGAAGCCTCGCCCCTGCCACCTCAGAAGCCTTGCCCCTGCCACCTCAATACCCTCGCCCCTGCCACCTCAGAAGCCTCGCCCCTGCCACCTCTGAAGCCTCGCCCCTGCCACCTAAGAAGCCTCGCCCCTGCCACCTAAGAAGCCTCGCCCCTGCCACCTCTGAATCCCTCGCCCCTGCCACCTCATAAGCCTCGCCCCTGCAACCTCGGAAGCCTCGCCCCTGACACCTCTGAAGCCTCCCCTGACACCTCAGAAGCCTCGCCCCTGCCACCTCAGAAGCTTCGCTCCTGACACCTCAGTACCGTCGCCCCTGCCACCTCAGAAGCCTCGCTCCTGCCACCTCAGAAGCCTCGCCCCTGCCGCATCAGTACCCTCGCCCCTGCCACCTCAGAAGCCTCAGTACCCTCGCCCCTGCCACCTCAATACCCTCGCCCCTGCCACCTCAGAAGCCTCGCCCCTGCCACCTCAGAATCCTCGCCCCTGACACCTCAGAAGCCTTGCCCCTGCCACCTCAATACCCTCGCCCCTGCCACCTCAGAAGCCTCGCCCCTGCCAGCTCTGAATCCCTCGCCCCTGCCACCTCAGAAGCCTCGCCCCTGGCACCTCAGAAGCCTCGCCCCTGCCACCTCAGAAGCCTCGCCCCTGCCACCTCAGAAGCTTCGCTCCTGCCACCTCAGTACCGTCGCCCCTGCCACCTCAGAAGCCTCGCTCCTGCCACCTCAGAAGCCTCGCCCCTGCCACCTCAGAAGCCTCGCCCCTGCCACCTCAGAAGCCTCGCCCCTTCCACCTCAGAAGCCTCGCCCCTGCCACCTCAGAAGCCTCGCCCCTGCCACCTCAATACCCTCGCCCCTGCCACCTCAGAAGCCTCGCCCCTGGCACCTCAGAAGCCTCGCCCCTGCCACCTCGGAAGCCTCGCCCCTGCCACCTCAGAAGCCTCACCCCTGCCACCTCAGAAGCTTCGCTCCTGCCACCTCCGTAACGTCGCCCCTGCCACCTCAGAAGCCTCGCTCCTGCCACCTCAGAAGCCTCGCCCCTGCCACCTCAGAAGCCTCGCCCCTGCCACCTCAGAAGCCTCGCCCCTGCCACCTCAATACCCTCGCCCCTGCCACCTCTGAATCCCTCGCCCCTGCCACCTCAGAAGCCTCGCTCCTGGCACCTCAGAAGCCTCGCCCCTGCCACCCCGGAAGCCTCGCCCCTGCCACCTCAGAAGCCTCACCCCTGCCACCTCAGAAGCTTCGCTCCTGACACCTCAGTACCGTCGCCCCTGCCACCTCAGAAGCCTCGCTCCTGCTACCTTAGAAGCCTCGCCCCTGCCACCTCAGAAGCCTCGCCCCTGCCACCTCAGAAGCCTTGCCCCTGCCACCTCAGAAGCCTCAGTACCCTCGCCCCTGCCACCTCAATACCCTCGCCCCTGCTACCTCAGAAGCCTCGCCCCTGCCACCTCAGAAGCCTCGCCCCTGCCACCTCAGAAGCCTCGCCCCTGCCACCTCAGAAGCCTTGCCCCTGCCACCTCAGAAGCCTTGCCCCTGCCACCTCAATACCCTCGCCCCTGCCACCTCAGAAGCCTCGCCCCTGCCACCTCTGAATCCCTCGCCCCTGCCACCTCAGAAGCCTCGCCCCTGGCACCTCAGAAGCCTCGCCCCTGCCACCTCGGAAGCCTCGCCCCTGCCACCTCAGAAGCTTCGCTCCTGCCACCTCAGTACCCTCGCCCCTGCCACCTCAGAAGCCTCGCCCCTGCCACCTAAGAAGCCTCGCCCCTGCCACCTCTGAATCCCTCGCCCCTGCCACCTCATAAGCCTCGCCCCTGCAACCTCGGAAGCCTCGCCCCTGACACCTCTGAAGCCTCCCCTGACACCTCAGAAGCCTCGCCCCTGCCACCTCAGAAGCTTCGCTCCTGACACCTCAGTACCGTCGCCCCTGCCACCTCAGAAGCCTCGCTCCTGCCACCTCAGAAGCCTCGCCCCTGCCACATCAGTACCCTCGCCCCTGCCACCTCAGAAGCCTCAGTACCCTCGCCCCTGCCACCTCAATACCCTCGCCCCTGCCACCTCAGAAGCCTCGCCCCTGCCACCTCAGAATCCTCGCCCCTGACACCTCAGAAGCCTTGCCCCTGCCACCTCAATACCCTCGCCCCTGCCACCTCAGAAGCCTCGCCCCTGCCAGCTCTGAATCCCTCGCCCCTGCCACCTCAGAAGCCTCGCCCCTGGCACCTCAGAAGCCTCGCCCCTGCCACCTCAGAAGCCTCGCCCCTGCCACCTCAGAAGCTTCGCCCCTGCCACCTCAGTACCGTCGCCCCTGCCACCTCAGAAGCCTCGCTCCTGCCACCTCAGAAGCCTCGCCCCTGCCACCTCAGAAGCCTCGCCCCTGCCACCTCAGAAGCCTCGCCCCTTCCACCTCAGAAGCCTCGCCCCTGCCACCTCAGAAGCCTCGCCCCTGCCACCTCAATACCCTCGCCCCTGCCACCTCAGAAGCCTCGCCCCTGGCACCTCAGAAGCCTCGCCCCTGCCACCTCGGAAGCCTCGCCCCTGCCACCTCAGAAGCCTCACCCCTGCCACCTCAGAAGCTTCGCTCCTGCCACCTCCGTAACGTCGCCCCTGCCACCTCAGAAGCCTCGCTCCTGCCACCTCAGAAGCCTCGCCCCTGCCACCTCAGAAGCCTCGCCCCTGCCACCTCAGAAGCCTCGCCCCTGCCACCTCAATACCCTCGCCCCTGCCACCTCTGAATCCCTCGCCCCTGCCACCTCAGAAGCCTCGCTCCTGGCACCTCAGAAGCCTCGCCCCTGCCACCCCGGAAGCCTCGCCCCTGCCACCTCAATACCCTCGCCCCTGCCACCTACAATACCCTCGCCCCTGCCACCTAGAATACCCTCACCCCTCCCACCTCAACACCCTCGCCCCTGCCACCTCAATACCCTCGCCCCTGCCACATCAGAACCCTCGCCCCTGCCACCTCAGAACCCTCGCCCCTGCCACCTCAATACCCTCGCCCCTGCCACCTACATTACCCTCGCCCCTGCCACCTACATTACCCTCGCCCCTACCACCTCAGTTCCCTCGCTCCTGCCACCTCAGAACCCTCGCCCCTGCCACCTCAGAACCCTCGCCCCTGCCACTAGAATACCCTCGCCCCTGCCACCTCAATACCCTCGCCCCTGCCACCTACAAGACCGAACCAACAAGCGAACACCAAAACTCGATCTACTGTCCAGCATGCCACAAGGCCATGTACATGAAAGCCTTTGCTATGCCCTAACATGTGTCATCAAACACGTCATCCCATATGGTGATGGGGAATGTCCCGGCGCTACAACTTAGCCCCATAGCTGTTTCGTGAAGTATAAATGACCGTTACAGTGACGCTGAAACACGTGCGCACCTGCGCACTTAGCCCGTCCACTTTTGGCGTCATGGTGACACCAACAGGAAAGCGTTAGGCAGTAGGGACTCTGAAACCACACCCGCTTCATGCGTCAACAACTGTTCCGATCTTCGGGGCAGGCTGTAAGGGAGAAACGTCGATGCGGTGCGTCGGTTGGACGGCTGGCGGGAGTCCTTCACGGTAGGTTGCAAATGGGCGAGAGCGAAAAGTGCGACTTTAGGAGGCGAGAGAGCAGGCACGGAGGCTAGGCGTGCAGCTATGAGGGTCGTCATGGACAACGACGCATGCAACGTTTGCGGGATACGTGTAGGGTCTTGCTGTGGATCGGTGTCGAGAGGTGGGTGGGAGCCTCGATAAGCGCACAGGTCTCCGCGTACGCATAGTACTGACAAGCTAAATCGTGTGAGGTAGGCCCTCAGCAACTTGTGAGGTAGCCCGCACAAACGACAGAAGCGGAAGAATACCGGTACAGCCGAGGCTAGCGGAAAGCATCAATCTTCACAGAAGTTTAGGGGTCATAAGGGAAAGCCCTAGCGCTCCGAGATACGCCCCTTCCCTATGCTATAAACATGCACGTATATTCATTGTGGGTACAGCCGCTGTAAAATCTCTCTTCTGAAGCCATCGGGGGCAAAACCGTCAACCAGATGACTAAAGGTAGATGCGGCCCCAAATGCCTCCGATGGCCGTCGAGCCTCATTGCCACACAAAACTGGAAGAGATGATAATTCTTGTTGAATATTCTGGATTATAGCAAGCGGCGGCTTACGTAATCGGCGCACAGCGGCTATCACGCAAAGCCGAAACGCCCGTCCCATGGGTCGCTCCCGCCCATGGACGAGAGACCTGTTCCAGAACGATACGCCCCGACCTGGGCTTAGTTACGATGCAAATTGTAAGCAAAATAACTCTGATTAAGGAAGCAAGATGTAATCCATCATTGAGAGTGCCAGCTACCAAGGCTTCGCCAATTGCTTGGCTGTTGCTTTTCCGGAACCTACCAGCCACAGCCGATACAACTACAAGTGTAGCCCCTTCCAGCCGCAGCTTAATCCTTGAAGCACGTCTCCCGAAGCCTATTGGATTCCAAAGAAAAGCCCAAGAGCGGGTAGCTGCCACCTGGAAAGTTTGATAAACATCCGGCAGTAAACCGAGACATTGCAAACCGGCAATGCCCGACGCAGCCTTCCCGTGGCATATGTACGCAATAATACAAGAGGATGCCCCGAGCAAAAGCGAAGAACGCCATGGAGTAGACTTGCATACTAGCTAAACCACCAGGCCTGCCTATACAGATTATATCCTAACCAGGTAACAGCGCGGAGAGCCCTAAGAAAACCCAACGCCAAAATAAAGCGCCACAACATCAGTAGTTCACTGCTATGCATGCACCGCATCGTGCAACTAGCTAATGCTGCAATGCGCACTCGACAAGAGCATTTCAGGGGGATACGGATCATCATATCAAGAATCCAAAAGAACAAAATTGCATGGACGCATAGAAACATATGACAGGACTAGCTATGCTACCCTGATGGGGACTGCTATTTGGCAGCAGCGTATATTGACCATTTTGTGTCTGTCTATGCTACTACCTATTTGCGTGTAACCGGGCTGTTGCATTCAGGCTGTCTAAGAATCCACCAAGAATCCGAATCCACCTCTGCACCCTGGCGTGACAGCAGCCCGGGCGAACTGAATCCTATTCGTCCCATCTAATTAGTCTACCCATAGCCACAACCGACTAGTGGCCGTGTCTATGCAAAGGTAAGGTATCCTATCTGTCCTGTGCCATGGAATTCTACTCATTGCCAAAACTCTCTCTCGCATTGATCCCCGCCCATTTCGCACTCTGACTCCACCCTGCTGCCTCCGTACCAACCTTTCCCTGCTCTGGATCCATCTCTTCCTGCTTGGCGCACCACCCACCCGCCAGCAGCCCCGCAGCGGCCGCCAGCGCCAGGTAGGCGTCCTCACAGGCGCGGACCGCGGAGGACACGTCGGGGAACTCCCAGCAGCCGCCGCTGGAGGGACCTGGGAGCAGTGGACGGGACTGTCGCAGCTGAGGCTTTCCTAACTGACAATACGCGCGACAGGTCTGGTGACTTCGCCGCCTGCAGCGAACTAGCCGAGTAAGCTTTTCAAATATGGTTGGCTGGCGATGAGGGGTTTTGAAAGTGGCCACCGCCCGTACACGTCTTGCATAGTGCTCAAGCTTTGCGTGTGGCTTGGCGTTATCGATGCCAAAACATCCTCCTCTGCTTTCTTTGCCTCTTCTCGGGCGGTCCATGAGCCTTATGGCTCGATCTGGGCCTTACGAGCCTAGAGCTTGTATTTTAGTTTTCCGACAACCATCAGCATCACCGACATGCGTCGTCACTCGTCACCCGCCACTCTTCTTACATCCAGCAACAGCTATTTAAGCAGTTTTTGAATTACGGTTCAGGTTTGGTCACTTCTGCTTTTGCCTGTACTCGCGGTTCACATGCGAACCTCTCCCAATTGCTTGCTCTTGTCCTACTCAACTACACACGCAATCCGTAGCTGCATAACGCAAGGGAAACCCTGGTAAGCGTAAAGGCAATATTAAAAACGGGTGCTTTAAGACAAGCGCAAAGTACAATCGTGCGCAGCTCCCTACCACATCCTAGGAGGACACGCACAACATATCGCTGGTGCCTTCGTGTTGCCTACAGTTTCATTCTGAAGGTATGCAGCGCCAGGAACATGTGCTGGTGGACCAGAGCGTACGCTTGGCGACTTCGTCTAGCGTCCATCCAAGCAGCAGCAACCATGACCCCAGCCCGCTGCAGCCTGGCGTGGTGGTAGTGCCGAGTAACGATCAGCAGCACGGAGAGGTGCTTACTGCTGCCGGCAGGAGTGCCCAAGGAAACGCCTCGCGTATTTGGATTCCCGACATTATTCAGTGCATCGCCCGCTTCCTGCCGCCCAATGAGGTTTCTTGCAGCTTACGTCTGGTGGACAAGACAGCGGCGTCAGCGCTCCGAGGGCCGGAACACACCGAGGTGCTGCTGTGGAAGCCTGTTCCACATGACATTTTCGCCCAGCGCTGGGGCGCACCAGGCGCCATGCGGAGCCTCAACCTGGAACAGCGACTGCAGCTGCTGTGCCTGACGGCGAGAACCGGCAGTGTTGCTAACCTTGAAGTGGCGGTTGAAAACGTGGGCTTTGATACAGAATCTCCAGTCCTTAGGAGCCGGCTGGAGAAGGTGATGACTTCTGCAGCTGCTGCTGGTCACCTCCATGTATGTGAGTGGCTGGACCAGCGGCGCTGGCGTGCAGGGGACAGTGCCCTCGAAGCAGCGGCGGAGGCGGGGCACCTGCACGTATGCAAGTGGCTCGAGGCTGACCACTGTTGCGTGTCTGAGACGACCGTGTATGCAGCTCTCTCGGAGGGCCGAACCGAGATCTTGGATTGGCTGGGAAGGTGCTCCTATCCTCTCGACCTAGCAGGTTTCCTGGGGGCAGCTATGTGGGGTTACGACCTGGAAACACTGAAACAGCTGCAGGAGGAGCTGTTCAGCGATGACGAGCAAGACACGGGAGGATGGAGGATGAGACGGGACGAGACGGAGGATGAGGAGGATGGAAATGAGGAGGAGGAGGAGGAGAAGCCTTACTACGATTTCAACTATGGTGAGATGTGGGCCATCACCTCCAATGCAGCAGGCAGCCCGACAGCCGATTGGCAGGCCAAGTTGGAGTGGATACACAAGGTACTCCGCATCCCCAAGGATGCGGATGCATATATCGGTGCTGCGGGGCGTCCTGACGCGGTTGCCCGCTTCACATGGCTGCAGCAGCAGGGCTACCCGCTTTACAGGAATGACGAGGTAGCCGGTTTGGCTGAAGCCGTATCAAGGGGCAACATAGCTGCCGCGGAGTATTGGCTGGACCAGGGCCTCACGGCGGTCAGCCGGGGGGCTAGACTGGCAGCCGAAAAGGGGCACCTCGAGGCGTTGCAGCTCCTGCATGCACGCGGCAGCTTGGCAACCGATGCGAGCAACAAGGTCCTCAGGGATGTCGTGCGGAGTGCCGTGGAGGGAGGGCATGTGGCCGTTGTGGAGTGGCTGGTCCAGGTGGCGGGACTGGATGTGTTGCGCTTACCAGACCTCCTGGAGCGTGCGGCCGGCGCAGGCAGTGCCGTACTGATGCGCATGGTGCATGAGGCGGGGAAGGGGGAGGGGGCGGCCCTGACTGCCGACTTGTTCCACCAGGCTGTTAAGTCGGGCTGCGAGGAGGCGGTGGAGTGGCTGGCGGAGCGAGGCTGCCCCGTGGTGAGTGTGCGGGTGGCGGGGCTTTTGTGGTGGGGCTGGGACAGGGACGGTCAGTGGGGTGAGTTCTTCCACGGGATGGCCGCGGAATTACGTTACAGGGCCCGGGGGCAACAATACTTGGAAGGAAGGTTAGGAGGGACAAAGCCGCTTGTGCGGGGAGTGTACAGTGTGTATGTCATGCACGCATGCTCATGATGAGTCACACCCGTGGCTCTCATCCACTGACCACGTTTCCCGCGCGCCGCATCCCAACACCACAGGTGGCTCCAGGGCAGGACATTCACTGTACACCTTATGTGGTAGCAGCCCGGCAGGGGGACATGGCCATGCTGCGTTGCCTGCGGCGGGTGGGCTGCCCCTGGCAGGGCTCGGAGACCCTCACGTACTGTGTGCGTTGTGACTGCTCCTTGCCGATAGTGCGCTGGATGCTGGAGGAGGGCTGCCCTGTGGACTGGGCGGCGGTGCTGCCGACCTATACGTTTGGGTGGCCTAGGGAGGTTGAAACGTGGTTGCTAAAGCGGAGGAAGCAAGAGTTGAAGCGGGCAAAGGAGGGAGGGCTGGTCGAAGGTGATGGGAAGTGATGGCTGCTTGGGAAGAGCATTAAGGCTGTGCTACATGGGGAATTGGCAGGAGTTCGATCGGGTTCTTCATTGACCTGCGTTCTTGAGCTGCATGGACCCATTGTTGGGAGGTGCGAGACGAGTAGTAGACGAGGGTTTAGAGATGTTACGATGGTTGTTGTTGGTACGGCAACGCCTGTGCATGTTGTCGCTGGCACAATTAAGAGGTGGTATTCCACTTCGGCGAGGTCATAAACCGTGAAACAGTTGCGCTGGATCCACTTACTAGGGACAGGAGGGGTGTGCTACACCGAATTAATGCACCAAAGGCAAGCCTGGGACACCATCCTAACACTCTCCAGGAAAGACAGCCACCACGGCTGTATACAGGTCAAGGTTCCCAATAGGACATGTAACGTCGCCTACATGTGTGCAACAGTCTAGTGCAGTATTCATAGCGCATCTTATGTACTGAGCAGGCAATGCTTCCTATGGTGTGCATCCGCCGCCGTCACTGCCTTCAACCTCTGATAATAGGAGGTCCCTACTTCCACTACAAGGAAAGGTCACGGCAAGACTACACAGTAGCACAGTTTGTGCAATACGACTATCCGCCCACGCGTGTACCTATGCTCACGGAGAGTACCGGGACGGACAGCATGGGGAGAGAGGGAGGGATGGTAGCATGCATGCATGCACGAGAGGAACACCGCACAGAGCTGGATGTGAGGAAGGAAGGAGGACGGTGGCATCTAGTTTCTGCACCAACACGCATCATGCATGCAAGACCCCGGATGGACCCCCCAACGCCGCCCACTTACGTTCCAACGGTGACTCCTTCGAGGGGCCCGGCACCACCAGCTGCTGCTCCTTTGCTAGCCGGCCACCCGCGTCCTCCCGCCCTGCGCCCGCCGCCTCGCCCCCTCCCGCACCGCTGCTGCCCCCGTCCGCCCCCCTGCTCTGCTGCGCCGCCTGCGTGTAGCTCAGCAGCGGCAGTCCGTTGGCGCGCAGCAGTTGCCGGCAGTCGGATCGGCGCAGGCCGGCGAACACGGCGTGCACGTGCTGCGAGGCCAGAGTGGACACCAGCGTGGCGAAGGTGCGAGCGGCGGTGGAGTCCAGACCCGTCACGGAGCTGCATGCGGGGGCAGGCAGTGGGAAGGGGGGGCTGGAGGGGGGATGCAATGGATATGAGAGGGAAATGTAGGTGGTAGTTAAGGCTACGGGGGTGAAAGCTTTGTTGCCCCATGTAGCAATATCGCCCATGCTGGCACGGCGGAGTGATTGCCTGTGCCGTACGTACACGCAAGCATCCCCCCGCCCCTCCTCCCACTCCTCCTCCTCCTCCCTCCCCACCTGAAGTCCTGAGTATGATGACCACGGGCGCCCGGGCCAGTGCCTGCGCCGCCCGCCAGTGCCACTTCGCGCGGGACAAGCCGACCCCCGGGTCGCTGCAGCTCTCGCCCTCGCCCGCCTCCTCGCTGCTGCCGCCACCACCATCGCTGCAGTCACTGCTGCCACGCGCCTCCCGCCGATCCGGCTCCTTCGGGTCTGCAGGGGAGGAGGCTGCTCCGCTAACCTGCCCCGCCGCCGTTCGCCCTGCTGCTTTCACCGTCCTGCACAGCAGCCCCCACCTCTCCCTTCTGCTTGCCCTTGTCCTCTCCCTGCTTGCACTTGTACTGCTCCTCCTCCTCCTCCTCCTTCAGCTGCGCCGCCGCCGCCGCCCACGCCGCCTCCTCGTGCTGCCGCGCCTCCTCCCGCCGCTCCTGCAGCATGCGCGCCGCCGTGTGCAGCACCTGGTTCCCCAGCCCCGAGGAGCTGCCGAAGAACACGAAGCCGCCCAGCCGCAGCACCGCCAGCCGCCGCCCCAGCAGGTCCAGCGCGCCGCCCGCCTCGAAGCCGTGTGAGCGACCGCTGCGGGCGGACACCTGACGCAGGCTGCTCACCTGGCTCTGAAAGGGGGGGGGGGAAGGGAGCAGAGGTGGAGGGGAAGGAGAGGCGGGTAAACGCATAAGTGCGCGCTTAGAAACAAGGCAGTAGGGAAGAGGGAAGAGAAGGGAGTCCAAGGCTGCACGTTCCCTCTTGCCCTAGCCCGTGCATGCCCCTTCGCTCCCTCCCCGCCATTGCCCTGCTCCTGCGGCAAAGGTGAGCCACAACAGCAGGTACTCGGGGCGGGAGAGCTTCCTGTGAGTGGTGGCATGGCAATTAGCGGGAGCGTTAGGAGGAGCAGCGTTGCAAAGTTTGCGTGCAGGTCAGCTGTTGTTGGGGCCTGAAGGAGAAACCATTCATCAGCGGCCAGTGGGTCTGCGGTTCAGGACGGTCAAGGAGAAGGAAGTCCGCTTTTCGCCAGAGCTGTCTCAGGAGGCCCCCACATACACCGCCCCTTCATAACGCCTTCACAGCTCAGCCACCTAGGGTGCCACACTAGATGATGACTCACTTGTACGACAGGATGAGCCAGTCCCGGGCGATGTCGATCCCGAACCAAACGAGGAGAGCCCCATAGGAAAAGTTGGGCATGTACTGTACGACACTGAACGGCAGTGCGAACACCAGCAGCTCCACCAGGGCGATGGTGAGGCCGTTGATGCGGTTGAACACGCCCTGGGTGCGCATTGGAGGGGCGGGGCGAGGAGGGAGGCAGGCAGGTGAGCATAGCTCACAGAGGCTCACCAAGGCGCCCAGCAAGCAAGCAAGCAGCCCTGTTCACGTTGAGTCCCTTCCCTTTCCTGCCCTGGCCCCCGCACCTACCTGTCTCATAGTGAACACGGTTTGGCTGAAGATGTAGGAGCCGGTGTAGCCCGCCCCCAGCGCGCCCGTCACCATGTTGGACACCCCCACTGTGAGCAGCTCCCGGTTGAAGTCCAGCGGCGTGGGCATGTCGCTCTGGATGGCCGCCACGCCCATGCAGCTGCCGAAGCACACCACCAGGAACAGACCCGCCAGCTTGGGCAGCTGAGCCAGCATGGCGCCGAAGCTGACACCCAACCCCGGGGAGCCGGGCTGCAGGTGATACAGGCCCCACAGCTGCCAGAACTGAGTAGCGCCGGCCTGAGGGGGGGTAGGATAGGCATGCATGTTGTCTCAGCCTCAGCCTATCTAGGTCGCCATCAGAAGGAGGCCGTCCCTGTCCCAGGCGTATCCCCCCCCCCCGCTCACCGTGGGTGGCATGACCCAGCCCTCCTCCTGCGCTCGCCTCAGGTCCCATCCCACCGCCCACAGCACCGCGTGGAAGGCCAGCGGTACGGCACTCAGCAGCCCCGGCAGCGCCAGCGGGTGGTGCACCCGCGCCACGCACAGCATGAGTACGGCAATGGTGGCGGCGGCGGGCAGCAGCTTGAGTGCGGGCCCGGGCGCCAGCAGGTGCGTCCACGACAGCAGCGAGTTCACCTGCATGCCCGCAGCCAGCGCGGTGCCGCCGGCGATGCAAAAGTAGCCCACGAAGCCCAGGTAACCGCCAACCACCGGCAACGGAACGTACGACACCATGTCCGCAAGCTTGAGGCGGGCTGGGCGGATGAGGGCGGGAAGGGGGCTGGGGTTCAGGATGCGACATACGGGGTAGGTAGCTCACAGCCCTCCCAGGTCATGCATGCGCACTGGCAGGTGTAGCGCCCGCCCTCCGCCCCCTCAGACTTCTGGCCCCTCCCTCGTCCTCCCGCCCCCGGCCCACTCACCCACCACCACCGTGAGCAGTCCCACAATGCAGGTGCTGAGGGTCATGACCAACAGCGAGGAGCCCAGAGCCACCGCGGCCACATCGCCACCACCGCCTCCGCCTTCCTCGGAGGAGGTGAGGCGCAGTGCGATGTCTGATGCCATGGCCGACAGGAAGATGAGCCCCACGTCCTGCACCTGCCCCACTGCGAAGGACAGGCTGCTCAGGCACACGAACACGAGTTGGTGTACGGCGCTGCTGAAGAAGAAGAAGCGACACAGGCTGTCCAGGTAGGGGGCGTACAGGGGGGCCTGGGGGGTTGGGGGGGAGGAATGGGAGGCTTGGTGGTTTCCAATTATGCATGGTCAGGCAGGTGTTTCATTGAAGCGCTGCAGTTCCCGGTACCACAGTTCGTCCTTCGCGGACCCTCCTGAATACTGCGGCATGCAGCTCATCAAGCGCCTGCTGTACGCCTTCACACCCGCCACCTACCTTGAACACAAGTGCCGCGTAAGCGATGAGGGCCGGTATGCCGACTACTGTGTTGACCATGCCAAAGACCACAGCATTTACAACGCCGCCCCGAGGTCTTTCCACACTATTTGATGCTACCGCCGAACCAGCAGCCGACTTGGCTGCAATGCCAGCTGCAGCCGCGTCACCGTTGCCGGCTTGAGGGCCGCCTGCGGGGTCCCCATCTGGTGGAGCAGCAGCAACAGCGCCCGACATGCTTCCCCAAAAGGCACGGTTGCCCTCGAGCTCAACCTCTCCGCCCTTCCCCGTCGCTGCCTCCGCTCGGTCCCATGGGTCGACATAATGGCTGCGGTAGAGGCCGTACACCTCCACTTCCGGTCGGATGTCGTCGTCTTCATGAGGCGTTGCGGGCATGGCGTTGGCCCCATCGGGTGGAATGACTAGCGATGCTGCTGCCGAGAATGAATGTGACCCCTGAACCACCCAGAGCTTGGAACCACGACTCGAGAGCAGCGGAACTGTGGAGGCATATTTACCAGCAGAGTTGTGGTCTGGTTTAGGCGGATGGCTCAGGCAGGGATTGCTGGAACTGTTGTACAGCTCACTAGCAGACCCCAAGTGGTCTAGGTCCAAGCACAGGGCTTAAACATCATGTACCTTCCTCAAAGGATGGTGGCGGAGCTGTCACCTTGACGTCAGCCAGCTCGCCATCCCAATCCAGCACCAGCCCCGAGACCTTGCGGAACCGAGCCGAACTGCTGGCAGGTGGAAATGCGGAAAGTGAAGGGGCAATTAGGGGTTGAACATGTGGCTAAGGGGTGGACTTCTTTGTATGCATTTGTGAATTAGCTAGGGTACATGGCTGCGCCACCCCCGCGGCACAGTACGACGACAGGACTGCCTATGCCCTCCGCCAGTCCTAGGTCTCTTTGCTGCTCAACAGCAGACCGGTGCAACCGCCCATCTTGGTCCTTTACTAGCGGAGCCAGAGGTCATACACACAGCACTGCCCATAAACCCCCTTCGTTTCTCTCATGACAGTAGTAGCACAACATCTGGTGCACTATGGTACGAAACCCACCAGTTGCTCGTGAAGGACTGGTCGTGAGCGGACTGCACCCCCAGCTGCATGCTTTGAAGGTCGGCGGTGTCCTCTTCGGCTGCAGCAGGATACGGAGACCAAGGGGAGGATGATTTGGGACATGGAACTGCGCGGATCCTCGAAAGGACAGCCAAGAATGGCAAAAGTAAGGGAAACACAACACCCGCATGGCGAGTGCATGCTAACACAGGTTTGTTCCCCTTCTTGCAACTACTGTCCAGCCAGCGGAGATCGAGCCTAGATCATAACTTGGATTTACACGGTCATACCCGCTTCCACAGTAGCATTTGCCTCGCAATGTGTCTCGTGTGAACTCCTAGGGTCTGTCAGGTCTGGATGCCGTCTAGGTGGATTTGCCGTCGGTTCGTTAGCGGTTAGGGTTCGTTAGGGCTTTCTCGGCCTTTCTAGCTGCCGTTAAGGCTTGGTTTCGTCAAGGTTGGTTTATGTTATATCGGTTATCTGGTTTGGTATTTGGATGAACGCCGTTGGTTGGGTATCTTGGCACGTATCTGGTGTCATCGGGTGCCATGTGGGCCCTGTACTTACGCTTCCCGCCTTGCTCTTATGCTGAGGAGGTGCGGCGCAGCGCACCTTTTGGCACTACCGTGCGGTTGCGGTTGTGTAGAGGCTCATGATAGATCATCAACAATACTAACAGGATTCCAATATCAGGTATTGCGTGAAGACGCCCAGAAGTGGCCTGCGCATCCATCGAGTATACTTGCGTCCAGCTGCCCCTAACGTGGCCTGCGCAGTCTAACAGTTTCGTGAACAGGTGCCTGATCATTAGAGATAGTATACATTGCCTCAGCTTTCCCCCAGACGTTAAGTGAGGCGCCAAGGCCGCACTATTAGGACAGCGACAGCCATTGGCCCTGAGAGTACATAGCCCCAGCTATCTAGTGGGCCCTGACAGGTCCAGCATCGTGCGTAAACCGCGCTGATACACCACTACCTTTAGTTGTGTGCGGTATACTGGTGCCCCAGCATATTACGAAGCCATGCCAACGAAGGAAAGACTTGGCTTAGTTAAGGTCCAACTTGTCGCCCGCCCACCATACAGTACCGCGCGCACACGAGTCGAGCAACAATAAACCCGAAGCGCGCCAAAAGTAATCAACAGCAGACATTAAGGAAAGCAAAATACATAATAATGCACACAAATGTGCGCGAATCTGCTGTCCGTTGCTGCAGCGACATTTTCGAGTCGCGGCGGAAGTTCATAACGGGCCTCGCTCGATTACCGTTGGTACATGGTACGCACCTTCGCATCCGCACGAGCGAGCCCTTAATAGGCTGTGCCATGTGACCATTGTGTTCCTCTCTTATCCAATGCATAACACGCCGACCCTTCGCTGCTGGAAAAACGCTTCGTCGTCGTCAACTTCTTAACCTGAACACGATGCAAAGCCACTTGGGCGTTTGCCATCAAGCCTGTAAAGATCTTTAAATACTTAAGGTACAGTTACACATGCACGGGCAACTTTTCAATGGGCCTTACGACTGCTGTACAGCTGGGCGGAGTAACCGAACGGTCGAACGTTCGGAACGGACGCTTCAGCCCACAGGCTTTCATACCTTCAACCACTAGTTTAACTGCAGAGCTAAAGCTGTGGGTTTGCCCTATATCACCTCCATCATTTCTCACATAGGGAGCTGGCGCCCGTTAACCGCCATTTGTACACGTGAAACAGACAAGGCAGCAAGCCTTGCTGGGGTTGTCTTACGTAACCGCTTTTGTATGTCACTTTTTTTATTACTTGCTTGCCTGCTGCGGTTGTAGCTAGCGAGGAGCATGCCCCCTTCCTGAAAGTCGGCTTAATAGCATGCTGCGCGCGTCTCTAATGTCAGCAATAATAACAGAATAACATAACAGAACTTGTACATGTAAAGGGGTGTTTCCAGCGCGGTCGCTTTATCTAGTTGCCGCACTGCGCCTGGGTCAGCCACGGCACCTCGATCCTAATTTCCGAGCTGCAGATAAGGTTCGATCGCTGAGACAAACCAGTTTAAGGTCTCTTGCAATTAGCCGCTTGCGGGAAAGGACCTGCGTCATTCGCAAGCGAACTATGTATGTAATACGCCATTACGAACCACCGCCCAACAGCGCACAACTAAAGAGCATCTGCCTCCTAATCTGCCTCAGCTCATCTTCGGCCCGTCCACCTTCACTGCCCTACACCGTCATCAAGCCCTGCAGCACCAGCGTTGCCGCACCCGATACCCGAACCCGATCCTCTCCTCGCCGTACCTCCACCACCACCTCTCCACCGCGCGCCGAGCACTGCTTCATGCGCATGGCCCCACCCGCACACCCTGCAGCAGCATCTGCTGCCACGGCAGGAGCTCTCAGGCGAGGCTCCCAGTACGGCCCCAGCACTGCATGAGCGCTCCCCGTGACGGGATCCTCATTAATTCCCAGCCACGGCGCAAAGAAGCGGCTGCACACCTCCGGGCCCTGATCATCCTCTTCTACCTGCTCCCCACACACCACCTCCGACCCCACCTGCGATGCCCCTGGTCGCTGGCCGCCCCGTGCTGACCCACGGGTCTTCACGCACACGATGACGCCATGCACCTCCTCAGCAGGTGCTGCTGCCAGCATGGCCGCAAAGTCTGGCCGCAACGCCCGCAGCGTCTCCTCATCCGCACCTGACCCGCCCTTCCCTGCTCCTGCCCCTGCCTGTCCTGCGCTCCCAGCTGCCGTACTGTCTGCCCCTGCTGCTATCTGTACTACGCCCGTAGCGCTCCGAAGCACAACCAGCACGTAATTCAGGCCGCCGCGTCCGCAGTACCGTACCTCCTCGACTGGCAAGTCGCCCACGCAGGCGGTCAGCAACCGACCCGCTGGGTCGGCGGCGCAGGCTGGTACGGCATCGACTGGGTCGTACAGCGGCAGGTCTAGTGACAGCGCGAGGGGAGCGGAGGAGGCGGTGGAAGAGGCGGTTGCGGTGGTGGAGACCGAGCGGCTGACACATAGCTCGCCGCTGAGGGTGTGGAAGGTGATGGCGGGCTGGGTATTGCCGTACGCTGTGGGAGCCGTACGCAGGGTGACCATGCACAGCGGGGAGCAGGGGAGTGGGGGAATGTTAAGGAGGTTGCTATGGTAAGCACAGGGTAAGGGCCAGGCTATGAGGCAATGGACAGGCAATGGTACCGCTGTGATTGGACTAACGTACCGGTAGACGGAGGGTGACACACGTCCCACCGCATCGCAAATGCTCCGGTGCGAATTGCATTATGTCTCACCAGTCACCACTAGGCCGTCCTTCAGTCATATCCCCCACAGCACCACACATCCTGCCCATTAGAAACGGGAGAACCAGGTTCAAGCGTTCAAACCCCATACTCGCCATCACACCTCCGCGCCATTCGCCTCCCCTTTCGCCTCTCCGGGACCGGGTGCCCAGGGGCGTTGACCTAAACACAAAGAAGTATAATACGGCTAAACCTCCCATCTTGAGCAATACGGCATACCTTGCAGCAGTACGGCAGCGGCCGCCAGGGTGGCATGTCCACAGCAGGGCACCTCGCAGCTGGGAGTGAACCACCGCAGACGGAAGGCGGCGGCAGTGGAGAAGACCGCCGCCGCAGACCCGTGGGAGGGCTCTTGGGAGTCGGAGGAGGAGCCCTCAGATGCCTCCAGCTGAGGAAGAGGAGAGGAGAAGGGTGAAGAGGAAGAACCAGACAGGGCTCAGGATCATGGACGCCAACGTAATTGACCAACGGGATGGCGTTAATGCTTGGTGAATCGGCACCAGCGCTATATGATGGACATTTGGGCAGGGCCGATGTGTAGATGTTGCAATGACGAAGTGTGATGAAGGGGCTGCTGCACGATGGCGTACTTCTATTGCAGAAATGGTTTGTAACAGATAAGCGAAACTCTGGAGTGAAGGACACACCGGCTCAACGAAGGCTGTCTCCGAGTGATTCATCTCTGCGGCAATCCTCTGTCGCATGTCGTCCGTCAGCTGTACGCCCGTCGCAAGCATGCATACAGCAGCAGGGTTGCCACTAAATGGACGGCTAGAGAACGCATCCACAACGTATATCGGTAGCTGCTTCATGTCGTCCCGACTCATCCTTGACGACGCGTGCAAGTTTACAGAGGCGATAAAGGGCTATGGCGCAGTAAGCGACACGGTAGACTCAAACCCTAAATCCTATACTATAGAACAGCTCAGTGCGAGGATCTCAGCAAAGTTGGCCGCTGTAAACTCGCAAACCGAAAGAAGCAAGTGTAAGGACAACAGATTCGTATGTGGGCAAAAGCTACAAAGTGCATATAGTAAGACTTGGGCTTGGGAACGGAGGGCTGCAAAAATCAGATGACGTCTATTTGTACGGGAACACGCCGGAGGGCTGGTTTGGGGTACAAGGCGTGCGATGTATCCATACTACAGACGGCAATAAACACAGCTGCTATGTAGTAAATGATTATGCGCCGATTTGAGTTCGCGCACGTGCCGTTCTGCCGCTAACAGCGCGCTAACACACAAATGTCGCGCAATAAGAAGCCGTCGGCTTTGTCCGACCTCATTAGGCAAGCGGCTTCGTCCGAGGCTCTGGACAGCTCTCCGACTGAGCCCATTGCCGTTGGCCATGCCTCGCTGAGGGTGTCGGCTGCTGCTCCTACAACCGCGGAAGAGCTAGCGGAGGCCTTCTTTCCAGGATCATCGCTTCGAGAGCATGCATTCTTTCCGAAAAGCCTAACGGGACATTCGCTGGTGTCCTCACATACACCTTTTGGCTTCCTTGGCGGAGCCAGGCAGGGCCCACGGACGTCTGGAGATGACTCGCAGGTAGTCTGTCTCCGCACTTCGCATCCATAACCATATCCTTTCCTGCACATGCGTCATTACTTTGGACCTGACCTCACCATTAGGAAGTACAGCAGGAATGTCCTCCCCAGCCGTCCGCAACCCGTTGCCTCCCAATCTTCGCAATGCAATCCCCGTCCCTCACCCGTTCAACCCACACAGGGACCCAGCAACACCTCTCCCTACGGCCGCGCAGCCGCCGGCTTCTCGCTTCACCGCCAGCAATCCATCGCCGAAGTCGACACAGAGGGACGCAGCCTGCCAGACCACGACACCAGCCGCACCCCTAGCCAAAACCAAGGCTACAGCAACCCCACTCACCCCACCACAGCCGCCACCAACAATAACAGCCACGGTCAACGCCAAATCCAAATCCAAATCCAAGGCCGCCACGGTCAAACCTCCGACCAGGGCCAGGTGTACGGCAGCCAGCACGTGCACCCGGGCTTCAGCATGGGTCACAGCCTTCCGGCCTCCGCGCTGCCGGGCGCTGTGGGGTCATGGCTGGGTCTGGGCTGGCGCGGCCGCTCTCCGCCGCCGCCCCCGCATGGCACGCCAGGCGGCAGCAGCCGGGACGGTGGGGGCTCGGTGCTGATTGTGGAAGGAGAGCGGCGAGGATGGGGTCAAGGAGGAGGAGGGGCTGAGGGGAGAGGCAGGGGCGGCGACTTGGCAGGTACGGGAGGGCAGTGGCTGTAAAGAAGAGGTTGGAAGGAAAGAGTGTGCATGCGCCTTAGGGTGTCCATGCTCCGGGGCTCCATGCAAGGAGCAAGAAAGGTCGAGTGGGGCCCTGCTGCTGCAGTGGTGCCAATCACAACGTGCAGCTTCACAAGCACCGATCGCGCTTTGAAACGCACTTGTATCTTGCTTCAGCTACAACCTACGGTAGCAACTCCCTTCCTGACCCTTCCGCTGTTGCTGCTCCTGCAGAGCCGCTTCTGTCAGGCTTCGACTCCCTGGCCAGCGAGGATCCCCACCTGGACGACGTGGAAGCCACAGGAGCAGCAGCAGACCACCATCACGCCTCCCGCCGCGGCAGCGCCACCGCTACCGCCGCTGCTGCTGCGGCCGGTACGGCTGCACCCCTCACGGGTGTCGTACCCGCCACCGGCAACGGCACAAGCACCCCTGCTACTACTGCCGCTGCTACTGCTGGTGGTGCCGTTCCTAGGAGCTCAGCTGCCTCCGCAGTAGCGGCTGCAGCACCCAAGGATCCCCGTAGCGGCTTTGGGAACTCGATTGTGTTTGGCATGATTAACGCGGTCGTCAGCATGCCCACACTGATTGCGTACGCGGCCATTGTGTTCAAGGTGCGGATGCGTTCTAGGCGACTGCCCTTGGGTGGCATCAAGGGCAGCAGCACAAGCAACAAGCAGCAAGCAATAACATTTACTAAACCGTTCCTAGGTGATGAAGCTCTGGGCGAAACACGGGCAAGGGTACCGCAACGACACTAACTACTCTGCTTCAACCTCCTCCGCTCCCTTTCCCTTCACCCTCCTCCCTCCCATTCCTGCCTCCCACGTCCCAACCCCCCAGGCCCCCCTGTACGCCCCCTACCTGGACAGCCTGTGTCGCTTCTTCTTCTTCAGCAGCGCCGTACACCAACTCGTGTTCGTGTGCCTGAGCAGCCTGTCCTTCGCAGTGGGGCAGGTGCAGGACGTGGGGCTCATCTTCCTGTCGGCCATGGCATCAGACATCGCACTGCGCCTCACCTCCTCCTCCTCAGAGGATGGTGGTGGCGATGTGGCCGCGGTGGCTCTGGGCTCCTCGCTGCTGGTCATGACCCTCAGCACCTTCATTGTGGGACTGCTCACGGTGGTGGTGGGTGAGTGGGCGGGGGGCGGGGGCGGGAGGGGCCAGAAGTCTGAGGGGGCAGATGGCGGGCACCACACCTGCAAGTGCGCATGGACTGCTGTGGACTTCTAGTGCGAAGCCGCACATCGGATCCTGAACCCCAGCCCCCTTCCCGCCCCCATCCGCCCAGCCCGCCTGAAGCTTGCGGACATGGTGTCGTACGTTCCGTTGCCGGTGGTTGGCGGTTACCTGGGCTTCGTGGGCTACTTTTGCATCGCCGGCGGCACCGCGCTTGCTGCGGGCGTGCAGGTGGACTCGCTGCTGTCGTGGACGCACCTGCTGGCGCCCGGGCCCGCCCTCAAGCTGCTGCCCGCCGCCGCCACCATTGCCGTACTCATGCTGTGCGTGGCGCGGGTGCACCACCCGCTGGCGCTGCCGGGGCTGCTGAGCGCCGTACCGCTGGCCTTCCACGCGGTGCTGTGGGCGGTGGGGTGGGACCTGAGGCGAGCGCAGGAGGAGGGCTGGGTCATGCCGCCCACGGTGAGCGGGGGGGGGGATACGCCTGGGACAGGGACGGCCTCCTTCTGATGGCGACCTAGATAGGCTGAGGCTGAGACAACATGCATGCCTACCCTTCCCTCCCTCAGGCCGGAGCTACTCAGTTCTGGCAGCTGTGGGGTCTGTACCACCTGCAGCCCGGCTCCCCGGGGTTGGGTGTCAGCTTCGGCGCCATGCTGGCTCAGCTGCCCAAGCTGGCGGGTCTGTTCCTGGTGGTGTGCTTCGGCAGCTGCATGGACGTGGCGGCCATCCAGAGCGACATGCCCACGCCGCTGGACTTCAACCGGGAGCTGCTCACAGTGGGGGTGTCCAACATGGTGACGGGCGCGCTGGGGGCGGGCTACACCGGCTCCTACATATTCAGCCAGACCGTGTTCACCATGAGACAGGTAGGTGTGTGGGGGGGGGGGCAGGAAAGAGAGGGGACAACAACGTGAGGACCACTAACTATTGGGCTGGTTGCTTGCTGGGCGTCTGTTAGCCCCCACCTGCCAGCTCTGCCCTTGCAACTAACCACCCACCTCCCTCCTCGCCCCGCCCCTCCTCCCATGCGCACCCACCCAGGGCGTGTTCAACCGCATCAACGGCCTCACCATCGCCATGGTGGAGCTGCTGGTGTTCGCACTGCCGTTCAGTGTCGTTCAGGTGGGGCTGTCATGAATGGTCAGGAAAGGATTGCGTTTTGAGCTGGTTTGAGTGTAAGAATGCATCTAGTAGAATCCTTTCTCTTTCCAGGCCTTTGGTCGTCCGCCGTCCTCTTTTCCACGATGCTGCCCGCCCTCAAACGCCCATGCATGCAGTATACGGTACATTCCTCATGTTTTGCTGTACCTAACATAAGTCAGCATTCCTCACTTTATCTTTCCCTCCGCTGCGCACCTGCAGTACATGCCAAACTTCTTCTTCGGCGCCTTGCTGGTGTGGTTCGGTATTGAGATCGCGCGCGACTGGCTCATCCTGTCGTACAAGTGAGTCGATCACGCGGACGTGAAGTCCGAAGGAAGGGACCCAATAGACAACCATTAAACGCCAAAGGGCGCTTGTCAGCGGAAGCTACCTCGACTCCGTGCCTTAGGTTAACGATTCAGCCGTCCGCGTCATGCCTCCTGAACTGACGACCCAGCGGACCTGCATGTTAGACCTCGATCCTCCCCAACCCTCCCTGCCACCCCTTACCCCTAATTGCCATGCCCCTGTCACCCCTTACCCCTAATTGCCATGCCCTCACTAACCTTGCAACCCTGCTCCTCCGAACCCTCCGCCCTTACCCAGGAAGCTCTCCCGCCCCGAGTACCTGTTGCTGTGGTCCACCTTCCTGGCCATCATGGCGTGGGGGCTGGAGCTGGGCATTGCGGCGGGGGTGGTGCTGGCCACCCTCTACTTCGCATACCAGTACGCGCAGGTAGGTGGTGCGGTGTGGGCCTCGTAGGCACCAGTAGAGTGGTAGGTGCGGGCCCCCTCGTACACACAGCTAACCCGTGGAGTGGGAGGTGGGAAGACTGCTGGTAAACCAGGCAAACTGTGTAGCAGGTGCATTTGCGCTGCAGCCTTGGACTCCCTTCTCTTCCCTCTTCCCTACTGCCTTGTTTCTAAGCGCGCACTTGTGCGTTTACCCGCCTCTCCTTCCCCTCCACCTCTGCTCCCTCCCCCCCACCCCCAGAGCCAGGTGAGTAGCCTGCGCCAGGTGTCCGCCCGCAGCGGTCGCTCACACGGCTTCGAGGCGGGCGGCGCGCTGGACCTGCTGGGGCGGCGGCTGGCGGTGCTGCGGCTGGGCGGCTTCGTGTTCTTCGGCAGCTCCTCGGGGCTGGGGAACCAGGTGCTGCACACCGCGGCGCGCATGCTGCAGGAGCGGCGGGAGGAGGCGCGGCAGCACGAGGAGGCGGCGCGAGCGGCGGCGGCGGCGCAGCTGAAGGAGGAGGAGGAGCAGCAGTACCAGCGGGCAGAGGGAGAGGTGGAGGCTGCTGTGCAGGACGGTGAAAGCAGCAGGGCAGACGCGCCAGCGGCGGCGGGGCAGGTTGCCGGGGAGTCGGCTCGGCGGGAGGCGCCTGGCAGCAGTGACTGCAGCAGCACTGGTGGTGGCAGCGAGGACGGTGGCGAGGGCGAGGGCTGCAGCGACCCGGGGGTCGGCTTGTCCCGCGCGGAGTGGCACTGGCGGGCGGCGCAGGCACTGGCCCGGGCGCCCGTGGTCATCATACTGGACTTCAGGTGGGGAAGGGGGAGGAGGGGCAGCGGCGTGCCCGCGTGTACGTACGGCACAGGCAATTACTGGCAAGCCCGCCTTATCAGCATGGGCGATGATCGCTACATGGCTACCACGATTTAGCCCCCGTAACCCTTACAACCTCCGTTCTCCGTTCTCATGCCCCCTATGCTTGCCCCTTATTTCCCGCTGCCGCCTGCCCCTGCATGCAGCTCCGTGACGGGTCTGGACTCCACCGCCGCACGCACCTTCGCCACTCTGGTGTCCACCCTAGCCTCGCAACACGTGCACGCCGTGTTCGCCGGCCTGCGCCGACCCGACTGCCGGCACCTGCTGCGCGCCAACGGACTGCCGCTGCTGAGCTACACGCAGGCGGCGCAGCAGAGCAGGGGGACGGATGGGGACAGCGGTGCGGGAGGGGGCGAGGCGGCTGGCGCAGGGCGGGAGGGCGCGGGTGGCCTGCTGGCAAAGCAGCAGCAGCGACTGATGCTAAGCCCCTCGGAGGAGTCACCGTTGGAACGTAAGTGGCGGCGTTAGGGGTCCCATTGCTTAGTGGTTGTTCAGCCATCATCTCAGAGCATTTACCAGGTCTATACCAAGTCCGCTCATGCATGCTTATCTCTCCCCCTACTGTCCGTCCCACCCGTCCACTGCCCCCAGGTCCCCCCTGCGGCGGCTGCTGGGAGTTCCATGACGTCTCCTCCGCGGTCCGCGCCTGTGAGGATGCCTACCTAGCGCTGGCGGTCGCTGCGGGGCTGCTGGCGGGTGGGGGCGAGCGGCCGGCCTCGCTGCAGCAGCTGCTGACGCGCCACCTGCGGGAGGTGTGCCCCGCGCCGCCCGGCCCCTCCGAGCTGGCGGCGCTGCGGGCGGCGCTGGAGGGCGGGCTGGCGCGGCGGCAGCTGGCGGCGGGGGAGGTGCTGTACGGCGCGGGGGCCGAGGTGCGCGAGGTGGTGTTGGTGGAGAGCGGCGCGCTGGTGGAGGAGGAGCACTACGAGGGCGGGGTGCGGGTGGGCAGTCGGGAGCATGGGTCCGGGGTGGTGGTGGGTGCGGTGGAGTTCTTCCTGGCCCGCCCCGCGCCTGCCGCGGTGCGCTGTGCCTCGGCCAGCTGTACGCTGCTGGCGCTCGGACGAGCGGCGTACGGCAACCTGATGGAGAGGCACCCGAGGGCGCTGGCGGCGCTGCAGGGGATGATGCTGAGGAGCGCGTGCAGTGATTTGGCGATGGCGCAGGAGGCGGCGCACCACGGGATGGCGGTGTGAGGAGCTGCGACGTGGTCTGTGTTGGTATGTTGAGATCACATGGTGGGGTTTGTGAGGCGTTGGGTATGTGGAATGTGGCATTGGGGAGTGGGTTGCATGGGACGGTAGATGGAGAGAAGGAGCTTGTGTGGAAGGTGGAGAGTCGAAGCGCAGGATGACTTGGCAAGCAGTCGGAGTTACGTGCAAAAAGTGAGTAGGATCAGCTCTGTATGCATGGGTTAGTGGTTAGTGAGCATGAAGGGGTTTTCCGCCTGGTGGCTTGCAGTTGGTGCGTGGGTTTAAGCAGGCTTAGCAGCTGGGACAGTTTCGAGGCGTAGAAAGGCGCGTTATTGGCGTAGAAGCCTGGCTCGCATGAAAAGTTTGGCTTGGCGCGGCACTTGGCTGGGCAATTTTGCTAGCTAGGGACAGCAGAAGGATAGGAGTTCCGGGGACATCGTTGTGGGCGGAGCTGTCGCTTTACTTCGCTGGAGCTTAGTTCATGACTCGAATGCCGTTTTGTTCTGCTCGGCTGTTTGGCGACCGGAGTCCTTCGGTTGGTGCTAAGAAAGCACTAAGCTAGCTAGTGTTCAGGAGCCACTAAGCTTCCGGGTAGCTAGGTGTGATCATAGTCACACAGCAGGATGAAGGCAACCGTCTTTTCGCCACTGTGGGGACAACATTACAATGATTTCGTACTCCTCGTGATAGGACCAAGACATAGCTCATTGAGGGATGGAGCGTGGAAGGTGGGCATGTCAGCTGCATGGTAGTAGGCAGCTCGTGAAACACGGGGTTCGGCAAGGAATTGTAAAACGAGTTGGAGTCTATGCGAAGGTCGGCTGCAGAGAGCTGGGCCGCTGAAGTTAGATCGCTTGCCCCATGGTTCGAGGACTCAGCATCGGACTTCATTGATTGCAGGCCTGTGCCTGTAGAATTTCGGAATGTAATGCTGACTAGTAAGCGTAGGATCTCCAAGGTTTACCCCTCCGCAGCTTGTGAAAGTCCAGCGCCGGTACAACGACCACGCCACGTATTTGGCACAAGAGGGGGTTTTATTGTTTTCTGCAAGTGCTTTCCAAATCTATTCTGTACTCTTCAAACTTCCCTCGCGTCCAAGAATCCCATTCTTTAGTAAACGCAGGGTTCGTACGCGGAGGTAGTTAAGGCAGCTGCAGCCAGCGCATCAGTACCTTCACGCTCTTGCGAAGATGTTTTCTTACACAATTAAAGTTGCTTTGCTTCAAGTGATTATTTTCTTTCCCAGTGTGCGGGGCTGTGAAGACGCGTCCCTTGTCAGACCGCTTTGAAAGTCCATTGGACTACCATGTTAGAATGATACAATGGCCTTTATATAAAATCCCTTGCTGCTTTCAACAATAGGCACTTAAGCTGTTTGACCTGCGGTCTAACGGTGCCGGGCCATGGCGACGACCGCTGCGGAGCTCGCAGCCGTCTTGCCGTCTTTCCCTATAAAGGTAAAACATCATTTTGAGGCACTTTGTTCTATGGGTAAAAGCGAAAAGCAACGTCGCGACCGCAGAAGTTCCCATAACAACCATTTAGCTAGCTGGTACCGGATGGGCATGGGTATGACTGTGCTGCAACCCTAACAAGGTAGTGGCAGCGGGTACTTTAATAAAATAAGGCTGCGGCTACTGCCGCCCCTCATACCGGTACTTCCCATGTCCGCTAATTCTCTTAGCTGTCGGCTTACCAGCCAGCCAAGCCGCTCATCTGCTCCTGAAGCGCGTAGAGGTTGACACAACATCCGCTGCACCGCAAATTCTACATCCTACCGGATTCCAACCTCCCATGCCGTGTCCCTTCCACTTCACCTCACGCTCCCAGTCCCCTCACCCTAACTTACCTCACCGCGCGCCAACTCACCCTCATCGCACCTCAAACACCCCCCTCCCCCCAACCCAAGGACCTCTCCTCCTTCCACGTTGAGTCCCTTCTCGGCGGTGGCGGCTTCTCCCATGTCGTACTCGCGCGTGACGCTGCGGGCACCGAGTGCGCGCTCAAGCTCATTCCCGCGCCCCCGGGCGTAACCTGCCTGGCTGACCTGGAGGCCGGCGCCCCGCTGCTGCTCTCAGAGGCACGTATCCACCTGCTGCTCAGCGGGGAGCCCTCCATACTGCCCTGCCAGGAGGCCTTCAAGGCGGTGTATGTGGATGAGGTGGGGTGTGGGTTGGAGGGATGGAACGATGGATGGATAATCCGCACAGGGCTGAGGTGGGGGAGTGGAGGCGAGGGAATGAGGCGGGAGATGAGGGAGCGGGAACATGGGCCTGCAATGAATGCCTCGGGCAACGCATGAGGTGGGTATCTGGGTAGGTGGCAGCATGGCGAAGATGATGGAATAATGCCGTGTGCCCGTGTCCATGCACGTGTGTCCTCTTCCTGTTTTGCATCTCATCCCAAGTCCATCCCAACACCCTTAGCATGGTAGCAGCCTGACCACAGTTTACGGCGCATGCATCCGTCTCACAGGTATCCAGCGGTGGTGCTGCAGTTCGCGGCAGCTCCGGCGGCCATGCAACCTACATGGCCGTGCTGCGGATGCCGGTCGCGGCGTGCAGCGCGGAGGAGTGGCTGTTCTCAGCAGTGCCGCCGCCGTCGTCATGCGGCAGCGCTGCGGGGCAGGTGGGCGGCAGGAAAGGGAAGAGGAGAAGAAAGAGAGGGATGGAGGAGAGCCCGAGAGATGGCAGGTGGCGGCTTAGCTAGGAGCTCTCGAATGGCTGTCTCTGTATGAAGGTTACGTGCAGGAGGCAAGGCAACACTTGCCATGGTTGCGGGCGTGAGAACAAGACGCTTGTCTTTGACTTGTCCTTGTACCTTTTGTCGTTTTTGTCACCTTGTTACGCCCGCGCCCATTCCTCCTTCCCTGCACCCCGCGCCCAACCCTTACCTCTAGTTGGACGAGCAAGAGGTCCTAAGCGTGTGGCTACAAATGGTCAATGCCGTACACCGTTGCCATATGCATGGGGTCGTACACAAAGGTAGGATACACAGCCTGGACACAAACACACACGCACGCACAGCTGCAAAGAGCTGACCGGATATAGCATGCGTGTTGCCCCTGCCACTTCATACCCTTGCAAGTGGATACCGTACCAATGCTCGACTGTTGCTGCTACGCCCAAAGCGAATGTCCCGCCCCGCTTAAGGACTGCTACAAATGCATACCCTTCCCAGTCTCGACCACCGTACAGTCACTCCACCTCCACTGCAACCCCACGTCCCCGCCTTTCCTCTCTCCCGCATCCCGCCGCCGTCCAGACATCAAGCTGCCCAACTTCCTGCTAGACCACCGAGGGCGGGTGCAGCTCATGGATTTTGGGTTGGCGCAGGTGGAGGGTGTCACGCCGCGGGCGGTGGCGGGCACTCCCTGGACCATGTCCCCGGCGGGATTCAAGCATTCGGACGATGGACGCGCTGGGGACTGGTGAGGGGGCAGGAAGGAAGGAGGGGGTGCGTGTAGGGGGTGTGGAGGGGGAAGGAGATGCGCGCTGGGGTTCTGGCTAGCAGAGTAGAGCGGGAGGCATAGGTGTTGGTCGGGATGCGGTGTGACAATGCCACACTTTGCAACAGCAATCCTGAAAGTACAACATTAATATAGCCATGAACGCTGAATGGTTTTTTATTGAGTATACAAAGCGATTATGACAACAAGATATACAAAGCGTTAATTCCAAAACAATTACTCTTAACAGTCTAAACATGGTAGCGCCAGGTCAATGAGAGCGCCCATACGCCTCCCTCACGCCGTTCTCACGTCCGCCCCCTTCCGCCTCCCTCTCCTGCCGTCATCTCCGCAGGTGGTCCCTAGGTGTGGTGTTGTACCAGATGCTTCAGGGCGGCGCCTGGCCCTTCAAACAATGCTGGTGGCCCTGGCAGCGCGCAGGCGGCCGCACGACAGAGGCAGCCATCCGCAGGGCTGTTCTGGCGGGCCGTATCACCTTCCGCGACGCTCCCATCCTAGCTGGCGCCGTCGGCTGTGGCGGTGCCGTTGGTGGTGGAGGCGGCGGCGGTAGCGCGCTGGGCGGCGCTGGTGGAGGCAAGGTGTCGGAGGCTGCCCGAGCGTTGATTCGGGGGTTGTTACAACCGGATCCTAACCGTCGCTGGCAGTTACGGCAGGTACTGGCGAGCGATGCCGTACGACCGGAGCTGTTGCAGGGCTTAGCGACTCGCTTTCCGGAGCTGAAGGATGACATGGAGGGGTTGCTTTGGATGCAGCAGCGCGCGCGCGGGGTGCAGGCGTTGGGGTCGGATGGAGGGGCAGCAGGAGCGGGCGGCGGGGGTGAGAGGAGGGCGAGCTTGGTAGTGGCAGCGGCAGGGGCGTTGCTGGGGCTTGGAGGAGTTGGGGCGGCGGGGACGGGAGGGCTGCATTGGCCGCCGCACTGGCCGGCAGTGGCGGCCATGAGGGGTGCGGCCGGCGAGCATGGCGACGGCGGCAGCTCATCCTACCGGCCCTTGTTAGGGCCTAGCGTCGGCGGCGACGTCGTGGAAGATGCAGAGGCAGCGGAGGCGGAGGCGAAGACGGACGGTGCAGCAACCCCCAGGCTGCTGCTTGAGCCGATTGCTTCCGGAGCTACTGCTGCTCCCTCTGCCTCTGCATCCTTGCCGGCGTTATCGGCAATGCCTTCGGACGCGGTCTCCAGCGCTGCTGCTCCTCCCGGTGGTGCCGGCGGCGGTGGCGGCAGCGGCGTGGTTGGGCCAGATGACCTGTTACTGCTGCTGCCGGAGGAAGGCGAGGAGCCGCCACGTGCGCCGCCCACGCCGCCCCTAGCCTCCACCGCCTCCGCCGGAACTGCTGCCGCAGCCTCCGTCACTCCCTCGCAGCATCCTCGACAGCAGGACAAGCTGCCACTCCATGATGCCCCACACGTCACCAACGCGCTCGGCGATAACGCCAGCAGCAGCCACCAAGACCATCACCATCCTTCTGCCTTTGTACGTCACGCCCATACCGTTGCCAGTCTCATCAACGCCGGCAGTGGCAGCGTCAGCAGTAGCACGCGACAGGAGTACGGCGGCATCGCAGCCACGGGCGTTGCTTCCATTAACACGGGTTCCGTAGAGATCGGCGGCGCCGCCACCTCCGTAGACGAGGACAAGCCCTTGGCTTCCGCCTCCGTATCCGCCTCCGGACCGTTGCGACAGCTGCTGCGGGGTCTTAGCGGCGGCGGCCTGAGTGGCAACAGCCCTCGAGGCAGCTGCGGTAACAGCCCTCGAACCCACCATCACTACCACCACAGCCACCATAAGCACCATCACAACCACCACAACCACAGCCCGCACCAGCACAGCCACACCCACCATTCCGGCGTGCTGGGTCGCAGAGGCTCCCGTACAAGCCTGCACGAGCTGTTCGGAGGCTCGCAGAGCAGCTTGCCGCATGTGGCTACCAGCCCGCTGCATGACACGCACCTGCACCACACCCACCAGCACCAACACCTCCTCCACCACCACCACCACCACCACCTGAATCAAAGCCACCAGCAGCAGCAGCACAAGCCGCGGCTGTCCGGAGGTGGGCTGGGAGGCCTCATAGGCTCCGCCGTTGACTTACTCGCCGGTGGCGGCAGCGGTAGCGTCGGCAGCGGCGGAGGCCTGCTTCAGGCTGTACGACGGACCTCCCTGCTGCTGCACGCCCGTAGCGGCGGAGGCGCCGGCGGAAGCGAGGAGGAGGAGGCGGAGGCGGCTCCGATGATGCCGCCGCCGTCGTCTTGGGTGCCGCCGCCGCCAGAGGCGATCCTGGCAGCGGAGGCTGCTGACGCCGCCGCCGCCGCTGCCGCTGTTGCTGCTGCTTCCGGCGGAGTGCGCGGCAGCCGCAGTGTCAGCGGAAGCTCTGCTAGTCGTCGTCTGTCCTTTAGCCGCATGGCGCCTTGGGCTGGGGCCGCAGCTGGGGCAGGGCCGGGTTCTGAGAAGGCCGCCGCAGTGGGAGGTACGACAATGGGGCACGCGGGCTCGGTGGGACAGAGTTTAGGCCCGGCCGTGGCGCGTGGGTTCTTAGCTCGATTGCGGCGGCTGTTCACGGCGTGCTTGCAGCGTCCGGCGGTACGGTACGACATATATGATGACGGGAATGAGTATGACACACTTCCAGGCAAGGATGGGTGATGATTTGGTTACGGAGCGGGTGGGATTGGATGTGGGGATTGTGTTGGTGCATGCGAATTGTTGTTTGCAGCGGGCATGGGGTGGATGTGCATTGACCCTCGGTACGGCAATGAACGATTGCTATTGGCTGCGTTGGGCCTGAGTTGTTTCTTGTCCTGCGAGTAAAAAAGAGTGTTCAATTCCTCGGTGTGTGGAAGCGTCAGGTGAACCGTCCATTATGCGCATGAAGGTTATATGAAGAAAGCGTTGATGGGGCAATTCTTTATTCACGATTGCCACGATTGCTCTGTCGATATGGCGTGTGACAAAGTGACATCCGCGTAGTTTGGGGCCATCGCTCGTATGGTTGGTTTCTTCGTCCGACAACTACCGACAACGGAATTGCAGGGACGTGTCTCCTCGTTGTTGCTAATGAACAACCAGCTGACACCGTCTTCGCTTACACGGCTGGCTCACTTCATTCCTGACGGCTTTCTGGGTACATTTTCCTACGCTACATCCGTACCGACAGCACTTATGGCGCCTACCGGCGATCCATGTTTCAACTTAATGGGTGCCTAAATAGGCTATGCATGCATGCAATTGCTCTTATTCGAGTGGAAGTTCGGAACAAAATGCTGTATGTGTTTCGGGGTCATGCTGACGGGGTTGTTGGTATTGTGTATTGTGTACAGGTGCCCAGCACATTCTCGCAGCCTTCAGCGCATGTACTGCTTCCGTCGCACAATGCCCCGACACGGAACATGTTTTCGTTGTGCACAAGCTGAGCTCCCGGCGGTTGGCTAATGGCCTGTCTGCCGCCGACTGTGGTTGGGGAATCGAGTGTGGCTTTAACTTACATGGACCTGTTCGGTGTTGTCTTCTGTTGCTTCCTTTTGTCGGTTACTGGGAGACAGTGCCAGCCCTGCCAAGAATGGGGCAGGCGTGTGGATAGCTCGACTCCAAGCAAGATAGGAAGGAAAGCTCGTTTGCGAACCATGCTGAATATATGTGCGACAGGAGTTTGGCTTGGGCTTTTGTGCAGGTATGACTGATAAGGAATTCGCTGGCATTGGGGCGCGACCCATGGGTCACTCGCTCGCTGGTGTAACGGACAGAGCTTGCACTGTTGCACGGGCTTAAGGGGTTCAACTGGAGAGGAGTGAGCACCTGGAAGATGATAGTCCCGCACTGTTGCTGCTGACACTGTGGCTCCCAGTATGTTAACGTTTTATGCTTGCGGCCAGCGTACGGCACTGCTGCCATCTCCACAAGGCCCCCGCTGCATCGCTCAACCTACAGGGTAACTAACGCCCAGCCAAGACAGCCATCATCCCTTCGGACCCCTTTCCAGCATAGCCCAGCCGCAGGCGACGCAGTGATCTGTAACCCGTAACCCGTCCCTAAAGCCCTCCAGCAATCACTACTCATGCAACGCCAGTGGCCCCCGAACGCTAGCGCCCCACGCAGCACCCCTATATCCCCAGCCCGCGCCCCGATCCTCCTAGCAGATTGCCTCCTAGCAGGCTAGGACCCCAGGAGCTCCTAGCAGGTGCGCCTCCATTCAGCAAGCCAAAGCTCTCGGTACTCTCCCTGCTACGGTATGTGAGGCAAGCCAAAACCAAAAGGTGACCTAGCAGCGCTCGAATATGCGGTAGAGCCGCTCCAACGCGGCCACCTGCACGCAGCTGCCGTCGCTGGCCCGAGCAACGGGCGGCTTGAGGCAGCCGCGCAAGGCGGGCAGTACAACCTGGGGCGCAGCAGCAGGAGGGGGGGAGAGGAGGCGCGGATGAGGTTTGGGGCAATCCTAAACTGTTTCAGGTTTGGAAGGGATGATGGGGCGAGTGGACGAGTGGGATGCAGGGGCGGTGTGTGGTGGAGCGCTTTGCAAGTGGGCCACCAAAGGGCAGGAAGAAGACACGGGACAGGAGTAAGGTGCCGTACAGTGCAAGGAGTCTCCCTTTTGCTGGTTTGCACCCCGTCGACCCTTTCAGGTGGTTAGCTGGTAACCCTGCACACTCACGTTCTTAACCTGGTACTCGTAAGCTGCCAGCAGCTGCTCCCGGACACGTTCCCGTTCTCCTCTTCTTCCTTTCCCTCCTGCTCGTCCATCCCCTCTACTCCTTCCAACTGCCTCTCCACCTCCTTCTCTCCCTTCACCGCGACTGCCTGGAGAGCGTTCGCTGGCATCCTCTTGGCCAGCACCATCCCTCCCGCTGGAGGAAGGTGAAGCGTCGGACCCCTCCTTTGGTGCGTCACGTCGCCCACCCAGTGCCCCCGCTGTCAACACCCCCACCCCCTCCTCCTGCGGCTCCTCCTTGATCTCCTGCTTCACCATGATGCCCGCACTAGCGCCGTGTCGGCCACCACCGTCGCCTTCCTCATCCCCTTTCTCCTCATCCTCGTCATCCTCTGGCAGGAGCGGCGGTCGGGCCGCATACATGTCAGCCAGAGCCTACGGGAGCACCAAGGCACGGCGGGAGAGCAGGCAGTTGGTGAGGTGGTCAGCCATAAGTTATCAGGATTATCACCCCTCTGCGTGATTTTCCTTGCGTACATTGCATGGATCCTACGTGTCCTTCCACGTCTCTCTTCCGCCAGCTCGGCTAGCGGGGGCCTAAGGGCACTGCAGCACTCCCGCCCCCACCCCGCCTCACCTCTTGCCTTATCCCCTTTCCTTTGCCCTAACCTGTGGCTTCCTATGGCATGGTATGGTATTTTTAACCCGCCTCACCTCCGCAATGGCCCTCGCGCGCTCCTTGGGCTCCTCCCAGTCCACGTCCTTGGCCAGCGCCAGCACCAGGTCAGGCAGTCGGGCGGGGTCGGGGTGCAGCCCCTCCAGCAGCTGGGGCACAGCCAGCAACCGACCTGCCAGGACAAGGATTCTGAGGGGTTAGAACTTTGGAGTTTTGAGGTGACAAAGAGGGTTCGGAGGACCGGCTTCCAGGGCAGGTGGTTTAGATAGGTGTGATGGCACATGCATCCAAGAGGCACCACAGCCGCCAGTTAACCAGCCACCTCGGTAGCCCCGCCCTACCATCCCGGCTAGCCAACCGGTAGCCGGTAGTTACGGCAACCGTGGCACCCCGCCCGCTAACCCACCCTGCGGGTCCACCACGAGGCCTATTTGGCGCTCCAGTTCGGGGCGGTTCTGCTGCAGCAGCTCCGAAACCAGCTGCCCCAGCTCCTCCGGGGAGCCGTCGCCGGGCTGTGGCGGCGGGACAGCAGCAGCAGTGGGGATTTGTAGCAGTAAGGAGGGGAAGGAAGAGTAGTGAGTGGTAAGGAGAAAGGAAAGTGCAGTTGGCGCACGGTAAAAATGTGGGATAGTCCGGTAAAGCTTGCTGTACAGCGACTTCAACGGAAGGCTGGTTAAGCTGCCAGGTGTCGCATGCGATTCTACAGCGGAGGTGGTTGGTGACGAGGCTGGTTGGCTGCCATCAGAGGAGATCAACCGTCATGCACAAGGGCCAAGCATGGCCAAACAACCAGAAACCTCCTCCCCTCACCTGCCACTCGCCCTTGACCTCCAACAGCTCCAGGCCCAACGCTACGAGCTCCGAAACCAGCGGAGGCGGATCCAGCGACAGCCGCAGCGGCTGCTCCCACCTGATACGGTAGGGGGTGGGGAGTGTCCGCAACTCCACATGTAGAAAGGACGTTGCCGTCGCCTTTACCCTTTCTATGCCTCCACCCTATCCACCAAAGGCCTCAGACGAGCGCCACCCCGTATGCCCTCCAGACCCCTGGGGCTGATCACCACCTGCATGCCCTCCTGGTCCCTTCCAACCTCCTTCATGGTTCAGCTTCCCTCCTTGCCTTGCCCCTCCCTTGCCCTCCCGCATGCAACCCATGGTGCAGCTTTGTCACACGGTTAGTCTGGTGTTCCTTCTTCACTTTTCATCCTTCCTCCTCCTCCCGTCTACGTAACCCCCCCTCCTCCCGTTCACGTACCCCCCCCCTCCTCCCGTTTCCCGCCCACCTCCTGAGCGCCAGCTGGTAGCACATGTCGCGACTGAGCAGCCCCACGTCCACCAGGTACAGCCGGGTGCCGTGCTGCAGCAGCGCCAGACTGCCGTCCGCCTGGAGGGGGAAAAGAGGAATACCCAATGTGTTACGGTCATTGAGGATGGCAAACAAGGCTACAAGCTCCTGGAGGGGGGAGGGGCGCAGAACGCGCAGAAGCACAAGAACTCAGTGCATACTTGTTCACAGTGAGAAAGCAGGACACTTAAGGGTAAGGAAGATGGCTTGTCGCATGCCCTTGTATCCACGACTCCAAGCATGCCCTCAACCACAACCCTCCTTCCCCTCATCCCTCCTGCTCACCACCCCCACAAACGTATGCTCCCGCAGAAGCTCCCCTAGCCCTGCATGCGACCCCGCCTCCGCCTCAGACAGCAGCTCCAAAACCACTGGGTCGCTCGTCACCACCGCTGGCGGCGCCCGGCGAGGAGCCCGTGCTGCCGTACCACCAGCAGTCGTCGCAGGGACGACCCGTGGGTCAGCCTCCGCCAAGTCTTCATCATCTCCACCATCAACGCCTCCTTGGGTGCCGGTGTACGGGGTCAGGCCGAGCAATTCCGCAGTTACAAGCCCGGCCGGTAACGAACGACGGCCGGCGGGCGCGGCAGTGAACAGCGGGTCCGGGGCAGCTCCTCCTGCGGTGGCGGTCCGCCCAGCGCTGCCGGAGGCGGCGGTGGCGGCGGAAGAGCGCTTCCGAGCCACGCTGCCGCTGACGGCCGCCGCCGCAGCCGCCGCACGCGAAGCAGGTCCAGTGGAGGGTAGGGTGCTGTCGGTGGCTGTAACCACACCGCCGGTACCCTTGTCGCCATTGCTGCTGCCAGCGTCTTTCTTGCTGGTCACGGTGACAAAGGTGTCTAGGGTAACTGTCCTGAGGAGCGCAAGCGGTACGACAGGGAAGGGGATGTGGGTCGGCTGCATGGGAGTGGGTGGTGCGTACGGAGAACAGGTGCTAACTGTTGGCGTGGAGCTACCTTCATCATGGATAAGGATTGGCATGATCCAAATGGCAAAGCGGATTGCCATAACCCAAATGGCGCATGCCGTACAGGTCGTACCAATGGCAACACCCCAATGGCAACGGTCTCCCCATGCCTCTCCTTCCGTACAGACGGGGGCCGGTGGCAGCGAGGCTACCCACCTGTAGTCCACACGCACCAGCTTCTCCGGCCTGTACGGCAGCGCCGCAGCTCCACCTCCGCCACTCCCTCCTCCGCCGCCGCCGCCACCCGTCCCTGTACGTTTCAGCCCGCGGCTCGTGGCCGACTCCCTTCGCCGCCGCTTAGCTCCAGCATCCTCCTCGCAACCTTGTTCCTCCTCTAGCCCCTCCTCCTCCTCTTGAGCTGCAGTGTCGTCATTCCCGCCAACCTGCGGGGTGCCTTTCTCCTGGTCTTGATGCTGTGAGGACTGCGAAGGTCGTTGCGATGGCGGCGGCGGCGGCAGCGTCGCAAAGGGCAGCTGCGTTTGCAGTGTGGCTGCGGTGGCAAAGGTACGCGAGTCGTTGGACGCAAGCAGTTTGGCCTCCACCGCCCGCCGAATTTCCTCAATGATCTCCGCCTTTCCAGCAAGGGTAAAAAGGGGCAGCAGGTTACGACAGGACACAGAAGCAATGGTTTCGGCTCCCAAGTACAAGGGAGCAGCTCTTCACTCTTCGTAACCCCCTTCATGCTCAGCTGTTTTATTAACCCGCGTGCTGCTCCGAGATCCCTACCACCACCATCACCAGCCCGCCTACCTGGTGCATGAATCCCACTTCCCGCTTGGTGGGGTGCATGTTGACCTCCACCTGCCGCGGGGGCAGCCGTACGTCGAGGAAGATCCAGGGGCGTGCCGCCTTGGGCAGTAGGCTGCCGTACAGCCCCTCCAGCGCCCGCCGCAAGGGCGCGCACTCCACACAGCGGCCGTTGATGAAGAGTACGAGCACCGTCTTCTTGCCGATACTGTAGTTGGCACCGGAGATCAGACCCTGGCCAAAGCAGAAGAATTAGGGGCGCTTGAAGTCGAGGATACTCGTGTTTGTAAATGCTTTAGGCAAAGGATAAGGAGGCGCGGCGACTTTCCTACAGAGTCGACCCGAGAGGAGGAGACCAGCAGACAAAGCATTTCGCGGGCATCTTGACAACTCACCTCCACACGCAGACCCATGGGTCCATCGATGTGCACCTCTGGTCCCGTAGCTCCACCCACCGCCACTTTCAGCGGCAGCAGCTCCCGCGCCACGTCAGCGCCGTACACCGACCGTACAGCATCCACCCTGGTCGCTGACGCCGCTGTCGAAATGTCGGGCCTCGCGTCCCCGTGGCGACGGCAGCTAAACGCCACTCCCGTACTGTATACGGCATAGCGTCCCAGAACGTCCAGTATCAGCCCATACTCCTCAGTCGCGGACTTGAGCGCCTACTCGGGCTCAAAAGGGTAGGTAGGAAAGGAACTAAGAACGGCAATGGAACCCGAATGCCGAACCCAGCAGTCCATGGCGGCTAGCATGCTTTGAAGAGTTAAGTCCCACGTCAAAAGGCTATTTCAATGCCACCTCCGGTTGATATCCTCCCGACGCTTCTTAACCCACTTCTGCCCACCTCCCAGACCCCACCTTCCTGCGCGTGGGCACGTTATAGAAGAGGTCCTCCACGGTAATGGTGGTGCCCGGTACTGCAGCCACCGGTCGCGGTCCGGGTGCCTCCATCTCACTGTCCTGAGCATCAGCAAAGGAAGGGTGTGTGTGGTGGGAACCGTACCCATGTAAGCATCAGGGAACGGCAAACTAGGGAACCAATCGCCACACAACAAAACCCAACACGTCCATTTAGCGGCGTTTACGGGCTCCTCAAGCCTCATACGAACATCCTCGCAGCCCCTTCATGCATGGCTACCTTGAAGGTAACCCGGTAGCCGTACTGCGCCCCTTTCGCCATGGTGGTGACTGTCATGTGGCTCACGAAGCTGATGGAGCAGAGCGCCTCCCCGCGGAACCCCAGCGTGGACAGCGTCTCAAGGTCCTCGTACTCGCGCAGCTTGGAGGTGGTGTGGCGGTGGCACAGGATGGGCAGATCCTCTTTCTGCGGAGGGGATGCGATGTTATGGAGAGACGGTGTGGGTGAAGGTGGACCGGATGCATGCAAGCATGCCTGGATGAGCTGGTTTGGATGGGTTTCAGCTCGACCCACATCGCGTTTAAGGCCAACGTTGAGCAAGCCTTTCCGCTTTGCCACTGTTCGCTGCCGCTGCCGGCTCTCGATCCAACCCACCCGCTTAGCACCCCACCCGTATGCCGCATCCGTTGTCCGTGATCTGCAGGAGCTTGTTGCCGCCCTCCTTTACCAGGACGTTGATCTGCGTTGAGCCCGCGTCAAGCGAATTCTCCAGCATCTCCTTAAGCGCCGAGGCAGGTCGCTGAATGACCTCTCCAGCTGCGATTTTGTTGACCACTTGCTCGTCCAATTTCCGAATGACTGGCGCTGCAGCGGGTCGTGCCGATGAGGTTGCTGCTGCGCCAGTGCTTGCGCCAGCGCCGACTCTGGATGTAGGGGCGTCGGTCATGTTGGGGTGGGGCGTGGGGTTGGCTACCCAGAGGGTTGGGGAGGTAGGGCGTCGATGCTGGCCCTCGGAAGACTTCGATTGTGCGGAGCGGGACTCAAAGTTCACTTGCTACGATATTCAGCGCCTGTCCTTTTGGCGCTGTTTTTATTTTGGGCTTAATCGTTCCCAAGGATGCCCATCCGCTCCATTAGGACCAACTGTAAAAGCTATCCTTTAGATCACATATAGTTGTTTGGAGACATCTGCGTTATGCTTACAAGTACCTAGGTGCTTGCTAGTGCTTGCCAATTCATCATGGTCTGTACCAGACATAGGCACCAGGACGACATGTTCAAAATGTTGCGCAGGTAGTTCACAGCAGCTGTTGTCAGGCGAACGATAAAGGAAGAAGGTTGGTGGAGGACCTCAAATCACTAAATCGAAATCCAAAACCATATACGACAGGCGGGGAGAATGCCTTTGCCCCGCAGCACCGCAGCGCAGCGTCTGTAGTGAGCGACTCATGAAAGTGATCAAATATAGAATTACTGTATTTAGCTGGCGGGGTATTGACCTATAGCTTGCAGACTGTAACCTGAGACCCTGTCACAAAGGCTGCCAGGGTCCAGAGCTGAAGATACTCTCCAAGCGTTATTGCAAGCGTTTTTGTTGACGTTGAAGATAGAAGACTACCTGGCGCAGCTTTCGGCAATTCGAACTTCAGACCTCCTCGGCCTACTGAACAGACGGCCACTATGTTGCCGCTTCGGGGCCAGACGCTGGCAGCGGGCGTGCTGGATCGTGAACGAGGACTTTGGGGAGCCCGTAAGCTTCTTTAGATGTCTTCACGGAGTGCAGGCTTGAATCCATGTTGACTTCGCACGTCCCTTTTCCAGGCTTCAGCGCCAGTCAGCAACATCAACAGCGTGAGCTACTTAGATGTGTTACATTTGAGGCTACGGCGACGGCAATCCCGTTACCGCCGGCGACAGAAACTTCCGGGGCGCCCCTGTGCTTACAGTTTAACAAGGTATGGTTTTGGGTTCTCTATAGCTTTTGCCGTATTGCATTTTACTAGTTTTGTCAAGCATTTTGCGGTAGCGCCGCGTATAGTCGCAGGGGCTGGACGTGGGCTCGGCAAGCAATTTTCCTCGACAAGCATAACAACTTGCGCGGCGTTATTTGTTAACCTGCAGAATTCGTCGCTATGCAATCGTCAGCTTCTAGCAGTCGGGGGCGAGGAAGGCTTCATTACTATTGCCAGCACGGAGGACTTGGACGGCTTGCAGCGGGATGTCAGTGATGGCAGCTGGCGCCCTCGCGCGCACTGGCCGTGCCATCGCAATAGCATCTTTGACCTGGCTTGGGCTAAGGTGCGCCTTTGCCTATATCCTTAAGGAAGTGTTTGGATTACTTGTAAAGCTGCCCCTAACTGCTGCCTGTTGAGGCCTTCATTCTGCACCGTAAACATGCTTTCGGCGCCGTCCCCTGTCATACCATGCAGAACGACGCCGTTATCTACACTGCGTCTGGCCACCAACACGTCGGTATTTGGGACACCGACACCGCCAAGGGCCTGGCGGTTGCCGAGGGTCACGAGGGCTCTGTAAAATCCGTTTCGCCTCTGCATCTTTGCGAAGACGTCTTCGCAACAGGTACGGTGGTGGAACTTGCGGTCTTAGGTGGGGCTCCTGCGGAACAAATCGGCAGTGTATGTGTATGCTGTAAACAGGCATAACAGCATTGTGTACACTGTCACCAACCCCTCAGGCGCTCGCGATGGCCGCATCATGCTGTGGGACGCCCGCTGCCAGGGCTTTAGCGGCTATGGGCCCTTGGGAGGCCGCCGAGTACAGACCAGAACTGGGTTGGATTGTGCACCAGTGCTGTCGCCTGTTTGGACCCAGGAGGGGGCACACAACCGCACCGGCACAACGGGCAGCAGGGCCTCGTCTAAGGCCGTCAAACCTGCACCGGTGACTGTCACGTCCGTCGCCTTCGTGCCGTATTCCTACCTGCTGCTATCAGGAGGCGCGAACGACACAGTTGTGAAGCTATGGGACGTCCGCATGCGCGGTCTGCCGGTGTGCGACCTGGAGCTGCCCATGCCAGCCGCTGGGACAAGCCTTCACACAGGTACTTCTGATACGGGGTCACAATTTTACGGCACCCGACTGTCGCACGTTGCTTCTTACTAACTTGCTGCTCTTCCTGCTCCAGGGCGGTCTGCCGGAGCCAAGAGCCGGGCGCCTATGACTTCCTCGTTCCCGGGCGTGCCGTACGAGGTTGGGGCTTACTCCTGTCCTTCGAGGAGCTCCGCTGTCGGCGTGACCCACATCACTGTTTCCGATTCAGGTCCGTAAGTCGCGTGGCTCTGAAAACAAATACCGGACAGGGCTTGCACACGCACTTCGCTGCCCCTTACTCACCTGTCACCTGTGTACAATTTGCTACACGCACGGAAACGAAAATCGGCTGACAAGCGCTAATGAAAATGGCCCTCATCAGGGCTCATGCAGAAACCAGCTCATCGCTTTCGGTCTTACGCTCTTGCCCCATTCCCTCAGGTGACCGGCTCCTCGTCAGCTGCCTCGACTCGCAGCATCACCTCTTCTCCCTTAGCCGCCTGGCCGCTGGTCCCCTTGCAACATGGTGCGCGCCGCCACCGGCGTTGAAGGCAAGCTTCTACATGCGCAGTGTCTTTAGCCCCTGCGGCGACTACGTGCTCTGTGGCTCCCGTGACGCCGGTGCGCACATTTGGAACATGGCTGACCCGCAACGGCCGCCAGTTGAGCTGCCGCACGCTCAGGAGGTCACCGGCGTGGCGTGGTCCGGTGGCGACTGGGGCAAGGTTGCTACATGCAGCGACTCCGGTGAGGTGCGCGTGTGGACCCTCAGCAGGCTGCCTGCGCGTGCCGTTGAGGACGGTGCTGGTGCGGCCGTGGCGTCTTGCTTTGGAGCTCGAGCATTGCAACAGGCAGCGAAGGTCGCATCTGGCTCAGGTAAGATGCTGGTCTGTTTACGCGCGGCAATGGTTAGCAGGCACCATTCATGCACTGATGTTTGCCTCCTAGCTATGTTTCATGCTTTGTTCCTTACGTTATTCTCTGCTTCCCGTAGGTGGCGGTGCTACTTCGGCGCCGGTCATCCCTCTCCGCCAGGGTACCGCTGCGCCTGCCACACCCGCTGCAGTCCGGCCACCTGGTCGCCGCATGGTGCAGCTACGCCTCAACCTATCCCGCGCGCCCCGTGAGACTCCTACACCCGCGCCTCCAGCGGCAGCGGCTGCATCCACTCCGGTCCAGGACCTCGCTACCGCCACGACGCCGCACAGCAGCATGCCGGCATCTGCGCCTGTGTCCGCGCCTCCACAGGCCCAAGGTCCGTCAGCAGCCGCTGCCCGCGTGGAGAGTGTGAACCCGCCCGCATCTGACGAAGAGGAGCGTGCCGCTGCTCTCCGCGCAAGTGCGCTGAAGTCGCCAGTTTCTGCCGCACCGGTGCAGCCTGCTACCCGACGCCGCTCCGGCCCGCTGCCTCCAGTGCCAATTTTCAGTCCGGTGTTCAACCGTTGGCAGCCGCGAGACACGGGAGCTTCTCCGGCACCATTTCCGCAGCCGGCAACGTCCTCCAGAGAGGCGGACGCTGCGGGTCCGTCGGCTGTTGATCCGTGTGGAGGCCTCGAGGCTGCCATGAAGGCCCTGCCCCAAGTGCGCACGCAATCGCCTGTCGATAGGCCACAGCGGAGCGACAAACCGCAGGTGATGGACCTTCAGCCGCGTCGGCTGGCCGAGGAGTTGTTCATGGGTATTGACGCCAAGCCACAGCTGCAGCCTCGTGACGGAACCGACGACGCTGACGGTGAATGGCTAACGCGACGTCCTTCAGCTGGGGTGACGTCTGCAGCCACGGAGCCGCCTGCTGCGGCGACGTCTGTTCCTGCGACCGGCAGCACGCTCTTGGCTGCACGTGTGCCCGCATTTTCGCCACGAAAAACGCCGACAACAAGCTTCCAGCGCTCGCGCTCAAGGCTTGGGCCGTTCAGCCCCTCCAACTCGGCTCACAGCAGTGGCTCTGGTCCGTCGTTTAGCAGCAACAGCAGCGGCGGTGCAACCACGCCCCGGCAGCACCAGCCGCCACAGGGTGTCGTGGCCCAAATACTGCGGAACTCCCCGCGGCCTGGCAGCGTCCGTTCAGCCGAGAACTTATTTGGCCTGGCGGTACCGTCGCCACGGAGCCGCGCTGCCAGCCCACGCGTTGAGTCTGGTGGGGCCCTTCCCGTGGGCCGGAGGCTCTTTGGAGGGCCCGAGCAGGTTCAGCCATTGCCGCAGCCGGACGCCTGGGCCGTGAATTCCGACGGCCCCAATGCTGTCAGCGCTTTTGGTTGGGATGCAGACAACGCAGCTGCAGGCCCAAACGTCGTCGGCGCCATCGGCCACCTGCTTCAGCGGCCCGACTCGCCCATTGGCAACCACGGCAGTCCGCGGGTACTCGCGAACCTCATGTACGACGTCCAAGATGGCCAGGAGGTAGCTCCTGCTCTCCGCTACCGTGAGTTGCACCCGGAAGACTCTGGGCCGTTCAACTGTTTCGACGGCGTGGACTATGATACATACCGACGCATTAGCGATGGTGGTGAGAATGACGGGGGCGGCATCCCTGCAAGCGCTCCCGGTCTGCAGCGGGCGCACCGGACCTCAACCAGCGGCGCGGGGAGCCCACGAGGGGAGTTGCTATCTGGTCCACTGCTGAGTTGGGAGGATGGTGACGAGCCAGGCTCGCGTGAGAATGAGGCGGGTGGCGTCGGGGATTTGTTTGCTGGCTGGGCGCTACGTCGCTTGGACTCTAGCAGCATGCGGCTTGTGGAGCGCAGTGGCTCGGATGTCATATCAGACGACGGCTCCGATTTTGACTTTGACCCTTACGGTGATAAGGAGAACACGCCGCCGCCTGAGCCGCTGGAGGCCCCATCTGCAGATCCCGTGGCCAGCGGCACCTTTGGTGATGGCGCGAGCGCACCCACTGCTCCCGTGCCTGGTTCCCCTCGGCCAACCACCACGGAGCAATCGCTTCCAAGGCTCCTGGACGCGTCCGCTGCCGTCTCTTCACGTTCCCAGCCCTCACGGCAGGGTGGCGCTGCGGCAACGCCATTCGCTGCAGCACTGCCCTTTCCTGAAGTCACCGGTCCAGATGCTGGGGTCGGCGGCTTCAGGGCGGTAGGAGCGCCTTCCCTCCACAGCGTGCCGTCCATGGGTGCAGGCATGAGTTCCGGTCAAAACGCCATCGCAGCAGGAGATAACAGTGCAAGTAATGGTCTGGAGGAGGCGCTCAGCTTTGGAGTCGGCTGCCTGCTGCCTCGCTACAACTCCGCCGCCAGCTCCGATGACGGCATGGAGGGCGAGATCGGGCAACTGGCAGAGCTACCACCACCGATGGCTACCCCGCTGCGCCATGGCGGCAGCTGCGGCCGCCGCTGCCACCCTGGCAGCGCGATTGGCGCGACCGATGTCGACGCTAGCGCTGCTGGGCTTGAAAGGCGCACCACTGACAATCCGTCCCCTCCCAAGCGTGCACGCAAGGCCTATCGGAGCGATGACAGCGATGAAGAAGATGCTGACAGCCGGCTGCCTTCACCACCACGCAGCACGCGGCCGCCGCGGGTGCCTTCATGCGCAATGCCGACGCCCATGGGAAAGCAGCGCCCGAGCGCGAGCATGGTGATGGCGTCGCCTTGCGTGCGTGGAGGACGACGTCCTGGATGCGGCGTCAGTCGTCTGGCGGATGGTGGCTTTCTGGGAGCCGTTTCCGCTGCCGCTGCCAGCATCGGTTCGGAGAGTCCTGCTCCCAAGATCGGCACGGCTTCCCGTACCGGGCGCCGCGAGACGCCAGCTGCTGAGGAGTTTTTCCGGCGGCGCGCTGAGGAGGACCGCGACGGCATGATGATGTCTCCCTTTGGCTTTGGTGAGCTGCCCGGGTCTGCCGCTCCCAAGGTCGCTGCCTCTGTCTCTGAACGCCGTGGTGCGTCGCGGCTGGCGAGAGGATGTGGCGCTGCCGGTCTGGCCGCAGTGGAGACCGGCCAGCTTTTGTTCTCCGAGGGTGTGATTTCCGACGACAAGGCGGATGCAAGGGAGGAATTGGCTCAGCGGGAGCAGGATGAGGAGGACTTCAGGGCCATCCAGGGCAGCGTGCGGTCGCTGTCGTGCGTCTTTGAGACTCAGGACACGGCGGCGCAGGTGGCGAGCACGATGATGGTACCCGGCACGCTCCCTGCTGAGGAGGAAGGTGGTGCAGAAGTGCAGGATGAGGACGAGGATCAGCATCGGCGCTATGGTGCCCCAATGCGGCTGTCGTTTGAGGACCGCACTGTGGCATCTCCGGCGCCTTTCGGCATGGGAACAGCAGCCGGCGGTGACATTGTTGGCCGCGATGAGGGAGCCGAGCGACAAGGCAGCATCGGGTTTGGCAGCCTCTTCGGTCACAGCCAGCAGCAGCAACCGGTCACCGACTACCAGCAACGCCGTCGCGGTTCATCCTCTGGCCATGCTGCTCCAACCCCGCTTCCGTTGGACGAGTCGAGCAGGTGCTTCCCCGTAGCTGGGTTTGGTGCCATGGCCAACGCTTCGGATGCCTTGTTGACTGGATGGGCCGGGGGCAATGGAGCGCTACCAATTGCAACAGAGCACCGGCAGCCGCACCAGCAGCGGCCGCATGAGCTTCTGCAACCTAGCTTTTCGGGCTTCTCCCCGCATGGGCCTCTTGCACCGCCTGCTGGCGGCACTGGGGGTGCGCAGACTCAGCAGCTACTGCCGGGAACCCTGGGGCGCAAGCACAAGCAGCAAACCCTGCGACAGTGCTGGGGCGCAGGCGCTGTGCCCCTGCAGGGACCAAACTCGGTCATGGAAGGCCCGGTGCAAATGCCTGCGCCTATGTCTCGGCCCCTAGGCCCCACCGGGCTGGCCTCCCCGCGCTACTTCCGCTGAGGGCGGTTTGCTTGCAGCTTGTACGATACAGGAGCTCATGCCATTCCGTGTAGCCACTGCCGTTTCCGGCTATTGGCCGCAGGGTGTAGATGTTTTGAAAGGATGGATTTAAACCTTCTAGTTAGGCATGCGCACGACGTGCACAGGAGATGTTAGCAGGCTGTTGCGGGCGCTGGTGAGATTCCCAGCGGTGAATGCGTTTTAGGTGCTGATCCCTTTTCCGCCCATCAGGTGTGTAACCGTTGTGTAGTTTGCGGGGGTAGATGTAGTTTTAGGATTGAGGCTGGGTGAAGCCCTTGAGAGGCGTATTACTATGTAGTTTGGCTGCATGGGCCAATGCCCTGTCCCAATTGTCAAGAGCAGGCCGGGTTGCTGTTTAGTGCCACCCCTAGATTGCATCAATTTAGGGCGCAAGTCGCTGCGCAGAACAGCGCTGACTTGACAATGGAGGATTGCCGTGTTAGCAGGAGTGCACGTTAGCCCGATGCCGGGTCCGTTGCGGCATGTCGCTGCAACATAGCGACCATGGCAAGTAGCATTGCCATAAGTCCAGCTGGCAGCGCCTGGGTGTAATATACGTTCGCGCTTCAGTATGTTACCCGGTCCCATGTAAAGCATTGCTTTGATGCAGGGAAGGGCCAGCGCACGAAGTCGGCAAATGCCTAGCTACTTCTGACGACCCTACCCCGCCAACAGACCCATGGTTCTCGCAAACCCTGCCAATCCATTAAGAATCATCATGCGCGTCTAATACGGCGGACTGACCGTCGTGGCATTCGGCATAGCTCTCCTTACACTTGTATATAAAGGGCCAGGTACCCTTAACCGGTTTTGCAAGCGAAACTACCGGTAGAAATGCAACTGCAACACCAAACACTGCACCGGGTACAGACAACCAAGTTACCAACTCCCATATGTCCCAAGGCTCCTTTACCCCTACAGCTGCCCCTTAACCATCCTCAATCTCGCCTCTAGGGAGCGTGCAGGCACCATGGCGGGCACAGTAGTTAACTGGTTCAGTCCACCATGAGCGAAGCGTTGTGTGCCTCAAGCCACGGCCACAGCGACAGCAGCAGCTGCTGCCGCAGCGCCCGCGCCGCCTCCCCAGCTGACTCCCGTCGCCCGCCGCCACTGCCACCGCTGCGGCTGCCGCCGGTGGCCTCTGCGGACGCTCTTGTGCCCTCTGCCGCCGCGCCTGCCGGCCCTCCATTGTTGCTGCTGCTGCTGGCTGGAGCAGTTTGCGTGGCACGGTCTGGAGGGGTCCTTGAGGGCGTTGCGCTGCCCTCTGGAGCGTTCGTGCGCGAATACTGCGGGAGTGGTGCGTTTGTCGCCATGGCAAGCGGCGCCAGTTCTCCGCTGGCATGCGCGGCCGCCACCTTACTTGGGTTTCGGAGCCGACACTGCAATGTGAGAGATGACGCAAATGGTTGGAATCCGTGCCCTATACTGCTGCAAGTGTAGTGATTACCGATACAGCCCAAGCCAAGCAAATCGCCGTACCCCCTGCTCTGCATACCGTAGTAACGCGAATGTTTTTACAAAATAAATAATTATTTGGGGCGGTAAAATTGTGACAGAAAAATTCCAGCCTACCCGGTAAGAACATTTACGTTCTTCCAGAAATTCAAGGGGTCGCGGTAAAAGTGTTGGGAGGAGAAGAGGTCGGCTGGGGGAATGGTTGGGATGAAGGGGGCTGCGGGGGTGTGGACGTGGTTTGGGGATATGGGCTTCGGAAGGAAATGCTGGGGATCATGGCCTGAGACAAGGTGTTCACGGGCCCTCGGACTCCCGAATCCTTCCAAACTGCCGTCTTTTGTCCCCCATGCGCTTCCGGCCTCCATGAATGGTACTTGGGGTTGGGTTACAGCCGTCGTGGGGAGGCCGCTCACAAGGTCAACGCTAGCCTCCAAGGGGCCGGGTAAAATGTTTGAGTGCCGGGGAAAACCTCGGGACCTGCCGTAAAATACTTTCAGTTGTAAAAAGTATTGGAAAATTATTTCGCTACGGTAAAATCTTTAAAAAAATAAACATTCGCGTTACTACGGTAGTACCGGTAGCTGTGCAGGCCACATTGACCTGAGCAGACATACCGGTACCCCTCACGGCCTCACCCCCAATGCGCTTCCTCACCCTCGCCAGCAACTCCACGCCCCGCTCCGCGTACCCCACCACCTCCACCGAAGGCGCCAGCGGCCCCTCCGTCTCCACCGCCCCACTCGCCGCAATAGCCTCCCGCAGCCCCGCCAGCTCCCCGGCTAGACCCGCGTGCCCCGGGGAGCGCAGCCGCACCCGCAGCTGCAGCGACAGCGGCGTGCGGGACTCCAGCCAGGGCGGCCGGTTGAGGCCTGTAACCCACAGGCCGTACAGTTCACCCCAATGCAACCCTTCTGTTTGGCTGCTATGGTAACTGAAATGACACACGATGCACGGGCTATAGGTTTAAGCCCGCAGCCGCAACCAGGGGGCGTGGCCTTTCACTTCCCTGTTTCCCCCTACCGCATGGCGGTAGCAGCAGCAGCAGCGCCCCCCCTCCACACACTCACCCCTGCTGGTCCTGCTCTTGTTGGTGATGATCATGTCCGCCAGAGCGCGGTTAGGAATGGCCACTGTGGAGCCGTCGTCTAGGGCGATGTGGGTGCGCAGCGCCGCTATCTCCGCCACCTCGCCCACGTAGGAGGTCACACCGGACACCAGCCCGATGGTGTCGCCCACTCGGAAGGGGCGGTCCATGTACTGAGGGGCGGGGGTAATTTGGAAACAGAATCCGAATTAGGCTGGATATTTGGGTTAGCATATAACTGTAGTTGTTGTATAGGGGCGGGGGGGGGAGGGGGCCCGCATGGGAGGAGCGGACAGCGAAGGTGTGGTTAGGGCTGGTCCAGGTACCGGTACCCGTCAACCGGCTGTCCAACCCAGCACTGCGTCATGCTGCTCATGCATCCCGGCATCCTTCCCTGTACCGGTACCCCACCACATCAGCCCGCCTCAATCTCCCCGTCCCACCTCGTCTCCCCGCTCTACCGTATCTACTACCCTGCCTCTCCCTCTGCCCACCATCTGCAACCCGCTGACCGCATTAGCCAGCAGCTGCTGCGAGGCCAGCCCCGCCACCACACTGCCCCCTCCCGTCAGCAGCAGCAGCGGCCGTACATCCACCCCCAGCAGCTGCACCACCAGCAGCCCGGAAGCCACCAGCAGCGCCCAGGTGGCGGCACTGGTGGGGGGGCGCACGTGACAGGATAGTGGTGGTGAGCGGAAACAGCGGTGGCGGTAGATAGCGGTAGCGGCAGAGGCGGCAAACTAAGCAAGGCGTGTACGGCGGAAAACAGGATTCAGCCTACTAGTACGGCAGCATGGGAGTGATACCGGTACTTGCCAGTTTACGTCCGCCACGTCCGTCCCTTGCCGGACCGTAATGCCGGATTATCAGCCCCAAGGCGCCATCCCCACAGCACTCACGCGTTGATGGGCGTGACAATGCGGTCCAGGTCCTGCCGCCCCTGCGCGGTGTCGTGGCGGTGCAGCAGGAAACGGGACACCGCCACATCCTTCCAGCTCAGCAGAACCCAGGTGCTGGCGGAGGGAGGGGGCCGGTCGGGGAGACGGGGTCGGGGCAGAAGGGTAAAGGGGGAGAGACGGGATGCGAGATGAGGTACCGGCAAGGGCTCCTGGTCTTCTCATACCCCTTGCGCCCAATGGGCCTATCTTGCCTTGCCTCACTTCCCTTTCCCGCCCTCCCTCCTTCATGTCCTCGCTCCCATGTAACCTGGCGCCGCGCCCTCGCCTCACCCGAACACCACCAGCATGATCTGGTACCCCACGATGAGCCAGCGGTCCACCCGGGCTAGCCCCGCCTTGAAGCCACCCAACAGCTGCTCGGCACGACCTGGGGGGGAGGGAGGAGGCGGCGATAGCGGTGGGCAATAGCGGGGGGGGGGGGTCAAAATGGACCGCACCATAGGAAACCACGAATTAGGGCAAAACACTGGTGGAAAGAGGCAGCAGGAGGAGAACGGCGATAGCGGAAAAGGAGAACGGCGCTTTACGGCACAAGGTATGGGTAGCAAGCACGCGTAAAACAACAATTCCGTACCTGCCGTAAGGCTGTCGTACGAGGGCGACCTTCCAGCCGCCAGCAGTGCTCTCTCCGCCAGCCCTTGCGCCATGTTGGCCAGGCTGCGGGCCACGTGGGTGGCGGTCAGCAGCAGCAGCGCGACGCGGCTGGGGGCGGTGGCAGCGCCGGGCAGCAGGACGGTGAGCTGGCGCAGGAGCGGGGCGGAGGGAGCGGCGCCGCCGCCGCGGGAGACGGCTGCGGTGCCGTCGAGGACTTCCTGGGGTTGGGAAGAGATACCGGTAGTACGATGGATCCCAGACTTGTTTACGGGAGGCTGCGACGACCGGGGAGGTGGAGGAGCCGAGGAAGTTACTAGGTGAGGGAATCCATGTACGCAGGTCCAGAGATGGCATTCGAGATCACTGCCGTACCTCCCGTGTACGTTTCTCAATGCGGTCAAGCCAGCGTTGCAGCAGCCACAGCGCTAGCAGCGGCAGTACGACATGAAAGAGTACCTCGCGAGCAGCATAACTCAGGGCTGCAGTGGCGGGCTGCCCCAGGGCCAGTACGGCAGGATCCGGTGGAACGCACTGGCTGTCGAGTGGCAGTACAATGTGGTGGTTGTGATTGTTGTGACAAGTCTTGGGTTGGGTGCTAGGGTGTGAGGGAGGCGGGGAGGCGGGCGAGGATTGGTTAGGCGTGGCAGAAGCGACCCCAGGGACGGTGGGAATGGCATTGTGTGAATTATAAGGTCGACGCGGCGCAAAAGGCGGTGAAATGTTGATGTATTGCTTACGAAACGAGTTTTTGCTTAAGAAAGCTGGAGCGAGAGGGCTGAAGCGAGGCCTAGCTGGGCCAAGCTGGGCCATGTCGGAAGGGCGTTGGCCTTTGGCCATTGCAAGGCTTTCAGCTTGCAGAGGTTTAGTAGGACATGTCCAGGAAAACATACGGGATGATGCTTTTGACCGGACCCGAATGGGACCAGGGGCAACGCTCATCACGCGCGTCACGGCTTCGGAGCATGGGATTTTGCGTAGAAGGACGTAGAGGCTGACATATCCAAACCCACATTGCACAAAGCATTCTTTGCTTGTCTTCAAATGCAACTTTGTATACATCATTTAGACAGCCTTTATTAGTGTTTAGATAGCTAGACCATAGCCTCTCTTTGCTAGCTCAGAGCTATCTATTACTTGTGAACATCATGTTTAACAAAAGCTATAAGAAAGAAATAAGCGCAATAGAGGACTTGATCAAGGCAAAGGTATACGTGAATCAAGAGCGCTGCGAGGAGTTGCGGAAGTTGAAGGAAGACCTATGGCAGCCGGACGCGGAACTACCGGACGAGCCATGCACGTTATTGTGCATCAATTTGAGCCAAGAGATCCTGGACGCGCTTGGTGGCCTTCCTGGCTTCACCATGCAGGTTGATTCGTCAACCGTTGTGTTCGATGGCCCCGTGTTACTTGAATCCTCCCATTCCTAACGCGACATGTTTTGCATTTACCTGCACTCAGATTGAACGGCTGAGCGGGGGTCAATCCGACCCAAACTACAAGGTCGACCGCAAGCGCTTTGCGAAGCTGTTCACCGGCGATGCGCTGCGTAAGGCCAACACAGCCGCTGTCATACACCAGTTAGGCAGCCAGGTAGGTGCCATTTGGTGGGCCGACTGGGAGGTCTGCTATGGGCCTACCTGGGCCAGCCTGGGTTTACATCTTGAGGTCCGCATGCCGCTCTGCCACGCGGTGCAAACGGTTTCCCAGGCACGAGTCCTACCAAGCGCTCAATCAAACTCAGCGTATGAAAAATGAACACTTGCTTTAATCCACTCTGCAAACCAGGATGACCTGCTCACCAAGATGGACCGGCGTGTAATCGCCATGTCGCTTTTAAACCAGCTGCCTGTGCTGGCAATAGCTACGCTGGCGTCACCATCACCAGCCACAGAAGCACCAGCACCGGTAGCGAACAACGCGGCGTCAGAAGATTGCGGCAACTCCGATCCCGCGGGGGACAGCTGCTGCAAAGGCGATGACCATGACGAAGGCAAGGAAGTCAAGGACAGCGGTGTCGGTGTTGCCGCAGATGCTAGTGGCTGCGGCGGCCTGCATGCACTGCCTGCTGCCAGCGCCGCAAGTGGCGGCACGTGGCCGGTGTTCTTCATACCTCACGCGGATCACGTGGGCCCGCTGAAACAGGTAGGGAAGGAAAGGCTGGGATACCGGTACTGCGGTACAAGGTACACCACCACTGCCGTGCCGCGTAGTCCTCCTGTCTCAGCATCAATGCTTCAACAGCTTCCGCAGCTTCCTCGTTCCTATCCCGCACCCCCTCTTTCCCCTCTTCCCGCCCCCATTCCTATCCATAGTGGCTGATTTCGGAGCTGCCCCGCGTCCGTGCGCTGTCCTCTGCCGTACGCCAGCAGCTGCACGAGCGGCTCGACCACCTGGGCCGGATCAACGCACCGCTGCACTTCCTCAAGCGGGCCTCCGTGGCGCTCGTGCCCTTCGGAGTGCTGACTGTTAACTTCCTTGGTGGGTGCGAACCTGCGAAGCGCTCGGGGTCGTGTTGGCGGTACCGGGCAGTTCCTGTGCCGTACTGAACCGCATGGAATGTCAACATCGTCAAGTAACCCGTTCAGGTGCCTACTGTGTTTCTGCGCCCCCAGTGTCTGCTTTTGCACTAACCTGTCCTCCTGCCCGCCACCACTGCAGGCGTAGTGCGGCTGATGGCTACCATGTTGCAGCTGGCGGGCATGCGCGGGGACACCTCCGCGAACAAGGCACTGGGGCTGCTGGGAGCGCAGAACGCGGCCATGGTCACCGGCATTGACTCCATGGTACGCGGGGACGGGCTGAGGAGCTGGCTGGCGTTTACGGAGCTTCGCAGGCGTGCGCGGGGTTGTTCGCCGGGTACACCAGATTACCATAATGGGTGTTCAGCCACCACCCACATGCCCCAACCCACATGACCGCCACCGGTATTTAACTGCTGTCCCAACACTCCTCCCATGCAGGGCGACATATACTCCTTTGCCGTCTTCGCCACCGTGCTAGCTGACCTCCAGGGCATGGGCCTTGTGGAGGCAGCTGAGGCCATGGATGTGGTGGACGGACTGACCCTTGGGTCAATCGGCGTCGTCACGGGCGCCGTATCGGCACTGGGCGCCTACCTGACGCGACCGCTGGTGGTGCGCTCGGCTACGGACTTCCTGGCCGGGCTGCAAACCATGCACGTGCTCAACCCCGCCATGCGGAGGGCGAGTGTGAAGCGGGAGAAGAAGCCGCCGAAGCAACGGGGCTGGGGCCGTAAGGGCAAGAAGGCTGCGGACGTGGCTGCTGCTGCAGCAGATGCAGTGACGGGGGCTGCAGCTGCGGGCGTGACCAAGGAGGAAGCGGGGGCGGAAGAAGATAGGCGGCCGTCGGAGGAGGATGCGGACGGGTGTATGGGCACAGATGATTCTCCGTCAGATGTAGAGGAGCCAAGTGCTGCAACATATGCGGTCGTAGCTGCTGCGGGTACGGAAGAGGGCGTGACGGCGGGCGGTGGAGGGCTCAGCCGAGCCGAGCTACGGCAGCAGGCCGCAGCACAGCGACAGGCGGCTGCGGAAGCCAAGAGGGCAGAGAAGGAAGCCAAGGCGGCGGCTAAGGCTGCAGCCAAAGCAGAAAGGAAGGCGGCTAGACTTGCGGAGAAGGAACGCAGGCGTCAGGAGAAGCAGGAGGAGAAGGAGAGGCGGGCAGCGGAGAAGGCGGCGGCGGCACAGGCCAGAGCGGAGGAGAAGGCAGCAGCGGCGCAGCGACGGACTGAGGAGAAGGCGGCAGCAGCGCAACGCCGGGTGGCGGCACGGCAGGCTAAGGAGGGCTTGGTGGAACAGGCCGCACAGGGCGTCAAGGAGGAGACTGTAGCGATAGCAGGGGCCGAGGCAAGCGGGGAGGGGTGCAGTGGTGAAGAGGTGAAGGTCCGCTGGTGGCATCGCAAGAAGAAGGCGGCGGACCTGGGAACGGGGTCCTCAGCAGGAACAACAGAGGCGGTGTTGCTGACCGAGGCAGCGGGAGTAACTCCGTTGGAGGTCGAGAGCGGTAGCAGCGGCGGCGATAGCAGCGACGACGACGGTAGTAGCAGCGAGGACGAGGACGAGCATCACCATGCGGACATGGGGACTGCCAGTATCGGCACGGCTGCGGAGCAGGAGGCGGCAGCTGCGGCTCGGGAGGCGCGCATGGGTTTGGACGAGGAGAAGATCCGAGCGCTTCTGGAGTTCCTGAGTTTGCCGGACGAGGATGTGTACGACAACAGCAGTAGTGGGGGCGTTACTGGTAAAGCGGGGCAGGGGATCGCTGGGGTGGCAGCGGCGGAGGGGTGATGATGAACGCGCGGAGAGTTGCTGTGGCACGCACGGTGACGAGTGGGGCGGTTGCAATGCACCTTATAACGGTATGTGACAACGTTTATGCAAGCAGCGTTCCAGATGAGTGTGGACGTTTAGTTGCGTGTGGTGGTGTCCGCATGTGGTGGAGCTACGCCTCTATCTTGCGCATGCATCGCATTGCTTGGCAGCGCTACAGCCCGTTGCTGTGCTGGCTGCTGAGTGCACGCGTTCGCACGAACAGGAGCTTACAGGCATAGTGGTGGGCCGCCAGGACACAATGTAGCTTCAGCAATATTACAGCATTATAAAATGTATCAGCAATGACCAGTAAAGCTATGGGGCTACACAGTATAGCAGAGCACGCTGCATGGAGGGGCCGTCTACGTCCTCATGTATTGGTTGTGTACCGTACTTCAGCATGTCATGGGTATGGTTTTCACTGGCTGCAGATCTCTACCTTTTGCTTGCGAGAAAGGAGGATGGTTCCCAGCGCTTCCCTAGTGGTTTTGCTGTGGCCGTAGATTTTTCGCAGATTCAAGGAGTCCGGGTAGACTTAACAGATTATGTTGGTCTAGAAACCAGGATAGTGTTTGTTCTCTAGCAGCAGCACGCAAGCTAGCACAGCAGTACTCGAGCCTACAACTCTCCGTATGTCCAGCACCGAGTGTCCATTGACTCGCTAAACTAATGAATGTTTTATGGCACATGCTCTGTAAGGGAGGCAAGGCTGCACACGCGGACACCTGAGGGGTCACACCCTTGCCGTACAGCATGATCACCCTTGATGCCGTACAGCATGATCACACTGAAACCATATAATAACAACCAGGCTTAGGTAAAAGCTTATTACGTACGGCAGGCAACTCTAATTGCGCCTGTATCACACCGCCGACTGCACAGTAAGCTTAACGCGCATCACGCTGGACCCGATGTTTGGGTTGCATAGTAGATCACGACGTCCGCTGCATCCTGCATAACATTACATAACACGCTACCAACCGCCTCCTTAACCCCTCATAAAGCCGCGCTTCCCTTCCCCACCTAAAACGCCCTCGTCCCCACCCTTCTACACATCATTAGTCAGGCACGCACACTGCAATATGTCCCGACGTCGCTCACATTGGTGGCTCGCATGTGGATCACAGACCCATGGGTCGCAGCTCCGCAGCGCTCAGCGCCTCCTTCAGCGCCGCCGCCTGCCGCTTCACCCCAATCGAGCAACCCATATCCGTCAACACCGCTTCTAACAGCTCCCTCAGGTCACCAGGACTGGCTCCCATGCTCGTACTCCCTCCTGAAGCCCCGCCAGCAGCCCCTCCGGGAGGCGACAACAAACTACCGAAAGTCGGGCCAACAGATGGACGTCCACTTGCCCCAGCCAAACCTGACGTGGGCGCCAGGGGATGTGTCGTGGAGGCGGCGATACCGAAGAAGGGGTTCCCAGCAGCAGCGCTGGCGGGAGCTGACAGCGGCGTTGACACGCCGCCAACGGCACTGATTCTGGCGTTGCCGTTAAGGTTAGCGGAAGCTCCGGCGGCACTGGGTAGCAGCTGCGAGGTGAGGCTGCGGAAGCTCTGGCCGCGTAGGGCCCGCATGTGCGTCCGCATGTCACCCGACAGAGCAGCGGCCATCACCGTATGCACACCGCCGGAAGTCGAACCGACGGCGCCAGCATCCGCACCGCGGCTGGTTGCGTAGGGGCTATGCGCAACCCCGGCAATGCCTCCGCCTGCGTTGCCGTACCCCGCAGCCGACCAGCCACCTCCAGACTCGAGGTCCAAGCCGGGATTGCCGCCGCCGCCGGCGACTAGGGCGGACGGTCGTGGCGAGTTGGTCGCGCCTGGTCCCGCTGCTGGGGGGCCTGTTGGTGGTCCAGGCACGGGCAGGAGCACCGTGGCAAAGCCGCCCTCGCGCACCTGCAGCACGTGAGGTCCGCCGTGAGGACAAGGCAACCGAGAGAGGTAAAGGCATGCGGCCTAGGCAACGCACAGTACAATGTCCCCACATTGTCACAGCTTGCCTTGCATATTCCCTTGTACTCGCAACAACCCTGGCTGACCCTTACCTCATCCGCGCCTCCCGCCGCCAGCGCCCGTGCCGTGGTTGCGTCGAAGCCGCTGAAATCCAGCCCCAGTTCGCCCCGCCGCAGCCGCAGCTGGATGGGCTCGAAGCGCTCGTTCATGCGGATGTCCGCCGCGGCGTAGCTGTGGCGCCCCTGGATGTTGTTGGAGGTCATGGGGTCCACCCCCTCCATGAAGCACAGCACCTCGGCACCCAGGGCTTCCAGGGAGTCCAGGGAGGTGTCATACAGGGGGCTACCGGGGCTGCAGGGGAGGGAGGAGGAGGAGGGGGCAGGGCAGGAGATCAGGTGCATGGTCGGTGGGAAGTTCTGTAGGACTCTCCCCCGCATCGCTGTGCTGTGCTTCAACAACAGCGTAAGCCACAGGGCCAGGCTCATACGGGTCATAACCCAACATCCAAATGTGCCCCTGTTACTGCCGCTGCTGTTGCCGTATTGTTGATAGCACCCCGCCAACACGCACGCCAACGCGCATGCCCGATGTGCCTGCCCGCTATCTAGCGCACCCTGGGCACGCACCGCTCCCGGGTCCTCAAATCTCCCAACCACTCCTTCGGTCGGTCCTACCGTATGACGTGGTTGATGTGCGCATGCAAGCCTAGCCGCAGGTTGGCAGCCTGAGAGGACAAGTCCTCAATAGCGAGCTCTTGGAACCGGTAATGCGCCACACCGCCACCGCCACTGCCGCTGCCGCCACTAGCTTTTATGGAGCCCGCTGGTCCCGTCCTGGCACCCGCGGAGCAGCCCGCGACGCTGCTGCTGCTGCAGCTGTCTGCTGGCAGCGCTAACATGAGGGATATCTGCGGGATTGCCGAGAAAGGTAGGGTGGTTTGCATCCGCAGGGAAAGGCAGGGCAGAGGCGAGAGGGTGTGGGCGCACGGCTGTTCCCTTCCAATCCTTGACGCGCAAAGTATGGCTGAGGTTTACGCTTTCCCCAATGCCCAAAGTTGTGGCTTCCTACAGTTTGGTCTACCTCTGCCCCCCCCCCTCACCTGCGGGCTGATGAGGCTGTGCTTGCGGATGTTCGCGAGGCGGAAGGACAGGCACCACAGCCCGTCCTCGGGCCGCTGGAACAGCACCGCGGAGGAGCTGAAGCGGATGGTCAGCGAGCGCTTGTTGGGGGAGGCGAACCTGGCAGCGGGGGGGGGGGGGGGCGCCGGCGGGGTGCGGACAGACGGTGAGGGCAGGCGGTGGGGGCACGTACGGTAGTAGGGAGGGAGCAGGACTCAGGCGCAACGCAGACGAAAGCACCGTCAGACTCCAGCCACATCCCAGCACACGTCCGCCTGATTGCCTCCGCTGACCTTGGGAGTCAACAGCCGATGCTGCTTGCCCCCACCTCGCCCTGCTGCCCTATTCACACTCCAAGCAACCCTAGGGCCCCCCGGATCCCCGCCCTCGCCCTGCTGCCCTAGGGCCTCCCGGACCCCGCCCTCGCCCCTGCCACCCTACCGTGCGAACACCAGCCCCATCATGCAGTAGTCTATGAGTGCCGCAGTGATGACCTGGCGAGGGCGGTAGCGGTAGCGGTAGGGGCAGCGGTGGCCAGAAGACAGAGAGCACATATTACTAGGAGGCGAGGAGGTAAGAAGGGAGGACATGAGTCATAACCACCATCACAGCAGCAACCATCCTAACCCAGCCCCACCTGCATGACGATGAGCATGTTGAGACTGGTGCAGTCGGGGTTGGGCTGCAGGTCACCCGTGTAGCCTGGGAGGAGGTAGGGAGGGAGGGAGGGAGACAGGAGAAGGGGTAAAAGAATAAAGAAACACTGACGATGCAACTAATGAGCTGACAGGAGAAGGGGGTAATATGGATGAAGATTCCACAGGAGAGGGGGGGGGACGAGCGGTGACCAGAGGACGCCAGGAAGCGACGTATGCCCTGCCCAACATGACACCCTGCCTGGCTGAAATAACATGACACGGACGTGTACAATGCAGGGGAACTCCACCCTGCCACCACCTCACCCAGCCGTCTACCGGTGCCTACCTAGTGTTGCGGCCGTCTGCACCGAGAACCACATGGCATGTGAGAAGCGCAGGCTGCCGTGCACACACGCGCCCGACTGGGTCAGGTAGAGCAAGGCGAAGATGAGGTACTGCGGGGTAAATCGAGCATGCGGGGCCGAGGTCTTAGCAAAATTGGAGGTACATTCGAGATTGGAGGTACATCGGAAAGGCCAGGCATGGCAAGAGGATGACAGGAGGGCCATAACGAGGCAGGCACGGGGCTCGGCAGGTGGGTAGGGGCATGTTGCTTGTGGCATAAGCAAGGAAAAGGAGCGAATGAACTGATACGGCAAGGCTCCCAGCCTTCTAAGACCCATCTGCGTCCCAAGGGCCAAGACCCACCTCCGTTAGGTACACGCTGAAGAAGACCAGCAGGAAGCGGTAGCGGGGCATCTGCGGGGCAGGGTACGGCAGCAACAAGCAGTACGACAGATTGGCCGCCGCGAGCCCAACAGACTTTCAAGACACTTGTGTGGTCTAGGGCCTTCCCACGCGCGCACAATAGCAACGCCGTCAAGGGCTCCGCTCCTTACAGGCTAATTTCGGTTGCTTCCCGTGGCATGGTTATGTGTACAGCATGGTTGAAACAGGGTACACCATGCTTTGGCACGACAGAAGTACGACAGGATTACAGGCGCGGGTAAACGCGGACATCCTTACATTAAGCAGCGTGTGGAAGATGTCCGTCCTGAAGGCCAGAGGCAGGGGCAAGGGCAGGGGCGAAGGAACAGCATCGGGAGGAGGGCGGATTGCAGAAGTATAAAAAATATTTGTCTTTGGGGCTTTTGGGATATGGGTCAACGGAGAGCTTGAAAGATAGGTAATTGCAGCGACAATGGCAAGGTAAGTGGCATAGCAAGTTTCCGCCGGATCCAGGAAGGGTTAGGTGGGGTGCGGGGTCGGTGTGGGCTTCCGACGACAAGCAGGGACTCCAGGTATACTCCGATGCAACGTACCAGTACAGATACCAGCCCCCAGCTGGAAGGCCGAAGCGGACAATCCCCTTTGATGCCTGCCTGTACATGGAGAAGGCAGTTGCTCGGCAACTCCGATGCGGTCGTATTTAAGCATCGCCGTCCGCGTTGGGTATGCTGCGTGCTTCCTACCGTTTATCCAATAGTCGGAACTTTTGTCCGTTATCATCGCGCGTGCTCCGTCGGCTGTTCGCTGCGGATATGCTGTCGCTCATTTGCGACACAGGCAGTGGAAGATGCATACCATTATCGCAGATCTCTGCGTCTTCCTGGCGACGCCAGCCTCTCTTGAAGATGGAGTATGGAAAAGAGGCCATGTTGCAACAACGGTTGGCACCTTCTGTCTTATTCACAGTCCATCCGTGCAAGTAAGATAACAGAAAACAGTATCGTTATGCACAGCTTAATGTTACCGGTATTGGGCGAACGCGTCCATAGAGTTTGCCTTCAATACGGCAACTGCCGAACTCCCTCATGTCCATTGCAGCCTTCCGTCTCGCACCGTTCTATTGAGACGGTTCTCGGCTAAGGTCTCTTAAGTACTATATATCAAAAAGACAGGGCAAGCGGTATAGTCCGCTAAGGACACGTCGTGATCGTGCGGTCCATTTCGGGTGCTGCCAGGGCTCAGGAAGCTATTTCTGTGTGCAGATGATTAGGTTTTTGCTTTAGCATACACGCGTTGACCTGTGCACTAGCAAGGAGTTTTCCCAGGTGCTACAATGCAGACCTTTGGCCCAAGGCCCGGCGCTCCACCAGGTAAGAGACTAGCCATCCGTATGTACGCGAAGTACCTAGAGCGGCTTTAGGCGGTTTGACCTTAAACCAGGTTTCCTCTTTTGCAAGATCAAACGCAACGTAGGTCTTTTCCTTCCAACGGCGCGGCCTGGAATATAACTTGAATGCACCCTTCGCTCAAACTAGTTTAACGTCTATGATGTACGTTTTTTCCAGATAAACTGTCACTATGCGCCTAGCTAGGGGCGCTTAGTTTGCCATCCGCAAGTGGACGGCTTCCCCCAACACGCCGTGCCCCCCTTGCCGTAAAATTACACTTTCAGGGGTAATGCCACCACCACCTGGCGGCATTGGTGCTCCTGTTGGGTTTCCAGGGCCACCTGGCGTGCCACCTCCTGGCCCCGGTGGCTACCCGCCTGCAATGGCCCCTCCTCCTGGAATGCCTCCTCCGCCGGGAGGCGTTCCAGCGGCCCCACTTAGCGCCTCGTTTGGCGCCATGAACCTCGGCCCACCTGGGATGCCGCTACCGCCTGGGGTAAGCCTGCAGACCGGGCCCTATCTGCCGTGATGGGGAGCGATGGTGTGGCGGGCAACCCAATGTCTTAAACGTTAATGAGATCTGCTTTGCATCATGCACCATGTAGACTAGACCATTATGTTCTGGTGTCGTAGAGCGCATGGCCTGCACGTCATATCCTCATGGACCTGTTGCCTAGGTGTGGATCTGTGTGGCGCTTTTGCACGCATTTTACCTCTCTCTTCCCTTGCTTCTGCTTCTACCTCTTTTCGGCTGCTACAGGGCGCTCCCGTCCCCGGCGGTTTGCCTGTCAAGCCTCTAGGAGGAGCTCCCGCAGCACCCTCCTTTCCGCCTGGCCCGCCTGGTCCTGGGGGCATGCCACCCATGCCCGCCGGTCTGTCTACTCGGGGTATGCCGCCCCCTCCGCCCGGTGGGTTCCCGCCTGGTCCCCCAGGGCCTGGGTCCATGCCGCCTGGGCCGCCTGGCATGCCGCCCCCTAGCGACGGACTGCAACAGCGGCCGTCTGCAGGTTTTCCCCCTGGTCCCCCAGGGCCGCCCGGCGCTGGGCCGCTAGGGCCGGGATCTGTGCCCCTGAGCTTGCCCAACGTGCCTCCTCCGTCCATGCACTCGGGTGGGCTAATGGGAGTGCCGCCTGTACAAGCAGCCAATGGACTGCACCCTGCGCCGCCAAGCGGCGCGGCGCCGCCCGGAATGTACGGCGCCCCGCCGCCACCGCCTATGCCGGGAATGCCCGGCGGCATGCCGCCGCCAGGCATGCCAGGCGCGCCGGGGGGTCCGCCACCGCCTCCTGGCGCCTTCATGCCGCCGCCACCTGGCATGCCGATGGGCCCGCCGCCGCCCACAACCATGGCCCCGCCGCAGCATGCCCCGCCGCAGCGCCCAGCGGTGCCACAAACGCCCCAGGCTTCAGGTGGAGGTCCCAGCCGCATCGACCCCACCCAGATTCCTCGTCCGGTGGCTCAACCCTCTTCCACGGAGCTCCTTGTGTTTGACACACGCATGGCGGGCGCCCATGCGGTGCCGCCGCCGGCCTCCTCGCGGTTCATCGTGCGCGACCGTGGCAGCTGCTCTCCGCGCTACGTTCGCGCCACGCTTAACCACGTGCCGCACTCGCCCGAGCTGCTGAGCAATTGCGCCATGCCGCTGGCACTCGTGGTGTCGCCGCTGGCGCTTCCTGACCCCGGGGATGACCCCATTCAGGTGGGTCGCGGGGGATGAAGAGGGCTGACTTCAAGGGGTCGAACGGAACAGGGATTGCTTAGGGGAGTGCCTATGAAGGTTAAGTTCCGGTGTATGGGTACAAAGAAGCCGTTTCAATTGTAACGGTTCAAACCATACCTCGGAGTTTCAGCCTCCTAAGCGCTTCTAGGCAGGCAAATTAGGTGGGCACTCGGAAGGCCTATCGAGGGGCTTGCCTAGGCGGTATGGTTTGGGACCGTTCTCTTCGCCTCCCGTTGTCCTAATTAGGCCTTAGAAATACAAGTATAACCTTGGGATCCATCTAGAGTGCCTCACTCACGTTGTCCCCTCCGGCCCCATCCCCTGCCCCAGATGGTCGACGTTACGGAGGCGGGTCCCATTCGGTGCGGCCGCTGCAAGGCCTACATGAACCCCTGGGTGCGTTGGACGGGCTCGGGCCGCTCCTACACTTGCAACTTCTGCGGCCTCTCCAACACCACGCCCGACTACTACTTCTGCCACCTGGGTCCGGACGGCCGCCGGCGGGACGCAGGTGTGTAGACTTACACAAGCCCCTCATGACACTGATATGGATGTTCAACTTACCCGCTGAAGTGGCTTGCTGGACCCTATCCAGACCCTCATTCCGCCTCCTTTCCGCTTTTGGCTGCTTCATCTGTGATGTGCCTTTCCTCTGATTCCAGCCCCCTGCCCCACTTCTCGCTGTCCCAGACGAGCGCCCCGAGCTGTGCCGTGGCACGGTGGAGTACCTGGCCAGCAAGGAGTACGCGTTCCGCCCGCCCATGGCGCCAGCGCACGTCTTCCTCATAGACGTCAGCGCCGCCGCCATCAGCTCTGGAGCCACAGCCTCCCTGTGTCGTGCAGTGGCCACGGCGCTGGACCGCATCCAGGGTGGGTGGGCGGGTAGGGAAGCAGCTGGCGTCCGGGCTAGTTGGAGGGCGTTGCTTGAAGGCTGCATTGGTTTGAATGCTCGTCCCGGCTGGCTGGTTGGGTAGCCGCAGGAGTTTGTCGTACCTGTGATGAACATCCTCCGGTGGTGGCAAACTGCTAGCATTGTGTTGCGGTGTACCAACCCCACCTTGTGGCCCGCTTTCCCCTTCAGGCGGTTCCCGTGCGCTGGTGGGCATTGCCACCTTCGACACCTCGGTGCACTTCTACTCGCTGCGGTCGCCCAGCTCCACGCCGCAGATGCTGGTGATGTCGGACGTGTCGGACGTGTTCGCGCCCGCCAGCGGCAAGCTGCTGATGGAGGTGGAGGCGCATGCGGCGCAGCTGAAGGAGCTGCTGGAGGGGCTGCCGGGCATGTGGGCCAACAACCGGGTCAACGATAACTGCGCAGGTGCCGCCATTGAGGTAAGAGCGTGAGACATGGAGAGGGAAGGCGGGTGGTGATCGACCCAGGATCAACCAGCAAGGAGCGGTGTGCATGGCGGGACGTGGTGGAGGAATGACAAAGCAGTTCTTACCTGACCGTGTTTCTGTGTGACGTTCCCTGACCCACGTTGATCAGGCTGCTATCGACCTGCTGAAGCCGTACGGCGGGAAGGTGCATGCCTTCGTGGCTTCGCTGCCCTCCGTGGGTGTGCACGCGCTGAAGCAGCGGGATGCGGCGAACATCGGCGAGAAGGACAAGCTGACCTACCTGACAAGCCAGGTAGGAGGGTGGGAATAGTGGTGGGGCTCTGCATCGAAACAGTTTGCGAATCGGCTTGTACGAAAGCCTTGCCCCTTATGATCCTAAAAGGTAACATGCCCTCGCTTGCTGGCGACGCCCCTCTGGCAGTGTCGTTTTTGGATTCCCACCAGTTACTTCAGCGAGGTTTCCAACCCTGTCACCTTGCCACTCCTCCCACCGCCTCCCAGGACAACACCCTGCGCTCGCTGGCCGCCACCGCCGCCGACCACAACGTGGCTGTCGACCTGGTGGTGCTCAGCCAAGCCTACTGCGACATCGCCTCGCTGGCAGACCTCGCAACCACCACCGGAGGAACCGTCTACTCGTACGCGCCGTACAACGCGCTCGCGGACTTTGACCAGCTGGTCAACGACCTGTCGTGGAACGTGGCGCGGCAGCAGGGGCTGGAGGCGGTGATGCGTGTGCGGTGCTCCAACGGCCTGGATGTGGAGTCGTACTCGGGGCATTGCTACAGGTAATTCGTGGATGCATGGAGGGGTGTTCCGATTCTTGTTATGCGGAAGCTCTTCACCGACATCATTGCATAGGGGTATCCGCCGCTGTTCGTCAGATAACGCTTTGCCGAAAGCCCCCTGCTTCATCTTTCCCGGTCCACCTCACTTGTCCGCACCCCTTCACTTTGCGTCCTGCAGGCCTCCCAACACGCCGGACGTCTTTCTGCCCGCCATCGACTGCGACAAGGCGCTGCTGGCCAAGCTGGTTCTCACCGAGAAGCTAGCAGCCGGCTCCGAGTGCTACGTGCAGGTGAGGGGCAGGGGCAGGGGAGGCGCACCTGCATGTGCAGGTAGATCCACATATAGGGGCTATAGCGGCTAGTGGTAGACTTTCGTACTCTTATGTACAGTGAGCAATTGCTCGCATACGCTTTACGGTGCCTTCCTGCATACGCCCAGTCACATGCCCCTCGCCAGCATTTCCATGTCTTCATCTGTGTGTCGTTCTGTACTCACGACTTCTGGTTACGTCTGCTGCAGGCTGCGTTGCTGTACACCAACGTTGCGGGTCAGCGCGTCATCCGGGTGCACACACTGGCCTTGCCCGTTACCGACAACATATCCACCGTATTCAAGGGGGCGGATCTGGACGCGCAGGTACGCGCCGCTAGCTACCTAGCTAGTAACGGTGTTGCTTAGGAAGGGGTCGCAGGAAAAAGGCAGGAAAAGCGTGTACCTGTAGGACGACCCAAGGCAATGACCGTGCACTGCTCTCTCTCTCCCTGTGTTCACTACCAGTCGCAATCCGTCCTTGCCCCAAGCGCACCCCTCCACCTTCCCCTTTCCATGGCCCTCCTCACCCAGATCTGCACGCTGGGTCGCCGTGTGGCCTCGGCGCTGCTGGGCCAGCAGACCCTGGGCGCCTGCCGCGAGATGGTCAGCTCCACCGTGGTGGCCACTCTGTACGGCTACCGCCGCTACTGCGCCGCCTCCTCCTCCGCAGTGCAGCTCATCTTGCCGGAGGCGCTCAAGCTGCTCCCGCTGTATGCGCTGTCGCTGCTTAAGAGCGCGGGGCTCAAGGTAAAGTCGGGGGGGCGCGGGCGATGAAATGGCGGTTGGTGGGTTGAGGCATGGGCGGTGAAGGTCCGCAATTACCGATAGCATGGAAGGGTGCTGACTGCTGAGATTGTGCGCCTTCTCGATGCCCACTCGCAGGACAACGTGAAGCCCGACGACCGCGCTCTGTGGATCACGCGCATGGGCTGCCTGCCATGCAGCCGCGTGGGGCCGCTGCTGTACCCCCGCCTGCTGCCACTGGCTCGCCTGCTGTCGGAGGCGCGCGAGGACAACGCAACGGCGGCGGATGGCAACACCTTCGAGGGACAAACGCTCAGTAGCGAGAGTCTGGAGGCCGGCGGCGTGTCGCTGCTAGAGAACGGGTGCGTCGTGGAAGGGATTTGCCGAGCATAGAGCAGGGAACGCCAGGTTGCATGGCGTTCATGTCTTATCAGTTATCACTTGCCGTTGCTTGCCTGACGTTATAACGGTGGGTTGCTCAGTACCATATCCCTTGCACTTTGGTACCGGTAATGAATCTATTGTCGTGCTCTGTTTGCCCATTTGCAGCTACGAGGCCATTCTCTACATCGACCGTGGTGCTTCTGGCCAGTTGCTGTACGACTTGCTTGGAGTGGCGTCGCATGACGACCTCAGCCGCGTGCCCAACGTAAGTGGCTCCAGTTGTCGCATGGTTGCCTCATGGTTGCCCCACGCTCTTCAGGCCACCGCTTTATCCGCCACTTCGTCCTCTCTGCTCTTCCTCTTACCACCCTTCTCGACTTTCCTCTCCTTCTTCCGCCTCCCTTGCCCTGCTTGCAGCTTGCGCTGCTTCCACGCGACAGCTGGCCCAGCCGGCTGCTGCAGGACTTGCTCACCAAGATCCGGCTGCAGCGCTCTTCCTTCATGCGGCTGCGTGTGGCGCGCAAGGGTGACCCCGCAGAGAGCGCTTTCTTCAACATGCTGGTGGAAGACCGCTCCACGGCGGGCATGAGCTACGTGGAATACCTGTGCCAGATACATCGCCTCATTCAGAACAAGATGGCTTGAGGGGGTGGTGAAGGGAGGCAGGGTGTGGGTGTTGCAGGATGGGATGAAGCGGTCGGGGAGGCGGCGAAGTGGGAAGGCAAGGTTTCGCATCTGGTCGAAGGAGGATTGTGGGTTTGGGGATATCGGATTATAGGAGTGGTTGGCAGGTCTGGGAAATGGAAGATGGACATTGGAGTACGCGGTGTTGGTGTCAGGCCTCACCTGGGGTTGGATATGGGTTTGCTGGACCTGCTGCACTGGAAAAGCTTGGCTTTAGTCTCGAGGATGTTAAAACGGAAGGGCACGGGCAAGAGTTGGGAAGGGATTGAGGGGCAGAGGAGAAACGTTCTAGGAGGGACACGTCCTAAGGGAAGACTATCGGTATCTTGCCACGCGATCCACGCTGTCGGTGTCTATCCACACTCTGAAGTGTAAGGGACACGGGGAGAATTGGGTTAGACCGTGGTATGTTGTTATGACGTGTGACAGGTACCGGCAGGCCTCAGAAAGTGTTTGGTGACGACCTCACATTGGTGATGGTTAAACAGCGTAAGAAGCTGTCAAACTGGGGATCTCCCTTCTGTGGTGAGCATCACAGAATCCGACTGGACGTTGATGCTGGGAGCGCTGAAGCATCCGTCTGGGCAAGCAGTACCTTCAGGATTTGGGTGGCTGCGTTGCCGTCACGCAGACCTGGAGTGCTGCTCTTTTGGGGCAAGGGCCACTAGGGTTGTACCCGCATGTAATATTTTAGCCTGGAATCGGCCTGGAAACGGGCTAGCGGAGCTGTCCTGGGACATGCAAATCAGGGGGCAAGGTCCTTGGCCCAACGATATTGGGGTTCAGCAAGGCGGGACATGCATTGGCCCTTCTGCGGGCCACAGTGAACTATGCCGGGATCGCACAATGCGAACCTACTACGCGGGGTGGCCATACCTTCTTATGGGGAGGACCACTTTACCCGGTGACACCTTAGGCTTGCACTAGCCGACGTGGGAAAGGTTGTCTAGGAAACGGGCAGTTTGGCTGTGACATCTTGGGCGGGATAATGGGACCCAGTCTTCCTTGGAAGTCATGACTTATACTCTGTATCTTGTTCATCCTATTCCCTTATCCTAGCTTAAAGGTTTCTGATGCCGTTATGCGCGAAGTTGCGGTTAGGTGCCGTGCACCAAGATTTGGATCCAGGTCAAGGCCGGTTCACAGGAAAGGAAAAAGGCTACGTTGCTTCAGGCTCAATATTCTGTATGTTTGAAATTACTTCCAAGCTGCTTTGTTAGTTTTTTTTATGACAGTCCTCCCTCGTCATGTCTCCACATGCAGCCACCAGCGAATCCTATCCAAGCTTGTGCCAAATGAGAACGGGTCGGGAACAGTGCTAATGGACTCATATATAATTACAACTGTCAATACTCATGCTCTTTAGCCAGGGCTGCGCGGCTGTCCCTGGGCTCCGTGGCGTTCGTCACGTTGAGTAACGAAAGATGGATTATGCCGCCGCTACTTGTACCAACGAAAAGTTGGGCACTCCGGGATTTTTGTTGCGACCACCGTCAGGACCTGGGCTGCCGGCTTCGACTCGGCATCCATCGGACGTCGCCAAGCAAGCCGCAACCACAACGTGGAATCCTGCCATCAAGTGCCGGGCACAGCTAGAATACAACTCAGCTGCTGCACCAACAAGCAGCTTTGGTCCGCCCATGGAACGGCTTGGCGTCACCTCAGAATGTACGCCATCGGTGCACCCACGCTCAGGAAAGCAACGAGCCGGTCAACCATCAGCCCAACCTGCTGAACCGTTTCGGATGCGTGATCAGGAGCAGAGATGGGACTCTCGGGCCGGTGGCCAGGCTGGGCCTCCTAGTACATTCATCCCTAGCAGGGCTAGCAGCTCAAGTGCAGGCGATGCATTATCGGGGGGAGCTAGTGGGCCCATCTTTGCAGGTGGCCGACACGATTCATTTCATTCTATGAATAAACCGGGCCGAATGCCCGACTACTTAAAGGTACTGCCCTAGTGAGATCCAGCTTACGGCTACCTTGCATAGCTGGCCGCTGTACCTCAGCCTCTTCAATGTGCCTCACACGGTGCAGGTGTACACTGTCCCAAGGGACATTCAGTGTGAGGTAAGCATATTTAGCGTGTCGACGCGGGTTTAATAGTGTATGACATGTCTGAATTACGCACTACCATATACTATATTGCCACTCACAGGAGGGCATTATTATCGAGCCTATCATCCAGAGCCTCGGCATTGGTGATAAGCAGATGGAGCAGCGCATCACGGACCAGATGACCAATCTGTATGACTTCTTCAAACAGTTGTACGATCAGGATCAGGAAGAAATCAGAACTCTGCAAGCCCAAGTGGCGCAGCGAGACATGGAACTGAGGCAGATGCGCAGGGTGAACCTGACGCCAACGAAGGAGGGACAGCAGCAGCCGGCCGTCACTAGCCTAATGTCGCCTGCGAGATGCAGGCAGCGGCTGGAGAGCTCTCCATGCAAAGCCTCGGGAGCGAAGGCAGCTATCCTGCCGTCTCATGGCGGCAAGCAGCCGGTGACGCTGTTGCTGCCGCCGCTCCTAAACCCGGCTCGGCCGTTCTACAAGTAGGTGAGGGACGGAGGGCGCATCCTATACTGCCCCACCATGCAACCTCCGCACAAGGCATTTTTAGTCGCCTCGATTCATCAAACAGTCATGCAAAGGCGGTACTGTGATCCCGCTTATGGTTAAGTGTCCAGCTGCGGCGCCTGCAGATGGTGGGCCAACGTCCACAGCCTCTACCATCGCCACATCACGCTATGGCTGGGCATCCTCTTTGCGCTGGTTTTTATTATCGCCATTGTTCTGCTGGCGGCGCTGCTACTTGGCAGGTCCCACCAGAACATCACTACTGCCTACTCGCCGTACATGCCGCCAGGGCCCTCCATCACGGCCACGTGGCCCATGGGTCTGTCATTCAAAGCCAACATGTCCTCTGGAGCGTCTACGTATTTCGCGCTGGTGCCAGCTGTGTCCTTGCTTGCTGCCAATCAGACGCACACAGCGGCAGACGTGCGGGCGCTTTTCCAAGGTCCTACTGTGTCGCCTTTGGACGGCATGGCAGTTGCATGCGGAGAGCGCACAGCGGTGCAGGCGCAGTCGTTCACCTTTGTCTTGGCAGCGGCAAGCACGCCGCAGGTGGCAGCAGCGGGAGCGGCAGCGGCAGCTTGTGAGGTGGCTGGGGCACTGCCGGGCAGGTGCAGCCTGTGTCCCGACGTGCAGCCTGGCACACCATATGTGTTGTTGGTCGCTTTCGACAGCACCGAGGACCTGTTTAAGCTACCGGTGAGCTGTTTTATTGAGCTTCTAGATGGCAAGCTTAGGGGCATGGCATGATTGAGTTTCTAGGCATACCATAAGCTGAGCGGTTGCAATGCCCAGTTTAGCCCTGAGCTGTTGATATGTCCACCCCATCGTAATCTTTAGGTGACTACACCACCCCAGCCGGCCACCAACAACACGACGAGCGCCAGCTCGCCATCACCGTCGCCGTTGCCTTCACCCACGCCTTCACCCTCGCCCTCACCGACACCCACGGCTTCGCCATCACCCACGCCGCCGCCGTCGCCATCACCCGCGCCATCGCCGTCGCCTGCACCCACAGTAACGCCATCAGCGATCATGCGTGCGCCGAATTTCACGGCTGCCCCCACGGCCATTGCCGCCGGCCAGGCCTCCCTAAACGTCACACTGTCGCTGTCCAGCCCGGGTCTGGTTCGCTACATGGTAATGTACTCGGTGCTTTACGGACAAGCTGGTGACGTGTATGTGTCGTACGACAACGCCGACCCCGTCCCTGGGCAGCCCTTGGTAATGGCGCAGGCGCCATCTGCGGCAGTGTTGGGAGTTGGCGGAGTTGTTGCCGCTGGTGTGGTGAACGTCACGCAGCCGAACCTGCTTTACACGGTGCTCATAGATGGCAACGCACCCGCTAACGGCAGCAGTAGCGGCGGATCGAACACGACAGGAGCAGCAGCATCCTGCTATTGTGGGGCTACTGCGTGCACGTGTACGGCACCGGCCCCATGTCAAGGTGCGGTATGCAACGTGGGGCCTTCGGCTCTGGCGCCCAGCACCGCGTACAAGGTAGGCAGTCGTGTGACGCTGATTGCCTTTCCCACCGAGCAACGCTGTGCCGAGTTGATGTCATGCTGGCTTGGAAGTTTGAGGCTGGCCCAAATCGTACCTGCATCCTGGAGCCCCAACATGGTCGTCCTCCCCTGCTGTCCCTGACCCGCCAGGTGTTTGTCTCCGCCAGCACACCCGATGGCGTCAGCGACACCAACGGGCCTGTCTCCGCCGGCACGGTGACCACCCCTCCGGACGCTACCGGTCCCTCCCTGGCGCCCAGCGCAGCCGTGGCGAACGGCAGCATCATGGCCAGCGGCTTCACCTTAACAGGGCTGCAGCTCGACACGTCCGGCTTGGCATACGTAATGGTCACCAGCCCCCTCCTAAACTCGCTGGTGAGGGCGGGTGCATGCGAACGCTGCGCTGGCATGCAGCGGGCCAGCTGCTAAGTGGGCGGATGGCATATGTTGGGCAAGGGAGGACGCCTGTCCTTGACATGAAGCATTGTGACCGAAGTTTTTCCCAAACCTGCTATGCCTCTGCAGGCGGTTCCAGCGGGCACCTCAACCGCGTTCAAGGAGGCACTCCTCTCGCGACGGCGGCTCCAAGCTGGGCAGCAGCCGCGGCACCAATCGCGCCGCCAGCTGCAGCAACTTGCTGTGGGGACGGCTTCCAACGGCAGCCTGGTTGCGCTGGTCCCTGCGCCCAAGGCACAGGTGTTCACACCGACATGTCCTCGAGAGGTCACCTGCAACACGGTCGAGGTGCGAATGCAACTACAACTTTACGCGTGTTCCCTCAGCTTTATTCAGCAGCTTCCAGCAGCCAATGCCACGGCCTGTTTCCACCGCCGCCGCACCGTATCATGCGCCCCGTGTTGACTTTGTTACAGGTCATGGCGGCGTACCTGGATGTAGCTCAGGAAGCCCTGGCGGTGCCTGTACGCTGCGTCGTGCTCGCCAGCGCCAAGGACGTACCGAGCACCCAGGCGGTGGCTGGTCTAGCCAACGACACGACCTACCGGGTGCGGGTCATCACGGAGGACACCGCCAGGTACGACGCACAGGAGCGATGTTTGTGGAGGCTTGCGTAAGGGTTGTCAAGGATCTTGCTCTCATGGGGCAAAAGGACGTCAACCATAGACCGTAGCAAGCACGGCTCCACCAATTGCATGCCCTCGGCGTCCGACCGAGGACAGCTGCCTTCTGCCCGCAACCTTGTTACCTCTATTTTTTAACTCATTGCCGGCCTATGCTGCGTTGCCATGGTTCCCCCAGGAATCAGCGGCTGTACGCCGGCACTCTGCGCACGGCCGACCTCCGCCCGCCTGTCATCACCACGGTGACCGTGCACCCGGTCTTCACCTCCTTCAACCTCACAGTTACACTGTCCGAGCCCGGAGTCGTTGCGGGTTTCCTGTACACGCCAGCGGGTGCAGCCAACGTCTCCTTGACAGCGGCGTCCGTCTGGCCGCCCAGCCCGCAGGTGTGTCTCGCTGCCCGTGTCCGTGCCTGGTTTAAGCTCGGTGACCATGCCTCACACCGCGTTGAAGCATTCCGGCAGCGTGGCATCGCAACTACGTGCAATTCTATCATTTTGTAATAATAACATGGTTGGTTGGCCACCTCCGTGCGTGCAGGGCCCCATCATCCAACAGGTCTTCACCGCCACGACGATCGCCGCTGGCAACTCAACGACGTCCTCCGGAGCCGCGACCTACACCCTGTCGTTCAACGACCCCTCCATCGTCCCAAGGAGTAATTACACAGTAGCGCTTATTGCGCGCGACGTGCCCGGCAATGTGCAGCCCGCTGTTACGATGGTCCCCGTACGCACTGAGGACAACATACCGCCCCAGTGGCTAGCGGCGGCCGTGGCTCCAGGGGCGTACGACGCCAACATGACGGCGTTGCTGGACGAGCCGGCGACCGTGTTTTGGTTCTGCATGTCGGGAAACGTGTCATGTCCGTCAGCAGCGACGGTAGGTTATTGACGGGCCGTGAGCCAAGGAAGGGCGCAGCTGGGATCCGCTGTGCTTTTGCGTTAGCGTCAGCGTTAAGCCAACTGCCTCCGAATGCCAGTTCAATCAATGGCTCCACACATGCTTTCATGTTTTCGTCATGTGTCACCCGAAAACACCTTCACCCATGTGGACCCCACCCTTCCTCACCCTTCCTTTGCAGCTCTTTCAAGCCGTTGATAACGCCACCGCCTCGGCTCCCTCCGGGCTTGTCGCACACGGTTCCGTCACGACGAGCAGCAGCACTGCCGTTGAAGCGGCCGTGACGGGCCTCCGTGACGGCCTGCTGTACACGCTATGCCTCATCGCCCAGGACGCGTCCCCGCTTGTTAACCGCCAGACGGTTGCGAGGCGTCTGGGGTTCAGCACGCCGGATCACACGCCACCCACGCTGGGTGTTGCAGTGCTAACCGGCTCGGACGGCAACTTCACATGCAGCAGGTATGGGCGTACGGCCGTAGCGCAGCTATCCTCTCGCTGCCCATATGTTGACATGCCTTATTGCAGCGAAGTGTAGGCAGTATGCACATCATGCTTGCAGGCTCGTGCAGTTGCTTTACTCCCGGGACCTTCTGCTCCGCACAGGTCAATCTATTTGTGTCGTCTGGCGCTCAACGTTTCCCTATCAGAGGCCGGCTCTGCCATCCTAGCTCTGCAGTACGCTACCCCACCCACCATAAACTTCACGGCTACCAACCTCAGTACAGTAAACCTCACTGCACCGCCTGCGGGCGTCCTGCGCACCTCGGCGCTCCGCTTCAACACCTCCGGTTGGCAGCAGCTCCAGCTCGACACGCTCGCCTCAGGCCGTGGCTACAGCCTGGTTGCTGCGGCGATCGACGTTGCAGGGAATCTGCAACCAAGTTTGTCGTCGCTCGCTGTGGCCGCACCAGACGTAACGCCACCTGTCTTCACCAACTACTCTGCCGAGAGTACAGCGGATACGGTTATAACCGTCAACGCCAGCCTGAACGAACCGTGCACCGTCATGTGGATGGCGCTGTCTGCTGGGTCGCCAGCGCCTAACGTTTCCCAGGTCGTCGCCGCAGCAACCGGCAGTGTACTGCTGCTTTCCGGGTCGATGCCGTACATTTCCAACACCAGTGCTGTACGTACATGGAACATCAGCGGCGGTTTGGCGGCAGGGCACGTGTACGACATTTACATGGTGGCCCGTGACAGCAGTGGGAACCAGCAGGCGTCTGTCACGGCCATCCAACAGGTCCGGTGCTGGGACTCCACACCGCCGGTTATCCTAAGCCTAACCGTAACTGTCCCTGCAGCGGGCAACCGTCTCACCATAACGGCGAACTCGACCAAGCCCGGCGCGCTTCGCTACTTGGCAGTCAGCGCCGGTGCGCCGGTGCCCACCCGCCAGCAGCTGCTGCAGGCGTCTTCCTACCCAGCGGCGTACGCCAACTTCAGCGGCCAGCTCGCGATCCCTGCAGCGCTTGTGGCTGCTTCCGCGTCCCTGTGCGTTGCAAACGGTGCATCCTACCAAATCTGGGCCGTACAAGAGGACTTGGAGGGGCAGTACCCTAACCGGCAGCCCAACTACAGCAATGTAACCCGGTAGGTGTAGTTGCTATCCGACACCGGTACTGTCGCATCCGATAGTGTCTTGCACCTTACAGCACAGCGTCTGTTTTGCGGGCTAGCGTGCCTAGGCTGCGCCTTTGCCTTCCAGGCTGCGCCTTTGCCTTTTTGCTGACGGTGGAAAACCCTTACCCTGTTGCGAAACCTACCCCAGGGCTGCTCAGGTACTCCAGACCAGCAGCACCAACGGCAGTTGTTCACCCGAAGCGCGCATGCGCGCAATGCTGGTGGACACGAGCCTCACATCCGGGAGCCTCGGGTGGCCCATGGGTCGCTTGACCATGGAAGCCCCTACGTCAAGCAACTCCAGTGCATCATGGGTGCGCGACTATTTGATGGTTGGTGGCGCTGGAGGAGGGGTGGGCAGCAGCGGCACGGTGGTGGCGTCTATTGAAGGGCTGCAACAGGGTTCGTTGAGTTTCCAACCATCAAGGTACGGCTTCCCTAGCTGCTTTCCCCATAGCTCTAAAAACCTGGCTATCCTCCATCCTTGCTCAGCACCTGAGACTCGGTAGTCGAATATCGAGCCGCGGCACCCTGACGCTTTCGCTTCATGCCCATTTCCACTTGGCTCCCCCTTCCACTACAGGCCATCACCGACGCAGATACGCGCCGTCTTGCAGACATCATCCCTCGTCCTTGAAACTGCCGCAGTGGCCGGCATCCCGCCTGCTGACCCAGGCGCCACGCTGCGCTTCGCCTACCAGCTCCTGGACAGCTCCATGCGCACTGCCGTCAACACAGACGGGATGCGCATTGTGCCCAGCTTGGTGACGCCCGCCAACGGAAAGCTGGTCCTGGCAGGGTGCAGCCTCGGCTCTGCGTCTTCCTCTGCTGTTGCCAGCTCCACCAGCATCTCGCTACCGAGCAGCATGGGCGTGTGCAGTGTGCAGGTGCCGACGCAGGCGTTTCCTGCCGCTGGGGCATCGGCATCTGCCTCCCTGCAGGTGGACCTTTACAACGGGTGAGCTAGGTGCCGGTCCATGTGGGGTGAAGCTCCGGGCCGGAATGCAATGCGTGTACCAGTATTCGAGGTCCGAAGGTTGTGCATCCGGCCGACATTGCGCTCCCTCCTTTGCTGCTTGTACCACTACCGCAACCATGCTCTTTCGCCTCGCCATGCTTGCAGGACTCTGCTGCTGGCAAGCTCCGCAGCGGGCTCGTTGACTTTGCGCACTATCGCAGCTGCGTCGCCCACGGTACCCAGTAACGGCACGGTGTTGCTGCTGGCGCTGCCTTCCCGGGCGCTGCATGCCGGGGAGACCTTCCGGGTCACGCTCTCAGCCTCCGTGGGGACCCAGCAGGTGTGGTGTTAAGGCTTTCGTCCGCCAGCCATCAACATGCTTACATGCGCATCCCAATGCCCACACGACCGTGTCGACTCGTCGTGCGCCGGTTTAACAGCTCATAAACCGCAAGGCATTTCATTAACGGTACCCTCGTCGTCTTACCCTCACCCCAGGCCATGACAGGCTTCTCCATCCAGCTGTTGTACAACGCATCGCGGATGACGTTTGTACGGGCAGAGCAGTCGGGGCTCTGGTCGGATTTGGTTGCCGCACCACTAGCTACCGCTGCCGCCGGAATGACTGACATGCAGCTGCTGCTGACAGCACTCTCGAGGACGGCGACTTTTGCTACGTAAGTGAACGCCGCTGTTGTCATTGTCGTCATTGGGGTTCCTTAATCGAGACGGAGTGCAGAAACAGATTTACCCTGCATGCAAGATGCTCAACTTGGATCTCATCCAATCCGTCTCCGTTTGCAGGTACCAAGGCCGTGTTGTCCCTCTGCTGGATGCTTACTTCCAACTGTCATCTAACATCTCGGCCATTGCAGCACAGAATGGCACTGCGCTCTCCGTACTTGGCGTCAGTAGTACGTCCGTCCTGTATCCATACAGCTCCTCGCCCACGGTGCTGTTCCAGGACTATCGGACGGCAAGCAGCGGAGGCGCAATTGCGGGTGGCAATGCCAACATCTTGCTGGCGGCGCCCCGACAGCTGGCGTTGTTCGCCTACCTGACCAACTACGACCTTTTCAATACCGCGGTTCTTAACGGCAATGACGTCGTGACGCCCATACAGGTATGACACTTGCAGTTCGTTCACGAGCGCTTAGCTTGGCAGGCATGTTGGTCCCCTCCGCATGGGTTGCCGCCCGCCTCTCACCTGCGTCCAACGACGGTGTCCTTCAGGTTTCGCTTGTATCCGACTGGGCAGCCAGCGACTCCAGCCTTATTACCGCCACCGATGCAAGCAGCTGTACATGCAGTGTGGCAGCTGCAGTCGCCGGAGTGCTAGCAGTTCGCAGCTGTCGGGTTGTGCTTACTGCAACCCACTCGCAGCCAGCCAAGCTGGCGAACGTTACCGTGGCCTGTAGCGGAAGCGGAGGCATAACATTCCAAGCCCAGGTAGGTGTTTTGTTTAGGGTTTGCCACCACCGGACAGGGCCCGCTTGGCATGTGTGGCTCTCACGCCCCCAAGCCCGGTCCATGACTCTACACGAGCACCATGGACATTCCAGCCCTTGTTATGCACGCCACTGACCTGCATGTAATTAAAGTCCGGCCTGCCCCACACCTCATCGCTCCTGCAGACACCAGTAACCATCTGGTATCCAAGTACCTTCCGTGCCGAGACCGCTGATCCCGACGCCACGCTCAGCAGCCTGCTACCGGTGAACGTCCCCGTGCCGGCACAAGGTACCTGCTTAGACAGGTGCGTCCCGCAGGGGTGTCGCAGTACTGCCTGGATTTGTTGGGCTAGCTGCCGAAGCATGCCTTTTTACGATGCCCAACATGGCCAGTACGGTTCCGTGTGCACATGGGCTCAGTGTCAACTCGCCCGTAAATCGAGTATCCCTTCTGTCTTCTTCTGCCCTTGCGACTTAGGTACCAAAGCACTCAGATGTTTCTGCTGGCCAACTGGACGAACGGCGGGAGTAGTCCCGCGAGCGACTACCTTGGAGGTGTGGACGTGACACCACTGGTAGCCAGCTGGGCCGCTGACGCTCCGCAGGCGGTGCACATCAAGGGCGCCACAGTAACGGTAGGGCTGGGCCAGAAGAAGGCAGGAGTCCACATGCCGGCTATGGCTGGAGGACAGCACAAGTGACTGCGTCTTGCCATGGTGTACACGAACTCGCTTGCAACAGTATTGCCATCTCGCAGGGCATGGCCTCCAGCAGCGGCGTCAACGTGTCTGCGCTGAGCGCCAATGGCAGCATCCTGGCCACAACACGTCTGGTGGTATCGGACCAGGCCGTGTGTGTTGAGTCATTAGAGGCAGTGGCGGTGTCGGCCATAGCGGTGGCGGCTGAGGGGCAGCCCAGCAGCCCCGGCCGCTGGCGTGTGCGCTTCACACCGCAGCAGGTATCAGGGGCCCCTTGGTAGCTCCTTCACCCCCTAATCTCTTTCAGGCTGGGCATTGTTGAGCTGCCGTTTGGTGATTTAGTGTACTGCTGCCGACCCATGGGTCACTGTTTCTGCATAGACCTTACCCAGCAATTAACCCCATATGCAGGCCCTGAACTGGGAGCTTGCATCCGCCAAGGTCAGCGTCTTTGCCACGCTGAGCGACGGCGCGGTTATGGCAGTATCCAGCGCGTCCACCGTCACCGCCATGCAGCTAAGCGCCACCACATCTGCCGCCACTGCCAACATCACCAACGCAACCGCCACGGCAACCCCGCTCCCGCTGTCCTTCAGCCTACAGCCTCTGGTGGGATTCTCGCCTCTGAACCTGCAAGTAAATGCATCCCTTGGCTCCTCCACGGCCTGCTGTGGGGCCTTACTGCAAGCTACCTGGAGTGTCTGCGGCCGTGGAGGGACTTCCTCTGCGTCCGGGGTGGCATTGCCTGTTGCATCAGGTGCGGCGGGGTGCCATGTCGCAGGCCTCCGCCCCAGCGTGTCCGTAATGCGCTGCCCACATGCTTCCATGCTTGTAGCTTAATACGCCGATCCCTTATGCTCTTATAACCGAACCGCCCCAAAGTGCATGCCGCCAAGGGGCTGTGCGTTTACCGTGCCAATACCTGATTGGCGAGGATGGATACGTGAGTCCCCTGTTCGATAAGCCCTGGCAACCATGCCGCACGCTAACACCTCAACATCTCTTAACCCATCGCCGCACAATGCACTCCCTCAGGCTCAGGGACGGTTCGTGTGGCACTTCCCACGCCCACCCGCATCGCCGCCCTGCTGCTCTCCGCGACCGCCATCGCCAGCCCTGACAATGGCGCTGCACTGCCGCCCATCAGCGTCCCCACGCGAGCGGCGGTCCGTGTGCTGGTGGCCTTTGACGACGGGCAGCAGCGCGACATGACCACGGATGCACGGATAGAGGTGTGGGTGTCGCAAGGCACCGACCTATGCAGCGTGATGCGAGGTGGGTTATGTCTTATGTGCCTCCGTCAGTTCCGCACTCTTCAACGTTTCTGAACACCTAGCGCCGCACCTTACGTGTACTTCAACTCCCTGAATTTTCCGTCGTCCAATCCTGCTGCGCAGACGCCAGCACCAACGCGCCGTACGTCCAGGCCTCCGGCTCTCCCTACGTGGGCGGCACCTGCAGGCTGCAAGCGCGCGCCACCTTCGCCGGCTTGGCCCCCTTCACCGCCTCCAACACCACCACCGTCATCACTCTGAGCTCGCTGCAGGTGTATGTGGTGGACGGCAGCCCTGCCGCGCCGCCCACCACCAACAGCAGCTCGCTGACCGGGCTGGCCTCGCCGGCATTGCCGCTGCGTCTGTTCAAGTGCGACTTCAGCCACTACCTGCCAGTAAGAGCTCGGCGGGCGCCACCCTGTGCTGTCCAGCCTGTAATTTTGGAAACCACACGCACACGCGTGTTTAGCAATTCAGTTTCCTTGGATTGGGGTTCAAGCACTGCCAGAGGTCTGTGATTCGCATGCGAAACCACAACCAAAGGACCGTATGAGTTAATAGCCGCACTCTCCCTTGCACTGCAGGCGAGTGTGTGGGTAATGGGCGTGCTCAGCAGCTGCGGCTCCAGCTGCACCCTTCTGGACCTGAACGACCCGACTCATACCTTCCTGCAGCTCTCAGACACCTCCGCGCTCTCACTGGTTCGCAACCCCGCCAACACCAGCCTCACCAACCTGCTGCTGCCGTCAAAGCCTGGCGCCAGCATGCTGTCTGTCTCCTTTGGGGCCGCCTCCTCTTCTTCCTCCGCTGTTATTCTGAGCAGCAGCTTCAATGTCACGGTGGAGGATACGTTCCAGTTCGGCTGGCCGCGCGTGGTAAACATCGTAGACAATGCCTTCACACTGACCGCTAACATGACCTCAGCCGCCTTCAAGGTGACGTACCTGGTGCAGGCCGCCAGCAGCACTGCCACAACACCCACAGCAGCAGACGTAGAGAAAGGTGAGCGCCAATTCTCATGGCTTCCGCCACATTTACCTCAACCATTGCTTTTCATGCGCGCTGTTCACCCTATCCTTGCCGTACTCCCTAACCTGGCCAATGGAAACTTTACCGCTCCTTGTTTCCGGTATCCTCCACAGCCGGCGTGGCACTGAGCTCGGCCAGCAGTTCAGGCGGCGGCCCTTACCTGCTGTCCGACACGCTAAGCGGCCTCACACCCGCAACCAACTACTCGGTGTTTCTGGCGGTGCGCTTCCAGTCGCGGCTGATCAGCACCGTGGTGGCCATCACCGGGGTGCTCACACCCGACCACGTGGCGCCTACTTTTGCGGCAGTGGGGACGGTGAGTGAGGGACCATGCGCACCTGCCCTGTTGCTTCTTCCGTTTTGTGCACCTGACTTAGAGTAATGTGATTATTACGACACCCGCCGAATGTGAGAGGGAGAGGCGTTAAAGTGAAAGCTACTGTGTTTGGGGCATTGCATGCCGCCATGCAGGTGCAGAACCTCACGACGGACACCCAGCGCTTCACGCTGCGGCTGCCCGTGGCGCTGAGTGAGGCCGGCACCATCAACTACGCCATCTACCGCAACAGCGCCTGCATCTCGGGTGAGCAGCCGGGCGAATCCGATCCGGGAGGTGCGGACTCTACGGACTCCCGTGATGCTGCATGCGGACCTGCGCATAAATAGCACGTCTCCGTGGCTCCATGCAGCAGCCCATGCGCTAAGGCAATCTCATGCGCGTGTGCAAGCACAGCTCCCGTCCCGCCTCCAACGATATCCCGTGATGCATCCTCTCTGCTGGTGATGCATGCATGCATGCTGAGAACGTCCTTACTCATCCTCTTCCACTTGCAATCAACCCCTGGGCTGCAGGTAGCGACCAGGTACCGGTCACCACTATCTTGGCGGCATCGTCCCTCCCAGCCGCCTCTTGTGGCTGCTCGGATGCGACGGCGTGCCAGCCTGTGGCCTGGGGCAACGTGACGCTCTCGGGCTCCCAGCTCAACGACACCCTCACCATCAGCGGCCTGCTGCCGCCCAATCCGTATAGCGTCCTCAGCGGCGCGCCACAGGACCAGCTCACCTGCCGTACCGGTAAGCACGCGTACCTGTTGAGGAGCGCAAATTGCAATGCATGCACGCTACCGGTATATCAACGGTCTCTGCTTTATCCTGGAGCGGCCTTGAGCACATGCCTCTCCCCTTGTCTTCATGTTTGTCCTTCGCAGCCTCCCTGCCGGCGCCCGCGCCCACCGCTCACCTGCTGTATCTGGTGGCTCAAGACGACCTGCCCACGTACAAGGGCTGGAGTGTCACCTGCGAACCGCCTCCGGCCTCGCCTGGGAGCACATGCGCTGCAATCGCAGCTTCACCATGCGTCACCGCGGCTCCAACCAACGGCACGGCTGGTGGCCTGAACAACATGCAGGCGTTGCCATACACGACGGTTCAGCTAAACCATACGACGGCCGTTCAGGGTAAGCCGGAGAGGAAACCGTGTGTAAGGGACGCGCCATTTGTTGCCGAGTAAGGGGAGACCTATCCCCATGTAGAGGGCAATTAATTTGGACGTCATGCCCACGGCTGAACAATATAAACCCTGTGCCGTCCCTTTTACCCTATGCTGTGTAGGGTCCCCCTCCGCTCCGGTGCTTGCTTCCTTCAACTTGCCCACCGGAAGCCGTGTCGCCTTCGATTCATCCGCCACCTCCATCACCTCCGCCAGCCGCACCATCACCTTTGTGTTCCGAGTCACCAAGGTATCCGCCGTACAGTACCGCCTAGACCAGTTCAACGGCACAAGCGTTTTCTCCGGCGTCTACCCCGTATTCGACCCTAGTGTGCCGTACACCGTGGCCATTAGCAAGACCTGCGGAGGGGCGCTGCTTGACGAGCCGTCGTACACGCTGTGGTACTGGGCAACGGACGTGTACGGCAGGTCTAGCGCAGCTTTGTCAGTGTCGGTAGTGATGTGACGTTAGTCTCGTTCGTTTGCATGTAGCATAGCGTGGGTGTATACAGCAGTATCAGGAAGGCGTCAGGTGTGCTAGCGATGGTACCGCCAGAGGAAGTAAATTAATAGCAGTGTGCCGAGCCGTATAATAATTGTACAGCGCTATCCGTATGTATGATAACGAGGTGCGATAAAAGCAGGACGACAAGTAGCGTCTGTTTACAAGGGCGACTGTACTTCAGCCAACTAGCAGGAGGATGCTGCTGCTGTCGCAAGGTGCCGCCATTGTGCGCTTTCCGGGGCAACGGAATATGGCTTTCCGCTATACACTTCAGGTGCTGTATGCCCCCATGGGGTGATACTGGTGTTGCCTCCCTGTTGGACCAGGGAGGCGTTTGTTCGATGGATTGATGGCTACGGCTTTGGCTGTTTAATGCGATGGGATTGGTGCATGTGATCTTACACCAGGGACTTTATGGCAGTGCTTCTTACTGGATATGAGGCCCATGTGACCGGGAAGCAGCCGCTTGGCCCTAGCCGAAGGATTCGTAAGCTTCGCCCATAAGCAATGTGCAATGTACGACCATTGTTAACCAGTCAACATGTGATGCGTAGTGGAGCGGCTGTTGCAGGTGGAATCCCGGCCATCAGCTGCTTTACATACAGGAAGGGTGACCCGTGGGGCAAATGACCTCGTCCTTGATGCCCTAGGTGGACTGCCCACCTGATAGTTTCCAATTCCTAAACAGTAATTATATTTTCGAATAAGTGGGTACCAAGCGCAGCTGTACAAAACATGTTGCCGCGGACCTTGGATCTGAACAGCGCCTGATGCAGAAACCAAACGTACACCGGTAGTACCCATGGACCGAGCGTTTTAGACGTTGAAATGAAAGGCGTGAACCTTGAGCAAGCCTGCGGCGCCTCCGGACTCTTATAACGAGTTCTACCTAGCTGGTAATGTGGATGCAATTTGGTGTACACCGGCAATGCTCGCCTGTGCTCGCGGTTATAAGCAAAGGTGAGCTTGTGGATGCCGTTGCACTGACGGCATCCAAAAGTGGGATTAACAACGGAACCGCCGAAGCGCACTCCGTATACTGCACATGCGGCGACCGGCACTCCTAGGGTTCGCGTATTCCATGCGGAGTGCATTAAGACTGTAAATATGGCCAACAGGACAGATGGAAATAACCGATGCTGGGTTCTAGGAAGCCTCGAATATGCACCGGAGACCGGACGCAGGTAGGCACCATAGGCAATTCACCCTACACTTGCAAATTAAACGCTGTAAGGAGTTACAAAAGCCATGTCTCTACTGCTGCCACCACAAAGGAACGTAATAAGTGTCACATTGTAATTCTGGCTAATTTACCGTTGGGAAAGGTAGTTGGCGAGGCAAATTACATTCAATCCATATCGCGGCTTTACACTGCTGTGCGGCCTTCCGCCAAGAAGCCCAGCACGCATATAGGAAACTTGGTGTTCCTGGCCAGTAATACATACCTATTGGAAAGGCTTCAGCTTTCGCACTGGTCGGCCGACGGTTCTTTCTATGAGCTATGGACAGAAGGCATTCACGTCAAGACTACTAAGGGTTGCTTTCTTACAGCTTTAAATGGTAGGTACAACCGAGTCAGTCTTATGTCCGCCGACGCGCATGCAGCGGACCGCGTATCAAGCCATCACTCGGCCTACAGTTTGCACGCTTGACTTGTTATTTGAATGGCCTGTAGGCGGGTGAACAGTCGGAGAAGGCGGGATGCTTCGGCGGCAAGACTGTAGCCCCAAGCGTGGGTCCTGCGCTTCATGCTGTGACGGATGGAGACCGGGACAACTTCAAGCTCATCACAAAGTTTACCAGTCGCATGGAAAAGTAAGGCCATGAGTGCTTATCTCGAGAGTGCTGGCGTTAGCGTACGGTTGGCGGTTGCAGGGAGTAGCGTCGACGGGCCTCGTAGCATCCCCAACACAACCGTTAGGCTGTCCACCTTATTACTTGTTCCCTGCTTCCTATTAATACTCTGATTCCTATTAATACAAATTTTCCGCCTACAGAGTTGGTATAACCATGCCTGGCGTAGAGGTCCGTTGGGACAACCTAATGGTCGAGGTGGAGGCTCCTCAGCCTGCTGCCGGCAAGGTATAACCGGGCATCATAGCAGCTCTATGTATACGCCAGCACAGCGCCGTAGCTTGTGTTTGTATAGTCGGCTGCTCTTCAAAGCCTTCTTTACCGAGCCGAGAAAAACGCGATTTGGTGGAACCATGGGTCACTTACGCCCGCACGGTGGCCAAGAGCAACGACCCCGTTGTTCACACGGAGCCGAGTTCATCATTAAGCCGAGTTCACTCAGGTTCACACCATCCTACTCGACCATTCTTCTCTTTTTTAATGTATCCGACGCGACCAATACCTCCACTCCTGCTACCCTCCAGGGCAGCAAGTTCTGCGGCGACCCGCCCAAGCCGCGGCTCATCCTCAACGCCGGTAGCGGCGTCCTCCCCCCCGGCCGCATGTGCCTCCTGCTCGGGCCCCCAGGCGCCGGTCGCACCACCCTCCTCCGCGCCCTATGCGGCCAGCTCCTACCCACCCACGCCTATCCACTCCTATCCTGCGGCTCCGGCAGCACTACGAGTGACGGCACGCGTCGCCGGTCACGTGCCGGGCTGCACTTGTACGGCAATGTGTCGTACAACGGCATTCCCGTACAGGGCCCGGGATGCTCCTTTGAGGTTGCACGCACGGCTACGTACGTGGGGCAGCGGGAGAACCACATGGCTGAGCTCACGGTTGCTGAGACGCTCACCTTTGCTGCGAGGTGCCAGGGTGCCGGCATCGCAAAACGTAAGTTATTAAGTTAGGCGTGCAAGGGACGGAGTGTACGGAAGCATGGTTTTTTCCTGCAGTGGCCCTGAAGAATGGAAGTGGTGGAGCGTGACAGGGCTAAAATGCGCAAGCCTCGGTGCCAGGAAACTCTTGAGCAACACCGCTGCCGCCACTGCTGGCCCCCCTCCGCACCTTCCCGCCTGCAGGGCTTCACGACCTGCTGCGGGAGCGGGAGGCGGCTGCGGGGCTGCAGGCGGAGCAGCAGGACGAGGACATGGAGCGGCTGATGGCCCTCACGGGGGGGCCGCATGCGCCGCTAGTGTTTGTGGAGGTCAGTGGCGTGGCGCCCTGTTGGTGTCCCAAAGGCGGACTGACGGTTGATGGCATGGACGCCTTCCCTCAATGCTCAACATACCGGTAGCAGCTGCCGCTGCTGCTGCTGCTGCTGCTGCTGCTGCTGATGATGATGATGATGCTTCCGTACAATATAACCCTTACCCCCGTCCTGGAACTTCTGGCCCGCCCCTGTCAGATGATTGCCCGCATGCTGGGTATCGAGCACGTGTTGGACACCCCCGTGGGAGATGAGATGGTCAAGGGGATCAGTGGTGGCCAGCAGCGGCGCGTCACAGTGGGTGAGGCAGATTGCCCCTCTGCGATTAATGCCCGTGTTCCCGTATGCTATGGGCAGCACATTAGTTTACAGCAGGCACGAGGCCGACTGGGATTATGCTAGAGTAATGGGCGTTTGCAGTGACCTTGTGCGAGCAAACAGCCCATGTACCGGTTGGAACCTCTTCCCTGACTGTCGAGTCCTGTTGAGTCTTTCTGAGGTGCCGGTCCCCCTCTGCTCCCGTGTGTCCGCAGGGGAGATGGCGGTTGGACTCGCGCAAGTGCTGATGCTGGTGGGTCGGTGGGTCGGTGGGGCGGGAGACATCAGGCGAAGCGCACGGTTTCCTTGTGCAGCATTTCCCGTTAGCCGGTTACCCGTCTTCCTACTGCTTTGTCCCCTTCCTGGCGCCGCTAACGCCGCTGCTGCTGCTGTTGCTGCCTTCACACGTTCTTGCCCTTCCACTGCACAGGATGAGGTAACCAACGGTCTGGATGCCAACACAGCGCTGTCACTGGTTCGGGCGCTTCGAAACAGCAGTGTGCACGGAAACGTAAGCAGATACAGGACACTTTAGCTCTTCGGGCAGGCAGCAGGGGAAAGGGAAGAAAGCAAGGGCACAGTAGCCGACATGAGAAGCCCCTCTCCCGCCACATTTGTTTACCGATATGAGTTTGCTTCCTTGGCCAATTAGCTTGCTCATTCACTCATGCCACGCCCTCTTGCCGCCGTTGCCTAACCCTACCTTTCACAAACCGCTACCTCCAGCTGTCCTCGCCCCCTTTTCACGTTGCCCCCCTCACCTCTCCTCGCCTCCCCCGCCCAGTCCACCGTGCTGGCCACGCTGCTGCAGCCCTCCTCCGAGGTGTTTGAGTGCTTTGACGACGTCATGCTCATGGCGTCCGGCACCATCGTCTTCCACGGACCCCGCGAGCAGCTGCTGCCCTTCTTCGCGTCACTGGGGCTGCGGCCGCTGCCCGGGCAGACGGCGGCGGACTTTGCTCAGGTGCGGTAGGATGGGTGCGAACTGCAGTGTGTTGGTGGCTTGGACCAAGACGTCTTAAGAGATGAGCCATGCATGGCCCTAAATCCTCACGTTCGTCCCATACCTGATCCTGACTGCGAAACTCCTGCTGGTGATCCTGACTACGGAACCTCTGCTGATGCTGTTTTGAAACCTGCTGCCGCATGCCGGCTGCCCAACCGCACCTCACCCGCTCCGCACCACAGGAGGTGGTGGCCAGTCCTGAGGACCAGGCCAAGTACCGGGACGCCTCAGGGGCAGTAGGGGCGCTGCTGCCGGGCCCAGCAGCGGGGACACAAGGGGGAGCAGGCGGCGGCAACAAGTGGATGTCGCCGCGCCAAATCCGCAGGGTAGGTCAGGCTGGTGTGTGTGAGGAAAAGAGGAGAGCAAGCATTCGCGGCGGAGACATGGAACGGTACCTGCAGACATTGAACACACGATCTCTCGTTCCTTCCCTTACCTTTCCGTACATGTCGTACATGCAGGTGTTAGAGGCGGGCGAGCTGGGTCGCCAGCTGGCAGCCCAGGTGGCGGCACCGCCGTACAACCACCCGTTGCAGGTGCGTCGTCCCGTGTGTTTAGCCCACTGGCCTGCTAAACTTACCCTAACCTTGGGGATTTGATAAGCTAAGCCGCCGAAACACTGACCCTGACCCCTGGGAAGAGGAGCATTGGCTGTCAGACGGATTGTGCCGTTTGTATATTCCTGTTGCAGCCAAGCCTACCCCCGTAGCCTTCCCATTACTATTAACCGCTGTAAAACCTACCCAACGGGTTCCCCTCCTCCGCCGCCCCGTACAGGACCTGGTGCTCCACTCGCAGCGGTACGGCATGGCCACCTGGCCCATGCTGTGGGCGGTGACGCGGCGCGAGGTGGTGCTGTTCGTGCGCAACCCTCAGTTCTTCATAGCTGGCATGGTGCAGGTGGGTTAGACGAGAGGCAGCGGCAGGAAACCGATTTGCAGGAGTCACAACGGTTTTCAGGGAGATGACTGGACTGGAATGCAGGAAATGCGGTGCAAGCAGTGGTCCGGGTTGTTGCAGGGAAGGCATGGAAACGCGACCCGAGCCCCGTTCCCCGGTCTCATGGTTGCAAGCGCCGCCCCCCTGCCCCTGCTCCTGCCCTTCCGCAGGTGCTGTTCATCGCCTTCCTGGTGTCAACTGCCTTTGTCAACCTGCGCAAAAGCAACTTCAACGACGCCAACCTCTTCCTCTCCGTCATCTTCTTCTCCCTCACTACCGTCTCCATGGTGCGGTGCAGGCAGCGACTTGTTCAGCCTACTAGCCTACTAGCCTACTAACAAAAATAACCGGGGCTTGATTCCTCACTGAGGCTGAAGCGGCGATGCGGCGGATCAACCAATGCAAATCTGGGATGTTACTGATTACCTCTTTGCTCCGTGCACGAGCACCGCTCCTCACCCCGCACTCCCACACTTCATGTGCCCTCACCTCACCCAACCCCACCCAGGGTGGCTTCAGCGCCACTCCCGCCTTCATTAAGCGCCTGGCTGTGTTTTACAAGCAGCGGGACCACCGCTTCTACACGCCCACCACCTATGCGCTCGGGATCTGTGCCGTACGAGTCCCGGAGATGATGCTACAGGCCTTTTCGTACACCATTATGGTTTACTTCTCTGTGGGCTTTGCGAACGACGCCGGCAGGTGGGTGGGCGTGGGTGTGGATGCTGGGGTGCCGGTAGGTAAGTGGGGGGTACGCGTGCTGTGTGGCAGTGCTTTTGCTTTCCATTTTCTGGTGGTTGATTGGCATTGCTGGTTCTTCTTTCCTTCCCACGTCTGCCATCCCTCTCCTCCTCCTGCTGCTGCTGCTGCCCACCGCTGCTGCCGCTTCCGGTGCCCTTCCTGCGCTCACGCATGCCCGCACATTCAGGTTTTTCCTCAACCTGCTGAACCTGGTGGCGATTGGATTCAACAACGTCACCCTCTTTGTCATGTTGGGAGCCTTCACTCGTAGCGACATCGTCACTCAGGTCAGTTAGTCGGTTAGCTGGTTAGTCGGTTGTGTCGTGTTCTTGTTCGTAGCGCCTTGCCTTGGCCCTGTGACCGTTGCAAGGGCCGTTGCAACCCCTTGCGCTCACGCGTGTCCCCCTTTTGACCCCGCAGGGCCTGGGCGCCGTGAGCCTCATGGTGAATGTACTCGTTTCAGGATTCCCGATTGCCAGAAGTGAGTTCCGGTCTCGTAGTGGTGCGAGATGGCAAAGCAGCATCCACTTATAGTGCATGCCGTGCCGATGTCAACCGATAAACCGCTCCCCATAAACATTACACCCCATGCCGCTCCTACCTGCCCTCCTCCCTCAACCCTCTTCAGCCTCCATCCACGGCTGGTGGATATGGCTGTACTGGCTGCTACCCACCAGCTGGACCTTCCGCAGCATGGCGATCGTGGAGCTGACCTACCGCGACTGGGCGGGGCACGAGGAGGGCAGCCAGGTGGCGGTCGGGGAGGTGAGCGTGGGCGTGAGGTGAACAGGGCGTTCTCTACAAGCTTCCTCTGTACATCATGTCGGCCTCTCCTAATGTGCTCCCTGCCCCCTCGCTCCTGCCCCGTGCCCCACAGAACGCCCTGCTTACCCGCGGTTTCTACAAGGAGTGGTACTGGGTGTGGGCGGGCATCGGCTACGTGATCGGCGTCTCGCTCTTCCAGTTGGGCCTTGCGATTGCGGCGCTGACGTGGCTCGGACGTAAGTGCCCCGTAGGAACGCGAATACAGCCTTCGGTGCTACCTTTTCCGAGCTGAAAATGCTCCTGAATTTACGTTTAGGCCGTTCGCACCTAGACAGGGGTCAAAACGCACTTTAAGGGGACCTTGTCATACCGTGCCATAGTACCTAGTACAGCTATCCTTATGCAGTTTCCTCCTCTATTTGACCGGCCGACACCATGCGCCCTCCGCCCCCTCATCCGCAGCCGTACGCGGCACCGGCAGTGGACCCGAGGAGGAAGTTGAGGACGACGACCTGCACCTGTCGCCTGTCGTGACCCATGGGTCGGACCAGCCCAGCCAATACAACGGTGCTTACGGTGCCAGCAACCGGGGCCAGCAAACAGCCGACTCCGATGCAGGCGCCGCTCCTGCCACCATTCGAACCCAGTCTCGCGCGGTTCCGGCTGTAGTACAGGCGGAGGAGGGACGCGCGCAGACGCCCCGCAGCGCATGGCAGGACGGCGGAGCGGCGGGGGGTGCTACGGAGGGCAGCGGCCGTCGCGGTGCCGTACCCATGAGTGGAGCCGTACAGATGGCGGGAACAACAGCAGCAGCAGCAGGAGGCGCCGGTGCCGGCAGTGCCGCGGATGCTGTGGCAGTGGACATGCGGGGAGCGGCAGCAGCAGCAGCGAGAGGGGCAGCAGGAGGGGGTCGCCAGGAGGACGGGGGCCTGGCCTTCACGCCGGTGGTCATGGCGTTTACGGGCGTGTGCTATGACGTCCTAGACCCAAGCGACAAGAGTAGGTTTTGGTGCTAGGGTGTAAAGGGATTGTGAGGGTTGCCGTGACGGCTGGAAGTGCAATGCAATGTCTCCTGCAAGGCTTTGCTTGACTTTCCTTGGGGGGCTTCGGTGTGGCTTACTGGCACTTGCTTGGCTGTGTGCATTCATCACTCCGGCCCCTCTGTGGCCCCTGTATCTGCAGGCAAGAAGCTGCGGCTGCTGAGCGATGTCAGCGGCGTCTTCCGACCGGGCGTTCTCACCTGGTAAGTTAAACAATATTGCAACCCACCATCGGCTAGTCGGGCTACTACCTTGCATGGATGGGTGTGATTCCCAGCCAAGAAGCACCTACACGTGATACATTGCATAGGACTCTCAGCTGGGGCCATTACTGGTATACGGTTTTGTACGCTTGCCACATCCGATACCACGCAGTTACCCCCTTCCACCCGGCTCTTCTCCCTTCCCCCCCCCCCAGTCTCATGGGTGCCTCGGGTGCTGGCAAGACCACGCTAATGGACGTGCTGGCGGGGCGCAAGACCGAGGGCTTCACGGAGGGGTTGCAGGTGGTGAACGGACAGCCCAAGCGCATGAGCACCTTTGCACGCCTGATGGGTGAGTTTAATGGGGTTAAAGGGGCTGCCATTAAGGGGCCGCCAATAAGGGGCTGCCAAGGGCATGGCAAACGTACCTTACGAGGCTTACCGTATCCAACCGTTTGCCTACTCAACGCGCTTTGAACACCCACAGGCTACGTAGAGCAGCAAGACGTGCACTGCCCGCACGCCACCGTGGAGGAGGCCCTCATCTTCTCCGCTCGACTGCGCGTTGCGCCCGGCGTGCTACCCCCCACCCCTGGAGCCCTGCGTGCCTTCGTACGACGAATGATGGAGGTAGTGGAGTTGGAGCCGCTGGGAGGCAGGATGATTGGGATGGGCGGCGGCATGGGCGGGCTGAGTACGGAGGCGCGGAAGCGGCTGACGATTGCGGTGGAGCTCGTGTCCAACCCCTCGGTGGTGTTCATGGACGAGCCGACAACGGGTGCGTGCGGAGTGGAGGGGGGAGGGTACGGAGGAGGACAGAGGAGGGACCGGAGCATACGAATGACAGGATATGTAGCGGATGTGTACGTTACTACAGTACCACCAAAAGCACGGTTCGGTCCATTGACTCACGTTTCCCGTTTCCTTGCTCTCCCATCCTCATCCCCGCCCTCCTGCCTCCTCTCCCCCTTGCTGCAGGTTTGGACGCGCGCGCGGCCATGTTGGTGATGCGTGCCGTACGCAACACCGTCAGCACGGGTCGTACGGTGGTGTGCACCATCCACCAGCCCAACCGTGAGATCATGGACTACTTTGACGAGTGAGTGGTGGCAGGGGTGGCAGGAGGGCGGGTAGGAAGCGGTGGGGAGGGGTGGGTGGTTTTGCGCATGTGCTGTGCTTGTAGACATGGCGAGGAGACGTGACGTGTGCCGTTCAATGCATGATGCCTGGTGCCAGGTGGGTTTTCGCGAGGCTTGTTTCTTGCTCTTCTACACTACCACACCTTGCGCTCCACCCTCCCTCCACCGCCCCTCCCTCGCCTCCCTCCCCACCAGGCTGCTGCTGCTGAAGCCGGGTGGTCGCGTCATCTTCTTCGGTCCGCTGGGCCCCCGACAGTCCGAGCTGGTGGCGCACCTCAGCGGCGTGCCCGGTGTGCCCAGGTGGGGTAAAAGGAAGAATGCCGGTACCCAATGTGTTGAATGTGGGGTGCCCAGGTGGGGTAGGGGAAGTGATGGGAGTGGGTTTGAGGGTTGGAAGGGTGTCAGGAATGCGCACACCGCGTGTTCAATTGGTCATAAGGTCTGCTTCAATCTGATGCCCCCTCTCTTATCCTCGTGTGCCGCCCGTATGCCGTACCGTAGCTACGAGCCGCACATGAACCCAGCCAACTGGATGTTGGAGGTGACGTCACCTGCGGCGGAAGCTGAGATGGGGATGGACTTTGCAACCATCTGGGCGGAAAGCGAGGGAGCCAGGTGAGGGAAAGGAGGCTAGGGTGACCCGTGGGTCGCAGCGCGGCAGTGTCTAACAGGCTACGCTGTTGTGGTGAACGTTCTGCCTCATTGTACCACCACCAGACAACTGCATACAAGCGGATGAACGGGGGTGTCAGGCTCGGGATAGGATAGCAGCCACGTACACACGCTTGTTGCTGCTTTGAGATCTACCCCCAATGCACCCTGCCAACCACTAACCCAACTCCCCCTGCTGACTGCCCCCCGTCTATCCGCCTTCTTCCGATCTCGTGCCACACTCCGACCTCCTGCCACCCTCCACCAGAACCGCGGAGCGCCTGATCCAATCACACATGGGTACCGCCGCTGCCTCCTCACCTCGAGACCGCCTCACAGCCGCTCCCGAGGGCGACGTGGAATCCGCTGCCACCACCGCCACCGCAGCAGCAGCCGGCAGCACCGAGGGCACCACCGCCGCCGCTGCTGCTGCTGCTTCTGCTTCTCTGGACCGCTGCTCTCAGCCCCTTCACGTGCAGCTGCGGGTGGTGTTGGGAAGGGCGCTTCTGGCTCAGTGGCGCAACACGGCCTACAACGGCATGCGGCTGGGGATCACGCTGGGGCTGGGGCTGGTGCTGGGGACGCTGTACTGGGGAGCGGGGCGGCGACGGTGAGAGGGGAGAGGGCAGCGGGTGGCTGGCGGATACCGCTAGAAAGGAGTTGGTAGTTGGATGCCTCCATGGGAGCTCTGAAGGGGCGAGTTTGGGGTTCTGCATATGCTCGGCATGTGCTGGGTGTAGAGCGAGAGCGCTCATGGTCCAGGACATGCATGGCTTCCTTCACGTCTGCCACCGCGCACGTTTGTCACCAACCCTGCCGGTCCCTGCCCCGCCCTGCCGCTCCCTGTCCCGGTCCCTGCACAGGGACTCCCTGGTGGGCGTGTTGGACATCATGGGAGTCATGTACGGCAGCAGCGTCTTCCTGTCCATGGTCAACATGATGATGGTGGGTGCGGTGGGGTGTGCTTCCGTGCTTGGGTTCAAGATTAGGGCTAACCAGAGACCGGTGTATCGGCCTTTCTGGTCGCCTACTCAGTGCGGCGCGTATCGTGCTTCCTCGCTGCTCTAGGCTGGCCGACCGTCCATTTCTTATGCATTGTGATTCCAGCCCCACTCCACCTTACCTTACCCCTGCCATCCTGCCTCCTTACCTCGCTTTCCTAATCACTCATCCTGCACCCTGCATCCTCCTCGACTGCTTTCAGGTGATGCCCGCAGCTGCCTCGGAGCGACCCGTCTTCTACCGCGAACGAGCTTCCGGGATGTACGGCGGAGCGGTGTTTGCGGCGGCTCAGGGCATGGCGGAACTGCCGTTCCTGTTCGTACAATCGGTGCTGTACGTGGTTATCTTGTACGGCATGATTCAGTTTGAGTTCACAGGCACCAAAATCCTGTGGTTCTGGTGGGTTGGGGTGGGTTGCCGGTTATTGGGCTGGAGGCTTCTTATGAAGGTAGAAGTCCTGTGAAGAGCTTTATACACGTCTCGGGTGAAGGGCCACCCGATACCTGACCCGCATTTCTGTTTAAACCCATTGCTGTTCAAACCCAAGTCCGGTAAACCCAAATGTACCTCCGTTTACCTCCTCTCCTTCACCGTTTCCCGCTTTCCCCGTTAGGCTGTACATGTGGTTGGACCTGATGTACTTTACCTACATGGGCATGGGCGTCATGAACGCCACACCCAACCTGCCGGCAGCAACCGCCAGCGGCTCCTTCTTCATCCTGCTGTGGATGCTCTTCTGCGGCTTCCTCATCTACAGGAAGGTACGAAGCTGCGGCTGCGGTGCAGATTTGCTGTGTCGCACATTGGGATTACATGATGCGCAGCATGCACAACCCTGTCACGTTGTACGGAAAGTGGTTCATGCATGGGCAGTATGGCAGATGAGTGGCAAGTGGAACCCCTCTCCCCTGTCCTCGGTGGCCTGAACTAGCCCCTTTGCAGCCCCTTGAGGGCCTCCTGAGGCAGTTGCACCTTCCATTGCGCATGATGGGCCCTATCTGAAGCTATAACTGCTAATGAGCCGGGTCCTCCCTTCCGCTCCCTTCCGGTCCGCTCCGATCCCGTCCAACAACAACACCAACAACAGAACATCAAGCCCTGGTATATCTGGGCCTACTACTTCAACCCGATGACGTTCATCATCTACGGATGCGTCACCACGCAGGTGTGTACGGCAATGTGTGTACTACACTGCGGAAGTATGGCAGACTTGACTGGGAGCCACTCGTTTGTACAACGGTGCTTGGTGCTGTTATATGCAGAATTCTCTCCTCCTATCCTCTTCGTCCTGATGTCGCATGGTTGTATACCTACTTATCCCGCTTAATGCGTAAGCGGCTGTATGACAAGATGTGCTTGCTTGCTCCTTCCCCTCCTTCCCTCCTCACAACGCTGCAGTTGGGTGACATCACGGACGGCTTCATCAGTGTTGGTGACTCCACCACAACCATTGCGCAGTACATCAACGATACCTTCAGCTACGAGTAAGTGACGATCCTGAACACGACTACCATCCCGCCGCCACATGGTTACGACCCCACCGCCGCAGTGCATGACTATTGAGGCTTTCTACCGGTGTCCTGACATGCTGCAAGCCAGTCCCTTCGCTTCATTAGGTTCTGCTTTGCGATCCATGCATACGGCTGCTTTAATCCGTCCATATACTTGTTATCACCTGTATGTGCTCTTCCACAATCTGGTTCTTGCCGTACATCACAGGTACGACATGCGCGGCTACATCGTACTCATCCTGCTGGGTTTCATCGCCGCGTTCCGTGGTCTCTCCTACCTGGGATACACTCGCATGAACTTCCAGCGCCGTTAGGGGAATTGAGGGTGAACGAGCAACGCAGGCGGTGTGCAGTACAACACCACCACGATAACGGGTGTTGAGTATCGTGGCTTCTCTGGGTCTCATTGTGTGCCAGTGAGCCTTGGGCGACATGTTTGCTTTTGTGGGGAGGGGCTAAGTGGTTATCATTAGTGTCTGGCAAGTGCTGCCCTGGGCTGAGGAGCTGGTTTCGACGCAGACAGGCTGCTGGCTGGAACCATGTGACTCTTGGGTTTCCTGAGTCTTAGGTGCTGTAGCGTTTGGAGAGTGGTCAGAGGAGCTGGGGTGTCTAGAAGAAGAAACAGGATGAATGCATGGTTCTCATGACATGGGTGTAGGGTTGATTACATGCATGTCGTGATCCGGGGAGGCGCATTGCACTGTGTTGACGGGAAAGGCATGTTCATAATCCTGACCCTACCTCGTATGTGGTGGTAGAGAATGCCAAACGTGCGTTGCATATGGGCGAGCATGTATAAGGAAAGCATCTGGTTGTGTGTGTGTGCACGTGTGCTTTCTCTTGCTATGGCTATGCAGGCAAGTATTTCGAGCGTGCCCCTAGTGACTGTGCGCGGGTACGGTTAAAGCGCAAGGATTTAATACCAGCAGAAAGGCATGTTCCTTCCAATTGGCATCGATCCCTTTTCGACGTGCGCGTGTGCAGCTGTGTGTTTTAACGTACGTTTGCGCCTTGACTCAGGGCTCAGCTTCAAGGGCCACTTAGGATTAGTCCCTGTCGCACCGCGTATGACCCCCTCTCATGCGTGGTGTTAAGAAGTTATCCTGCTTGGTTGCGCCAACATTCTCGCGTGGCACTTTGCCCACGCATGCACGACGGAGGATGAAAGCGGTTGACAGGGCACATAAGCTGTACAGTAGTGTGAACGGCTCGCAGTTGGACTTCAAGAATCTCCCTCGCACTACTCGAAGGGGTTGCAGGTAAGAGCGAAGCCAACTAGCACTCTTTCCATTAGCATGCGCCATCACGCGCCAAACTGAAACTCGCACATATGCATTCGCCAGACGACCACGGCACTATACCTGCAATCACGTATCCTCTCAAGCCAAGTCTATTTCAAGTCAAGTCGACTTCAAGTCGTCCTGAAGTCCAGCAGCACCTACCCCGGGTCACAATCTTAGAAGGTCTAGGATGCAGAAGGATTAAAGATCAGGTTTAAGTCATTATGCATGTGCGTCCCGCATGCTCCATACCAGTAATGGGGACAATGCACTCGTCAGATCCATAATAAACACAGTAACGCTGTGTACCGCAGCAGCTAGTTCCGTATGGGTGTGGCGGCCGGCTTGCTTGCACCCTGTGTTGTTGACTGATGACAATGGCCGACATTAAGAATGAAGAGTAAGAATACCGACCAGACTAAAATAGAACGCATATCACTGTGCATGCTCACGGACTACCTATTAACACTTGCCTCGATTGCGGCATACATAAACAGCTACATGTACATCTGTACACTTCTGTACATCTCAGCATCCTAGCAGGACATGTATTGCGAGCAGTGCTTCACAAACTATACATCATTGCACCACCTGCACCGCAGGACTATTTATCCGTGGTAAATCCCGGAACCTTTCCTTACCCGACCAGGCACGGACCCCACCGGCTGGTTGCCGTACACCCTCGCCGCAACAGTGCCTGGCAGCAACAGCCTGCTGCAGTCGTACGGGCTCATGCTGTGCCTTGCGCCAACATGGTTAGGGACAGCATACCCGGACAACGCGCCAGCAGACCAACCAACCTCAGATGGCTGTCCAGCAGGCACATTGATAGGGCAGTATTCATGCGGTTGTGACGTCATCACTGCAATTGCTGCATTCGCCCTGGTGCTGGGATAGCTTGTTCTCGGCATGCAGCCCGCCACAGCTCCCCCTGGACTCCCTTGCGCCCTTGGCACCGGCAAGTGTTCCGGAATCGGCGACGGTGGCGGCGGCAGCGACCCATGGGTCGTGCCGCCCTGAGACGAAACGTCCTCCAAATAGCAGCTCATACGCCGCTGCTGCTGCTGCGGCGGCAGGGCGGCAGAACTATTGATCCACCCTGTTCCCGGCGGTGCGGCTTGAGCCGCCGTCGCCCATGCCGCCGTCGTCGGTCCCTCAAGCTGCGGGCCTACGTAGTACGGCACCCATGGCGTGGGCTCCCAAAGCCAGGCCTGTCCCCGCACGGCTGGTGCTGATGAACTGCGGCTGTTCCTGCTGCTGCTGCTGCCAAACCACCCTGCACGGCCTGTACCCAATCGCTGCTGTTGCTGTTGTTGCTGTAACGATGTCATCAGCTGTGGTCGCGCCGAGTACTGCGGCCTATCATCATGCAGCTGCTGCCAGGGCGGTGCGTCTGGGCCTACAGGCAGGACGCCATGCACCGGTGGCGAGGGAGGGTACCGCAGACGCCCCTTGCCCCGCGCGATAAGGCCCCAGCCAAGCAACGCTAGCAACACCAGCGCAACCACGCAACCGCCTGTCAGGCCGAGGATGACGGCCAGGGCGGTACGGCCGCAAAGACTGCCCAGTTGGGGTCCATCGGCGCTGCAGGCGGCGTGGGGCGAGGCCACAAGTGCGGACTGGGGTACGGGTGTGGCAGACTGGGTGTTGGTGCTGTTGGTCGCCGCTGGAGAGGAGCCAGTGGTGGTGGTGCTGGGGATGATCATGCCGGGGGGCGGTGAGGTAGAAACGGTGACCTGAATGGAGTGGTGTGGGGAGAAGGGCAAACATTTGATTCAATGCGACGGAGCGATTATAAATATTACCAAACATCCCACTGCAAGCATGAAAAGCACAGTCTTCTGATGGTTTCTATATGACACCCACAAGCCACAGCACCCGCTTTTACCTCGTCAATAGCCAGGCCCAACGCCGCGGCGACGCTGCTCGCCAGCAGCTCTAGGCTGACCGTCAGCGAGCCTGCTGGCTCCAATCCTGAAGGGCTACTGCCAATGCTGTTGGTGCTGCTACTGCTGCTACTGTTGAAAGTGTTGGCCACGGTGATGCGCAGTACGACAGATGTGGCGAGCTGGGAGCTGGAGGTGGGTGAGATGGTGGAGCTCCAGCCGGGAACCACCACCTGCGCAAGTAACATACAAAACATACGTACGTAAACGTGGCAGCGTTGGTTTAGCGACATGGATTGTTATACACTCTATAACTTGTCGTGCCAAACAGCGTCATGAAGGTGTGCTTGCGCCGTGTAGGCGTCAAGTTAAGGTAGCCGGGGTGAGCACTGGCCTGTCGCTACTGGCTCCGTCGTTAATGACCAAAGTATGGCATGGCGCCTGCGGCTCTGAAAGGGGCCTCGCATACCTCGGTAGTGAGGATGCTGCTGACCAGGGCGCCCTGAAGTGCAGCAGGTGGTTCATTCGACATCAAGGTTAGGGAGGCGTGTAGTAAGAGCATACGAAAGACGTCTTCCATGTAGGGAGAGGAACACAGGAACGCCGTACTCAAGCGAGGAAGCAATGCGGGGAACCCACGGCGTCCATGCACGCACGGCACACGTGTGTGTTGAATATCCGGCGTCCATGCGCCGTACGGCATGTGTGTGGTGAATGCACTTGCGCGTGCCCCGTACACACCTGCTCGGTGGAACTTGTAAGGGCGAAGGTAGCTGACAGTAGGGCCGCGCAGTCGGCGTCGGCAGCAACGGTTGCGGCCGCAGCGGTATCAGGCAGCGCGGGGAAGAACGTGGAAGCTGCTGCTAATGCGCTGGCGTTCAAGCAGGTCACGGAGACCTCACTGCGGGGAAGGCGAGGGGTTTGCATTAACGTTGTTTTTCAAGGACGCTAGAAACGAAGGATCCAGCAGAGCGCGTGCCCTAAGGAAAAAATACGAAGGGTCATGAAACCCCTGTCAGGGCAGGGACAGGGTAGAACAGAAGTAGTAATGAAGAGCCTGGATTCAACCCCATGCGTGACGTGCCGTACCTGCAGTCCAAGACAGCAATGTCCAAGCAAAGGCTTTCCGCCAAGCCTGACTCCGTCTCTACCGTACACGTCGCAACGCAATCCGTTGCACTGGCTACTGACGACACACTTGTCGAGCCTGGGGGAGGTGAAGACGGCGCTGCGGTGTCTGCAGACGTCTGGAGGAGGTGTCGCCTGGCATCCAGGCTCCCATTGGCAATGGTCCATGCAGAGCCGGAAGCGCTGCTGCTATCGCTGCTGGTGGTAGCTGTAGCGCTGATGGCGCCTTTGGCTGTGCCGCTAGCCGCATTACCGCTTTCGTGTAGAAGACTGTACAGGGCAACGACATAGGCCGCTGCGACGTTGGTGCTCACTGAGGTACTGCTGATACCCAGGCTGTAGGCAACGCTGCTGCTGATGGCCTGTGGTGCAGTTGGCAGGGTGCAGGAAAAGGATAACGACATACACGACAACGTAAAAGCCATGCGGTAGGGTATTAGTTGTTTGGATGAATTGCAGGAAGCGGCCTTGCAAGCGTTAAAGCATGACGCATCACTCACACCGTTGTCAGGTAATCGCATGGGTGTAAGATTTGCGTTGCCCACAACCTTTGTGCCGTGAAGAATACTAGACATTCCCTTACCTGGAGTTCAGATGTACGAGGATACGTTGGTATCAAAACGAAGAACGACTCCTCCGAGCCGACAGGGATAGACGCCACAGTATGCAAGGCGGACGGCGTTGGGCTTGTCGGCTCGGGCGACGGCGGTGTTGGGATGGGAGGTGAGGGGCTAGGTGGCTCGGGTGACGGCGGCGGTGGCAGCGGCAGCGTTGGGCTTGGCGGCTCGGGTGAAGGCGGTGTTGGAATGGGAGGTGAGGGACTTGGTGGCTCGGGCGAAGGCGGTGCTGGGATGGGAGGCGAGGGGCTAGGCGGCTCGGACGAAGGTGGAGGCGAGGGGCTAGGTGACTTGGGTGACGGCGGCGGGTTCAGCGGCAGGATTGGGCTTGGCGGCTCGGGCGAAGGCGGTGCTGGGATGTGAGGTGAGGGGCTAGATGGCTCGGGCGAAGGCGGTGTTGGGATGGGAGGTGAGGAGCTAGGTCGCTCGGGCGAAGGCGGCGGTGGCAGCGGCAGCGTTGGGCTTGGCGGCTCGGGTGAAGGCGGTGCTGGGATGGGAGGCGAGGAGCTAGGTCGCTCGGGCGAAGGCGGCGGTGGCAGCGGCAGCGTTGGGCTTGGCGGCTCGGGTGAAGGCGGTGCTGGGATGGGAGGTGAGGGACTGGGTGGCTCGGGCGAAGGCGGCAGTGGTAGCGACAGCTTTGGGCTTGGCGGCTCGGGTGAAGGCGGTATTGGGATGGGAGGTGAGGGGCTAGATGGCTCGGCCGAAGGCGGTGGTGGGATGGAAGGCGAGGGGCTAGGTGGCTCGAGCGACGGCGGTGGTGGGATGGGAGGCGAGGGGCTTGGCGGCGGTGGCAGCGGCAGCGTTGGGCTTGGCGGCTCGGGTGAAGGCGGTGCTGGGATGGGAGGTGAGGGGCTAGGTGGCTCGGGCGAAGGTGGAGGCGAGGGGCTAGGTGGCTCGGGCGACGGCGGCGGTGGAAGCGGCAGCGTTGGGCTTGGCGGCTCGGGCGAAGGCGGTGTTGGGACGGGAGGTGAGGAGCTAGGTGGCTCGGGCGATGCCGGCGGTGGCAGCGGCAGCGGCAGCGTTGGGCTTGGCGGCTCGGGCGACGGCGGTGTTGGGATGGGAGGTGAGGAGCTAGGTTGCTCGGGCGAAGGCGGCGGTTGCAGCGGCAGCGTTGGGCTTGGCGGCTCGGGTGAAGGCGGTGTTGAGATGGGAGGTGAGGGACTGGGTGGCTCGGGCGAAGGCGGTGGTGGGATGGAAGGCGAGGGGCTAGGTGGCTCGAGCGACGGCGGTGGTGGGATGGGAGGCGAGGGGCTTGGCGGCGGTGGCAGCGGCAGCGTTGGGCTTGGCGGCTCGGGTGAAGGCGGTGCTGGGATGGGAGGCGAGGGGCTAGGTGGCTCGGGCGAAGGTGGAGGCGAGGGGCTAGGTGGCTCGGGCGACGGCGGCGGTGGAAGCGGCAGCGTTGGGCTTGGCGGCTCGGGCGAAGGCGGTGTTGGGACGGGAGGTGAGGAGCTAGGTGGCTCGGGCGATGCCGGCGGTGGCAGCGGCAGCGGCAGCGTTGGGCTTGGCGGCTCGGGCGAAGGCGGTGTTGGGATGGGAGGTGAGGAGCTAGGTCGCTCGGGCGAAGGCGGCGGTGGCAGCGGCAGCGTTGGGCTTGGCGGCTCGGGTGAAGGCGGTGTTGGAATGGGAGGTGAGGGACTGGGTGGCTCGGGCAAAGGCGGTGGTGGGATGAAAGACGAGGGGCTAGTCGGCTCGGCCGACGGCGGTGTTGGGATGGGAGGTGAGGAGCTAGGTGGCTCGGGCGATGCCGGCTGTGGCAGCGGCAGCATTGGGCTTGGCGGCTCGGGCGAAGGCGGTATTGGGATGGGAGATGAGGAGCTAGGTGGCTCGGGCGAAGGCGGTGGTGTGATGAAAGGCGAGGAGCTAGGCGGCTCGGGCGACGGCGGTGGTGGGATGGAAGGTGAGGGACTGGGTGGCTCGGGCGAAGGCGGTGGTGGGATGGAAGGCGAGGGGCTAGGTGGCTCGGGCGTCGGCGGTATTGGAATGGAAGGCGAGGGGCTAGGCGGCGGTGGCAGCGGCAGGGTTGGGCTTGGCGGCTCGGGTGAAGGCGGTGCTGGGATGGGAGGTGAGGGGCTAGGTGGCTCGGGCGAAGACGGCAGTGGTAGCGACAGCGTTGGGCTTGGCGGCTCGGGTGAAGGCGGTATTGGGATGGGAGGTGAGGGGCTAGATGGCTCGGCCGAAGGCGGTGGTGGGATGGAAGGCGAGGGGCTAGGTGGCTCGAGCGACGGCGGTGGTGGGATGGAAGGCGAGGGGCTTGGCGGCGGTGGCAGCGGCAGCGTTGGGCTTGGCGGCTCGGGTGAAGGCGGTGCTGGGATGGGAGGCGAGGGGCTAGGTGGCTCGGGCGAAGGTGGAGGCGAGGGGCTAGGTGGCTCGGGCGACGGCGGCGGTGGAAGCGGCAGCGTTGGGCTAGGTGGCTCGGGCGACGGCGGTGTTGGGATGGGAGGCGAGGGGCTAGGTGGTTCGGGCGAAGGTGGAGGCCAGGGGCTAGGTAGCTCGAGTGACGGCGGCGATGGCAGCGCTAGCGTTGGGCTTGGCGGCTCGGGTGAGGGCGGTGTTGGGATGGGAGGCGAGGGGCTAGGTGGCTCGGGCGACGGCGGCGGTGGCAGCGGCAGCGTTGGGCTTGGCGGCTCGGGTGAAGGCGGTATTGGGATGGGAGGCGAGGGGCTAGGCGGCTCGGGTGAGGGCGGTGTTGGGATGGGAGGCGAGGGGCTAGGTGGCTCGGGCGACGGCGGCGGTGGCAGCGGCAGCGTTGGGCTTGGCGGCTCGGGTGAAGGCGGTGTTGGGATGGGAGGTGAGGAGCTAGGTGGCTCGGGTGACGGCTGCAGTGGCAGCGGCAGCGTTGGGCTAGGTGGCTCGTGCGAAGGCGGTGGTGGGATGGGAGGTGAGGGACTAGGTGGCTCGGGCGAAGGCGGTGGTGGGATGAAAGGCGAGGGGCTCGGTGGCTCGGGCGAAGGCGGTGTTGGGATGGGATGCGAGGTGCTAGGTGGCTCGGGCGACGGCGGCGGTGGCAGCGGCATCGTTGGCTTAGGAGACGTAAGCGGTGTGGTGCTGGGCGGCATAAGGCTGATCGGATAACTGGGCGGAGGCGGTTGCCAAGAGGGTGTAGGCAGCGCGCTAGCCTGTTGCTGCGTACTTGGCAAGGGTAGGCCCGAGCTTATCAACGAACTATCGGGATTCGGGGGTGAGGGGTTCGGAAATGAGGAATAGACAGGCACCATGGGACCGGATTGTAGCAGCCGACCCCGTCTTTGCACATATGCGCTACCACCCGAAGGCTTGCATGCTCTGAAAGCACTACAACCGGTGTCGAGGTGATTACCGAATCCTGACTGGACGAGTGGACGTGGTGAGGTCTGCTCCCCGACATGCGGGACCGCGGCACTGCAGACCCGCATCAATAAGGACAGCAGCACCAGCAGGAGCAGGTCCGGCAGGGGGCGACCTGCTTTGCACCGCTGCGTCCATGACACCGCCCGGCAGCCAGGCATTCGCCAGGAAGCCAGCTTTGCAGTTGCCGACGCTGACGTTTGTTCCGCGGGTGACCATTGGCGGAAGGGTACAGCCATGCAGCGTTCTGCAATGACCGGTTAGCACTACCTGAGGGAGATCGGCGGGAGGGGGGTAAAAAGAAATTCCAATGTGTGGTATGATAGTGATCGGCGGGAGGGGGGTAAGGTAGGCGGACGAGACGAGGATAAGGCACGTAAAGTCACGGGTGAAGTACATGTTCTAGTCCAAATGGCCGCCGCCTGTCAACTTTGGGTCTCTAGGAGACGAGCAAAGACACTGCGTTAGGTCTGCTATGTCGTGACGGATGCATCTTTGACTTACCTTTCGAGTATGCCCGGTACTCGGCGCCCGTCCTGGCTATTTCCGCCCATTGCTAGGGCTGTAGCTGTGTCACGCGTTGTTACAAGTTAAGACCGTTTCCGCAGCCAAGCCCCGTGCCTGCAGGCATTGCGTGCAAGGTGTGACAAGGTGTGTGGCAAAGCTCTAAAGCAGCCACGTGGATGGGTTGCTTGCGAAGGTGATTGTCAAGGAGATAACCGCCAGGTACGATGCCCGACCCATATGGCTAACGTCGCCCGGCCGCGTGCCAGAGATGTCGAATATGCATGGTTCCCTATTACTCACGATGTTGGGTTGCAGGTAAAGGATAATGTTGGCCAGGCGCGCACTCGGCCTCAGAGCTGATGGGGAGGATTGGCAGGAAGCGCCGCGTCATAGGACAGCGTTATGCTATCAGCTGAGCTAATTGTTTGATTGCACCTTAACCTTATAAACATTAGTACTTGTTAAAGCAGCCTGCCCGAATGTAACGCTACAAAAGTCGCGGACGGACGAAGGCTAAACACGACTCCTTTTGGCATCGGAACACCGGCAATATATATTCATGTTTATAACTAAAGAGTAGAAACTCCAGAATAGGTTAGAGTCGCGTCGATGCGGAAGCTGTCACTTTGATCGACATTTATGCCGGTATCGAAATAGCAGGAAAAGGAGAGTAGCTAGGTGAACACGAACTCTCAACAAGGTGTAAGAGAAGAAGTTCCGGCAAGGGAGTGACAAGAATGGGATGGCAAGGTAGGCATTACACATGTCCGTACAGCGCCAAGCCGAATACAATGCAACGCGACGGGAATTTCTATCCTGCCCCACCTCCTTCGACTACGGTACTTAACGCACATGACGTCGGTTCATATGGTGGTAGATGCTTGTAAAGAAAATTTGCTGTAGATAGTAGACTGCGTGAAACGACAGCTGACAACTCGACCAGTAACGCGACTGGAGCCAGCTGGAGCTGCAAAGCCATTTCGTACGCGACACGGAATATTTACGTCTAGCTTCGTCACAGGGCAGTTCGCCCGGCAAACCAACCCGCAACCGGAACATGGCGCTCATGAGGCGGACAAGGGACAACGTACATCAAGTTCTTCCTGCTAAATCATAAATGCCTCCCTGCAGCTCGCGTATGCACCGGTATCCAGGGGGAAACCCAGGTACAGTAGGTGAATATGATGTCGCTAACATAAGAAACTGCGCAGATAGCGGTATACTTAACGGGCCCAAGTCGATCATAACTTCATAACCCATACATAGGGGTCGCAGTAAGCCGGCCTGTGCTCTAGCCGCACCAACTTTTGAAACATCTGGAACCGACAAGAGTAAGAACACACGTATCTTCACGCTCAGTATCGCAGGCATCCGAGAATTGGACAAGCCACCGCTTTGGCCTTCTACCCCCTTCAGGCAGGTAAAAGCCACCCGCCACTGCTCAGCAGCTTCCCATGTCCACCACTCGGCGGCAGTACAACACCGGCAACGCCGCCACCCCCACCAGCACCAGCAGCGGCGTCGCAGCCTGCAACCCGTTCACACGCCCCCAGTCCGCACACAACACGCAGTAACACAGCGTCTCCGCCACCTGGATTGTGGCACCCAGGAAGTCCCCCATCACGCCGCCGATAACGGCATTGCCATAGAAACCGCTTGCAACTGTCACAACCAGCACTACGCCGTACACCATACAAGCGCGCTGCAGGCCTAGGGCCACCAACGGTACGGCAGCTGCCACCAGCGTTCCTAGCAGCAGGCGGGGCGGGGTAAGCAGGCGGGTGCTCTGAGCCATCCAGTTGTACATGCCACGCTTGGCGTCCTCCTCGTCCTGGGTTGGGATTTGGGTTGGGTTGGGATTTGGGGTCGGGTTGCGTTACGATTGTGTTATTGAGGACAGGGAACAGTTTTGGTGAGGTATGGCAGTGGTGGCGGAAGGGACCGGTGGCTGGGTGACATCCCGGTGGCCCAGACAATGGACCTATCAGTACGGGCCCCGCACCGACCATGCTCCCCTCGCAGCCCATCGTGCATGTGTTCCATTTTACTTCGTAGTTGCTCCCTTCCTAGGCTCCCAGCTAGTCCCCAGCGACCCACCTGGATGTAGGTGCAGCAGGCGGTGAGCGGAATGCACGTCCAACGACTGGCAACATGTACGGCAATCAGCGCCGCCGCCACTGACACGCCGCCGCCGCCAGCCGCCGCCGCTGTAGACCCCAGCGTGGCGAGCGCGGCCAGCTTGAGGCACAGCGACAGGCAGGTGCCCACAAGTGCGTAGGTGCCCACACGACTATCCTTCATGATACGTAGGATCTGGGCGCGACCCCAACCGCCGCCGAAACCTTTAGGGACAGAGAAGAAGGCGGCATTTAAGGCTGAAAGTCAGATGGATCAGTGCGTGGGACGGGCTTCCCCAAGCCTTACAAACGGGGGACTACGGTTGGTAAAATTCAACGGTACGACATGCAACACGGGCGCAGAGGATGAGCGGCTGGTGCTGCCGCTGCGTATCCTGTGCCAGTCTAACGGTGTCTGTTCAATCCGGGCCGCTTTTGGAGAGCCCAGAAGCTGTTAAGCCGCTTACAAACCATGGAAACGCAAGCGTTAAACACGATGCCAACATGCGATGGAGTGCTACATAGCGCCGCCCCCGCCGGCTGTGCCCCTGCATTTGCGCTTTTATCACGCTGCCCTCACCGTCAAAGGTATCCGCCAGGCCGTCTTCATGGAAGCAGCCCGTCAGCCACACGGTAGCAAAGGTGGACAGCACGGCTGCGATGGCGGGCGGCCACAGCACGGCAGCGGCGTTGTAGAACACACCGCCCCAGCCGCCGATGATGACACCCAGCAGCGGGAACCTGCGCACAGGGTCAGGTTAATGGGATTTTCAGAAAGACTTGATTTTCCAGCGGCCACTGTTATTCTGTGGTAAAGCTAACGGGAGGAATCCAGGGAAGACAGGAGTAACCCACAACCCATGGCAGGGTTGGAGTAGGGGTTGCTCTTGGAGTGCCTTGATTAGGCTAGGATGCGCCGGCAAGACGTAATTGGATTCCACTGTCAATGTTTTGGCATGTCGCTGCAGCGAGAGCGGTATCACTCACCACATCATGGAGCGAACCAGGAAGGCCGGGTGGTGGTCGATGCCCGAGGGAGCAGGCAGTCGGGTGAGGAACATGAGGCCTGGATGGGCAGGTTTAACAGGAAAATGAGGTTAGGGCACCGGGACGTTGGGCGGGACAGCAGCGCCCGAAAGTGGTGGGTGTTACCATCCATGTGCTCACTGCTAGACAATAGCTGCAAGTGGTGCGTCGCCCTGAGGCTGCATGTAGCTGCAAGTGCATGTCCTTCACTAGCCGGCGACCATGCACTGCACGAACCCTCTCCTCCGACCGCAGCCCTCTCCTCACCAGCCTAGTCCTTCCACCCTTTCCCCTTGAGCCCAGGTTGTCCTACCTGTGAAGAAAACGCGGTATTCGCTCCACCAAAACCGCCGGGGGTCATAGGTATCCCCGCAGTCGTCGGTGCCGGCACCGCGAGCCTCCACTTCCTCCTTTGTAATGACGCTGCTTGCGAAATCCTTGGGTTCAGCTCTTGAATTCGCCTCTATAGTGGTTGTCTTTTCGCCAGCCGCCTTGCCAGCCGCCTGCTGCTGCTTGTTTTTCAGGATGGCCAAAGCTTCGTTACTTGGAGGCCCGCCGCGCTTATTCGGTGCCATCTCTATATATTATATGTAGAATGTCCTTCCAAAAGCAGTAATGATCGGCACAAGTTGCACGGGCGCTCTCAGTCGTCTCAAGTCTTGCTTGCACCGACAACTCGCAAATATTGCGCGTGAGGCAGCACAAATATCCGATTCAGAGAACACTATGTATTTAAAGAGGCCTCAACAGTCCTCGTCTGCCAATGCGACAAAGAAAAAGCGTCATGACGACTGGTTTCGGGGCGCGCAGTCCGCATCACCGTGATACCGTCCAACCGCTGCACTGAAACGGCCTCACGTCTACCACTTCTTTCTTCTCACGAAAGCTTGCCAGGATGCCCTTGCGAATCCGCCCATGCCCTCAGTGCAGCCTCTGCAGTGCAGCCCTCATTCGGCCTCTGACCCCCCCATCAACCGCTCCGTCAACCGGCTGCCGCACACCCCTTCCCGAACCTCCACACCGCTCCTTTCCAGCGCATACAACAGCCCCGCCCGCTCTTCGCTGCCTAGACTGCAAAAACACATCCTCGTTCCACGCTTCGCTGCCGCCCTCACCAGCGACGTGACCGCAGCCTCCCCTACCAGCTGGCCCCCGCTGCCGCTACTTCCCGCACCCTCAACCTCACAGTACCCGCCAGCTGAAGCCCAGCTGGCTGTCCTTGTCACCAGTCCTGGTACGGCGAGGCACAGGCACCCCAGCACCGGAGAGGCCCGCCGCACTGCCTTCTCCAGCACCCTACAAAGCTTAGCAGCAGCCCCTGCTGCTGACGCCGTGGCCGCAGCGGTAGCGTGCACCGGGTCGCTCATATGGCTGTTCGAGCCGTCGATACCAGCAGCAGCGACCAGCCGGAATGCTTCTATGCCGCTGCCGCCGCGGCCAACATCTGCCGTACTGTCGCGATTCAGGCCCTCCGTGTGCGCCACTAGCATGTCGGCGGTTACGTAGCAAAGCAGATCCTCCAGATCAGCAGCGCGCAGCTCCAACTGCCGTACACTCCTAGCACGCCGCAGTACCTCCGCTAGCAGATCCGGCCGGAGCGGCATTCCCGGCATGACAGCTCTGCTACCCGCCACCGCCACCGCCGCCGCTGGCCTGGCGGCGCCGCCGCATTGTACGGCAAGCCGTACACCGCCAACACGCGCCAGCGCCGCCGCCAGCTGATGCGCCGCCGCTTGCTGGCCGCTGCCGTACCGATAGCTGGCGGCAGTCATGACACCGCCGTCGTACAAAGTCAGCGACAGGCGGCTCAGTGCAGGACATGTGACGGACCACCAAGGCACACTACCGCCGCCGCCGCCATTACCGTACACAGGGCTTTCCGCCTCAACCGTCAATGACCTCAGACCGGGAAGTACTCCGCCGCCACCGCCGCCGCTGGCCACCACTCCTGCTGCCACGACGCCGCCGATACGCAGATCCGTCAGCCGTGTGAGGCCGCTGAGGCTGCTGAGATGCTGGCAGGAAGCGAAGAGAAGCTCGGGAAGGTGCAAGCTGACAAGTCCACACAACGGCCTCAGGGCAGCCAATATGGCCTCTGCCTCCGCCGGCTGTGCCCAGGACTTGGCTGCCGTACCGTACGATACTGATGTTGGCGCCGCGTCGTAGCAAAGCGCGCCGCCGATACCGCCGTACAGGTTTCCGCCGCTAGCGGCGAAGGATGCGGAGGTAACGGCGAGCTGTGGGGCTGACCTGATGCGGATGCACAGGCGCTGTAGGCCATGGTCGCGGGTGTTGGAAATGACGGCGCCTGGTGCGGTGGTGGCAGTCCTGGTGGCGGCGGCGGCGGCGCCGGAGGTGCACCCGGCGCAAGGACAGTAGCCCACAGCAGCAGCAGCAGCAGCGGCGGCAGTGGCGGCGCCGACGGCTGCCGCACCTCCGGCGGCGACGGCATGCAGCAGTCGTTGCTCGTACATGCCAAAGGAGACTACACGGAGCTCTAAGGAGCGGAGGTTGGCGTGCGCGAGGCAGTACAGGCTGGCTTCAAGGCCACAAACCATTGCTGACACCGCCATGGATCCTGTACGGCTGGAGACGGGAGCCTCTGCAGCAGCTAGCACCCCTGGTGCTGATGATGTTTCCCTCGCTGCTAGCGGAACTGGTGGTGCTGACGCTGTCACAGTTGCTTCCAAGTCAGCACGGGGTCCTGCCGCATTAGTAGCTAGACTTGCCAGCTGCTGCTGGCATTGCCGCTGTTGCTCCTGCTTGCAAGCGCAACAGTGATGGTGGTAATGGTCGTGGTGATGGAGGCAGGGTTTGTCTTTGTGAGGGCACCAGGGCGGTGGTCCCGCCGCACTGCCTCCCAAGCCACCGCACGTGAAGAACTCCCGATCCTCCCTGCCCGAGTCAGGTGTTAGCCCCAGCGTTAGGTGAGTCAACTGAGTCAGCTCCTGGAGGCTAGCCCGCGCGCCCGGCCCCATCACGCCTCCGCGACCGTAGTCTACCTCCAGCCTTCGCAGGCGTGTGCAGGCGCACAGCGCACCCAACGGTGGCACCACGGCCCCAGAGTTACTTCCATGCATTGAGGAGGAGGAGGAAGCGAGGAGTTGCAGGGAGGTTAACGCTGGATAGGCGGCGGCGATGGCGGCGATGTCTCGCTCGGAGGGAGCTGGTAGGACGTCCAGGAGGACTAGGTGGGTGAGGCAGCGGTTGGCAGTAAAGGGGGCAAGTAGCGAGGCGGGTGAAGGTGCGAAGAAGGGCCTCAAGGAAGCAGGCAGTGGGGCGCGGAGCGCGGCAGCAGCGGCAGCGGCAGCGGCGGTGGTGGCGCCGTAGGGGGTGAGGACTAGGGTGCGGAGGTTGCTGAAGCGGCCGGCGGAGATTGCTGCAGGAGTGGAGGAGGTGGTGGTTGTTGTTACGGTGTTTGCAGTAATGGGGACGGAAGCCGCTGCAGCCAGCGAGGAGGTCATGGATGTTCCGTCGCTCTGCTGCACAGCGCGCTCCGCTTCGGCGCTAACTTGGATTGCTTGCAGGATAGCCAAAGAGGGAAACATAGGCGCCGGAGGCGTTGAGTCAGCTGACATGTACGACTGCTGAGAAGTGGCAAAGGCCGTGACGGAGGCAGCGGCGGCGAAGGCGAAGGGGTTTCCGCTGCTACTGCTCCTGCTGACGCCGCTGGTGCTACTAATACCGCTCATGCTGCTTGTATTGCTGCTGCCGCTGCTGCTGTTGGAGGCGACCAATGCTGCACGGAGGAGCTCCGAGTCGATACGTCGACGCAGCGCACGACATGTTGCTCGGAGGTTGCGCCGGCTTGCGTACGACAAATGGACCCAGATTGCCTCAAGGACGAGCGCTGGCAGGGAAGCTAAGGTTTGGGGTGCGCTAAGAGCCCAGTGGCGTTGTTGGGGTCCGGTGCTCGGGGTACTGTTGGTGCAGGCGGATGATGGGGAGGTACGCACGGTGGCTTCGCTGCTGATGCTAGGATTGCTAGCGTGGCCAGCCGACAGCGACCGGAGTGCTGGTGGCGGTGCTTTGCTGCTGGACATGGCGTGCTAGCTTAGGTTCTGGATTGTTCGAGGGCTGGGGTGAAGGCCCTAGGCGTGGCAAGGTCTTGTGTCTGAAGGAGCGACTGTGAATTGTCGTGACCTATGGTTATGCGCGCCTCCTCGCTTGTTCGCCGTCACGGATAGCATTGATAGAGTTCCCCCTAGCGAAGACCGTACTGTCATAGGCAAATCCTCGGTAGGGGTTTGGTGGTGCTTTCTACTGATTGGCACCAGTCGCTCCTGTATGACAGCTTGTCAAGCTGTATACCGTATTAGAAGGTCCTTGATAGCCGGTCTCCGCAACGAGATGCCAAAAGCGAAAGCCGTGGTCGTAGTTGTCCTAGCTAAGACTTGGACGTGCGCTATTTAGTCGCTGTGAACATCGCACCCGTGAAGGCAACGTTCGCATGCATGACCCACGGGTCGCGTGGAGAAGATTATTTGGTGCGTCACACGGCAACAAAAAAGGCATGGTGATGTACGATACCGGTATCATGTTTTTGTTTACACTGCGAGCACAACGATCCCCCTTGTCAGCGTACACCACCTTTGTGCAGCGCAAGCACCCAGAGCCCCCTGTACCAAGGTACACTCCCGCTCACTGCATATCGGGGTCATGATGTAAGAGCTATTATCCTGCATGCGACCGATGTCATGCGACCGATGTCAGCTAGGTCGAGATGCCAGTATCTTCATGCAGGACGTGCAGCATTGGCATGGGGACATGTGGCCTACGCCCTGCCATCCTACGATAGACCAGGGTATGCCATGTTTGATGTGCTAGCTTTGTAGCTAGGGTCCGAATGCCTAACTACTACGCATCTCTAACTCGAACACTAAACCCTACCTCCCCCTGCCCTACTTCCTTCGTACGCTCCATTCGGCTAATTCAGGGGTGCCAACCTATACTGGCGCTCGACGCAGCGCCTCTATTTGACCAGTGACTCCAATAGACAGGGTTAGGAAACCTCCTCTTCCTTGCGGTCCGTCCGCGCTAGTTGGGACGTCCGCATGCTACCAGTGTACTACCGTACTTCAACACACAGCCCAAAGCACACGAAGAGGCTCACTGAGCACAGAACCGGTCCTCTTTGTTTTCTCTGCCATGGAACAACCACCAACTATAAACTTCCGTGTACCTAGTTGGTGGCTTGCGGGTCAGCTCCCATAAGCCCCACAAGCGCACCTCTGCGCTGCTACACCGAGGGCATAATGCACGCTCGTAGGAGCCTTGCGTACGACAGCCAAGTAACGTACGACATGCAACGTAGGACAATCACGGGCTCTTGGAACAACGTTCAGGGGTGCCCTCTCGTGCTGCTATGATAAGAAGAAGTACGGACCGTTGTCTTGGCTGCTGCTAGGAGAAGGAGCCTAACTGAATACCGCCGCTGGCACTGCCGCTTCCGCTGCCTCCGCTGCCCCCACCAGCGGCCACTGAGCCGCTTCGCCCCACCAACGTCCTCCGAACTGCCGACGCTGACAACTGCAACTGACCGCTCAGCGGCGCTAACCCAAGGCTGCCTGCACCGCCTCCCGGCACCGACCCCGCACCGCTTTCTAACGACACTACACCGCCACCTCCCGCCGCTGCTAAAGAAGGGAGCAGCAGCTGCTGCTGCGACGACGACGACTGTTGTTGGTGGCCGTAGCTAGGATGTGATCCCGTGTCCCGGTCCCGGTTCCCCAACCCAGATGGACCCGCACCGCCTGCACCAGCTGCCGCTGCTGCCGTACCCGAAGGTGAGGCCAATGCGGCCGCAGCCGGCCCCGGGCTGTTGCAGCCGCCAGCCGTTCCACCAGCACCGCCACCGCCAGCAGCAGCTGCAGCAGCGGTGCCTCCCGAAGAATGTGCCGCTATGTTAAGACCGTCCGTGGTGTAGTGCCCCAGCATGCGGCTGTAGCGCCGCTCCAGGGCGTCCGGCAGCAGGTCCGCGCGGGTGATCATGCCAACCACCTCATGGGCCCTGCGTGCATGTGTCGTACAGGGGGGGATAGTATGTGTCGGACATGGAGATTGTATGTGTCGTACACATGTCGTATGCAAGCATTGCAGAGGGTTCGGTTGGACGAGCGGGTAGCTGGCTAGGAGTGACCCGGTAATAATAATAATAATAATAATAATAGTTACGCCGGGCAAGCCCTGGCGTGGATTAAGGGGGTGAGGCACTGAAGGGGGTCAGCCCTTGGATGCCAGCACCACCATCGACGTGGTCAGAGATCGCATGTGTCCTTATCCCTCCTCTTGGAGGGTTGCTCGTGGGTTGTTTTCGAGCATCCTTCGGCACCTGACTATCTTGTTGAGATGGGTAAGGGCGTGGTGGTGGAGTGCTTCGCAGCACTTTGTGGCTTTGCTTGGGGTGACTCCCAGGTCTATGAGGGTTTTTCGAAGGTCTTTGCGGATGGTGCCTCCTACTCCTAGGCTGATGGCCTCCTGAGTGGTGTATTGCACGGTCCATCCATCCGCCCTGAGTAGTTCGGCAAGGCGCTTGTGCTGGTTGGCCTTCTGATGCTGTTTGTCAGCATGTCTGAGGTCTCCCGCGTAGCCTATCTCAAGGATGTGGATAGGGTAGGGTTTTGGGTTTCGTGTGCGCTTCCGGGAGTTCTGCATCGTGTTATTGCTGGCTGGCAGGCCCTGTACGACTAGGATGTCAGGTCTCATCTTGTCCCACTCTGATGCTTCGGTGTGTGGGGGTCGGAGCCATTCGGGTAGACGTTTCCCCGCGATGTACTCTGGGAGCTCTTCTTCTTTTCCCGCGTCCATGATCATGTAACTCCCTCCGTGCTGCCCCTTGTGTATGGCATCCGCTACGATACGGACAGCTCCGTCATGTCTTGTGCAATACATCCCGTGCATTCGCGGATCTTTGCAGCCACCCAGGATGTGGCCCCCTGAGTCACAGGCCTTACGGCATACGGGGCAGGGGGGTCCGTGCCCACGGTCCTCGGGAGGGGTGTCCGGGTGCCAGCGGGTGGGGTGTCGAGAGCGCATCTTGAACCGGCGCCTGAGCCCTTCATGGAAGAGCTGGCCCCATCTGGCGTCAAATGCACGTTTGACTAGCGTGTGCGCGTGTCGCATGGTAAATGCGGCGTTGCTTGCTTTAGGGCAGAGGTCTTTCCCGTGTTCCTCCCATAGGGCCGTGTACTGAGTATCGTTAGTGTATCCTTTCTGGGTTTTGGCTGGGAGAAGGTTCGTGATGCCCTTGTTGAGGTCTGTCGCGTACAGGTTGCGTGCTCCGTCTTTCACCCACCATATCCTGTCGTATGGAGCGTTATCTGCCGTTTCGGTGACATCGGGGGCCACCTCGCCGCGGGCCGCCGCCGTTGCCGCCTTGTCTGCTGCCTCATTTCCAGTGATTCCTGTATGTGACTTCACCTTCAGGATGGTGGTATACTTGTTTTCGCGTGCTCTGGTCGCTAAGTGTTGAGCAATGCTTTCGAGTAGGGGACGGTGCTTGGAGATGTGTAGTTTACAGGGTTCAGTGATAGATCGCTTGATGAGGTGGATTGAAACCAGTGAGTCAGTTGCGATAATCAGGTGGGGCCGTTCTGAGTGGGCTTCCAGTGCCGCGCGGATTGCAGACAGTTCGGCTCGTTGGATTGTCATTGTCACTCCGTTTCCATTGGGGTTGACGTGTAGGGTGAGTCCTTGCGGATCGTGGACTGAGGCTCCGAGTCGTACGTGTTGCTCTCCATTGGCTGTTTTGCACTCGATCTTGCTCCCATCTGTATAGATGATTGCGTTTGGGTTGTATCTCAGAGGGTGCCGTCGCGTAGAGGGAGTGTCTGCGGGGCTACGAGCCGCGTCCGTATTCGATGCGCTGACCGTGACTGTCGGGCGAGGAGGTACTGGTGGGGAGGCTGCGAACGCCTTGATTCTTTGGAGTACTCGCTGGCTATATGCTCGCTTTCCTGGGTCGCGACGAGGTCTATCGGACAGGTCGTCGGGAATGGATTTGGCGCCGAGTCGTCTGAGTCGCGCCTTCAGGAAGGACCATGCTTCCGCGTTCAGAGAGGTGAGCCCGGCTTCATTGGTAATTAGGATTATCTCCAATTTGCGTGGGCGGGGGCGGTGGTCAGTGCCCGGAACCACTTCGGGGGTGGGGGTCAGGGGTTCACCGCCAGGGTGTGCTATTTGGATCTCTGCGATTCTGCGTGCGTAGGGTGTGTCGTATATTTTCGTGTGCGGGGCAGCTGGTTTGCACGGGGCAATCAGGAAGGTGATGCACCGGGTGTGTGAGGGTGCCCATTCTGCGCTGGCAACTGCCCATGTAGCTGCTCGGAGAGCGGAGGGGGCATCATGGGCTGGGTAGGCAACCGTGATGCCTGTGAAGGGGGTTGAGAGGGCCCCCAGGTTTGCACCGAATAGTTGGTCTTCCACCTCGTCGCTGAAGTAGGCTTCTGTCAGGGGGCTGCACGTAAGGGGTGTGCCGAAACGTTCTGTGGTGGGGCTATCTGGGTTCACCCGTTGGAGGGCGGTGCCTAAGGCCTCCATGAGCTCGGGCGGGGTGCCCGTTGGCTTTTGTTGGTTACCGAGTTTCCTGTTGCTTTGGTTCCGCAGGAGGAGGCGGGCTACGTTTTCCTCAAAGCTGCGGCCTCCTGAGAGGCTGCGGTGGAGCTCGCTGTGTGTGGACTGCATGTGCAGGTAACGCTTCCGTAGAAGGAGTAGGCGTGCGGCGGGTATTGTGCCCAGGCAGATTCCCCTAGGACTGTATACGAAGGCGGTGTCTTCATTGATTGTTGCCGGCATTGCGGGCCCTCCGGCTGGGGGGGACATGGGTGGCGCCCCGGTTTGGATGTGGTACTTTCCAGTGGGGTGGATATCGCTGTCGGGGTTGCATGGACTGCTGACGAGTGTTGTGTGGGCCCTTGTGAGGCTTCCATGCTCAATCCTTCTGGATATGGGCGGGGCCCAGCGTCCTTGCCTTTGCTCGTTAGTGAGGTTATTGTCGGGCGGTGGTGTTGGGTTTACACCGGTGCCGCGCCTAACTCTTTTGGCGTTGTGGGTGGCGAGTAGGGCCGCCCAGTTATCCTGTATTGCTATGTCGCGCTCCGGCATTTTGCTAGGCTCCCATTCGACGTAGCGTAAGAGCTTACCACCCCCTCTGCCCAGCTCCCGTATTGCAGGCCTGGAGAGCCGTGGATGGTAGCCCATTGCTTCGTACGCGCGTATCGCCAAGGGCGTGATGATGGTAGGTGACCAGTCGACTGTATAGTAGCGTGCGTGTGTCTCGCTTGTAGCATGCGGGGCGGGGTCTAGGGCGGGTGGCCTGCTGGATGTTCGGGTTTTTGCTGCTCTTTTAGCCTCTCGCTCGGTAATCTCTCGCATGGTGGAGGGGCCGTCTATGATGCTGCGCACCCTCTCGGTTCCATTGTATGTACCGTACACGAGTTGGTTGGCGGCTGTCGTGTCTTGGGGGTGGGCGGCGATGTGTGCGGCTATGGGTCCGGATTCGTCTCGCAGCCAATTGAGGGTGTGTTTCTGCATCGTGCGTGACGCCTTGTGCCTTTCCCTTTGCGTGTGGCCATCAGGGGGCGGCTGCGGGTTGGGGTGGTACCCCGGTTGCTGGGCCGCGTTGGTGGCGGCCAGCGGGGCGCGTTCGGCTTCGTCGTGCAGGTAGGACATTACGGGGTTGCCATCGGGGTTTGCGGCGGCATTTTGGTCTAGTTTGGCTTGTAGGGTTGCGCTCATTGGGCGGTGGTGTCCGTTCCTGTTTCCCGGGGTGGAGGTCGGTGGGGAATTGAGCGTTGAGAGAAGGTGTTGCTTCGCGTCGGTGAGGGATTTCTTTAGTTTACGAGATACCCGGGTGAGGTCTGCGTACATGGCTGTTGCGTAGTGCTGTGCTTGTCTGTACGTTGTTCGGTTGCGTGCATCATGTTCTTCTAGGGCGGCCTGGAGCCTGTGGGATTGCGATGTTGTGGTTCGTACTTGTGTGTTGTGCACCCGTGTGTTGGTGTCTATGAAGGCCTGTTGCCGTCGGTGTGCGCCGGGTTTGGTTTTACGCCGTGCGGGAGGCCCGATGGGTCTTGCTGCGGTCATTTCAACCTCGGCAGTAGCAGCGTGTGTTGTTGCGACATGTCTAGTTGCGTTCACATGTCTGGTGGTCGTGTCACTGTGTACAAGGAACGGTGTGAGGGTGGGGACGAGGGTTCGTCTGGGGGCCGGTACAGTGGTGTTGTGAATCAGGCCACTTAGGGTGGGGATGTCGGGGAGTCGTCGCTGGTATTCAGCAAGGGGTTTGGTGTCGTTATGTTTGCGAGGGTCGGGAGTGGGGTTGCCTGCTTCTGCGTTGGGGGCCTGCAGACCGCTGAGTGCTAAGCTGAGGCGGTTGAGGGCGACTTTGTGTCGGTTCTGTATGGTTCGCCGCCGGGTGTACAGCCGTGCGAGCTCATCTGTGTCGATCAGGTGCTTCTTGGTGTTCTTGTCTATGAGGTCATGGAGGTTTAGGCCGATTTCGGTGAGGGGTAAGAGAAGCCGTAGCGGGAGGGTTGTGTCAGGGGTGCATTGTGGCAAGGTACGTTGGAGCGCCAGGAAGATGGTGTTCACGGCGGGGGCAAGGTTGCTGCCCATCTTCGTTATCTCGAGACCGTTGTCTCTGAGGAGGCTTATGCGTTTCAGGGTTGTGTAGAACCGGCCTTCCTTCCGCATGTCGTACGCAGGAAGGGTACCCATGGCGGCGTATTGATAGCAGAGCAGTGCTTGAGTGACTGTGCCGAGGCGCCCATTGTCGTTCAGTGCCTGTACGAGGGTCCGACTGGCATGCCGTACGTATTCGGGGAGAAGGGATCCCAGGCCGAGTCCGAATTTGTTGGTTGGAAGGAGGATGGCTCGGGTGGGGAAGCCTGGTTTAAGGCCGTAGCATTTCTTGGCAAGGCTGGCTACCATGCGATCTAACAGGGCAAGGTCGGTTGATGTGTATGCCATGGCAGCGAACCCGTAGATAATCTTCGTCTGTACGTTGGTCTT